ACGGCATCTCTCTTTTGATAAAAAGGGTAAAAGATTATCGAGTATCATATACCCAGCTAATATTTTCGCGCGTATATATTTTGTTAAGGTAAAATTCTCTCATATCTTTCTCTTATCTAAGGGGTTTTTGTACTTTATTCGTACTCACCTTAGTTTCTTCTTCGTGCATTTATCTTAGTTTATTATCTTTAATTCTCCTTCTATACGATAATCGTCTTGCTACTCGAATATACTTTTGAGTGCTGGTGTAACGCACCACTATGGACACTTTATTTATAATATATGCGGATTACGACGCAGATATGTATGTATGTACGTATGTTTGTTTGTTTGTTTGTTTGTTTGTGTGTGTGTATGTGTGTGTGTATATGCTGCATGCATGCAGGTACGGGATATGATCGAGAATATTTGACAATTTCACAGAGAATATCTATCTATTTTATAATCGATTGTATATGCGTCTATCATCGTACAGAGCTTATCAAAGTAAATGATCAAACTTTTGAAGCACTTTCTTTTCATATTGAGAACGAAGAAAAGATCTATTGATGTAAGTTCCTAAACTGCCAAGCTTCATTAACTCTTTACTTCATCTAAATTTTTATTTCAACTATTAATAAAATAAGCTTCCAAAGTTCGCGCATTTGCTTTAGAAAAACTCTGTATATTTCAACTATTGTATATGTGCTGCTATAGATAGAAATATTTCGAGTGTCCTTTCGATATATCGGATGGAAGCATGTTATCATTTATATACGCATACGTGTGCGTGCGTGCATCACACATTCATTAATTATCGACGTAAACATATACATGAACGCATATATGTATATATACATACATACATATATATAATATATAATATATACATATATATATATATATTTGAAATATATATTTTTGGAAACATTCTATATATGTGTATATATGTATATATATATATATATATATATATATATATATATATATATATACATATGTGTGTGTGTGTGTGTATATATACATATATATATACATCGAAAAAGCATAATATATTGTTATACGATGAAGAGTCTCAAAAGTGCAATGTTTTTCTTTTTTAATCGTTTTTCTCATTTAAGAATGAGACTTCGAAAATATGAAGTCTTCTAACACTTAATACATATAGAAAAAGGAAAATTTATCGTAAACCAATGATTATTTTCTTTCGATAGAATATTTTTTCCACATTGTTCCAATCGTTGTAATGGACGCGTGAAAATTTTCGATTTTTAAAAATTATAAAGCCATTGTGCTTTCCGTACAATTTTCCCTTAATATACCAACGTTTTTGTTAAATTTTGCAGATGCTGACGATGTGATTTGAAGAGCTCCTTTTATATTTGATTTTTTTTTTTTTATTTTTTTCTTTTTTTTATTTTTATTCCTTTTGGCAACGAGAGACAAGAAGTTGAAAATAACCGACAGGAATATAGGTTAAGGGAAATAAACAGTGAAAAATTATGACGTTAACATCCCCTTCCCGCTATCATTTATCCATAATCAATAGAATGATTCTTATCATGAAATTTTTATAAAAAAAAAAAAAGTGCCAATATATATTTTTGTAATGTCTTCTTTTCGTTCTACATATCAAGTTCTTTATAATGGTGATTTTATTTGATCGAAACGATTGATAACAATCCTGTAAATAATAATGCATGGTTTCGTTATATTATATTTTTATAATTTATATACATATATATTTTACGTATGAAGGAAAGATTGCACTTCGCCACAGTCCTCTTGGGAGAGGCCATAATAATGCGTACGTTAACTAAAAAAGAAAGAAAAAAAAAAAAAGAAAAAGAGGAAAGGGAAAGAATTTTTTTTTTTTTTTTTTTTTTTTTTTTTTTTTTTTTTTTTTTTTTTTTTTTTTTTTTTAATGTCTGCGTACACTCTTTGTGTGAGTTACTACTTCGCTTTTAACAATATAAATCATACTTTTGTCTTCCGCATAGTTTGAAGTCAGCGATATCACATTTTGGCTGTTTTTAATACTCTAAGATTATAAAGACATATGTCATGTATTTTGTTAATATTTCTCTCTCTCTCTCTCTCTCTCTCTCTCTCTCTCTCTTTCTACAATCGCTTTAGATTGTAATCGATTATATCTAAAAGAATATACATCATTATCTATTATATTTTGCGCATCTACAATAACGTTCCGATTGTAACGTTTGGTAAAGGTTTATTTCATTGACAATATACAAGGCTCGTTATCGGTTATAGTATTACTTTATATTAACAACGATTATCATGAAATATTTGATAATCTTTACTTCCTATTTCGAGGGTGATATAAATGATTTATATGAACTAATCAATGTCAGATAAGGCAATAAAAATGATATATTTTGCAGCGTGATATATATATATATATATATATATATATATATATATATATATATATGTATATATATATGTATATATAATTTATGGATTTAATAATGAACTTTTTAATGCACACCTTGCATATTAGTCAAATATTTCATTGACTTTCTTTCATAAATATAATGGTTCCTACAATCGTACGATATCTCAAATACCTATTCATTATCTATTGGTGTTATAACGGTGATTTTTAGGTTAATAATCAAATATTCTTATATAGCTTATCTATACGAACAAAATACCTGTCATCATTACTTCTATCAGAAATAGTTATTTTTTTAATATCCATAATAACGTTAATTTTTTTTGCATAATTGAAATTTACATGAAATAAAATTAATTCTTTTTAATATACACATATATATGATATATATATATATATATATATGTATGTATATATATACATATAAGTTGAAGATAGTTGTGCATATGTTCTGATTATTTTCTAATTCTTATTACAACATTTCTTAGAAGTATTGATTTAATTATAAATAAATTCGATCATTTCTCGTATTAGAATATATATATGTATATATGTATATATGTATATATGTATATATATAAAACATTGTTTAATATTGAATTTTTTAAATCTAAGCACGAACATGTCACGAAATATGCCACTAGATGGCGCAAGTAACAGTAATGGCTGCCGCCATTTAACAATCAATAACGATATTTTCTCTTCTTTTTTCATGTAAGTTTATGGGTGCACATGAGTACTGTTTTCTAATTTCTTTCTTATTAGATTAGTAGGTTATTGCAATTTCAGAGAAATGAAATACATTAGTGTGTAGGTTAATTAAAAAGACTGATGAAAAAAGAGTGATTTACAATAGAATTATGTCGATTAGAAAATAAAAGCGTCATTGAAGGTTTCAAAATAAATAAATATCTTCAAACGTCGCTTTTCTAGCATAGTTTGATATCTTTTTTATTTTTAATTATTAAAGAAAGGTAAGACACAATAATATAAATATTTATAAATGTGAAAGACATTACGTATTTTTTCCATGAAGTGCATGCATATTGTTTACATATATTTCTATAAATATTTTGCATCATCAAAATATTAACATCGAATAATCATTAACTACAGTATTATTGTTACTTAAATATAAATAGTCAATATTATCACAATACTTCAATTTCATCTATTGGAAAAAAAAAATTTACAGAATCAAACACAATGAGTTCATTAACATTGCAAAAGGTACAATTACACGCAGATGTTTATATGGTCTGTTTGCATCATGCTTTGTCAACAGAATATTTTGAAGTAATGGGTTTACTTATTGGAAACGTAAGCATGTTGTTATAATTATGACTATATTTTTTGATGATGTTAACAAATTTAAATTCTCAGGTTAAATCAACTTTATTTTCATATTTTAGTGTGTTAAAGGTATAGCAAATATATCTGCTGTTATGATATTATATCGTTTAGACAAGCAAAAAGATCGCGTTGAAATATCTCCCGAACAACTATTAAAAGCAGCTGCCGAAGCAGATCGTTTAACTATAGAATTAAAACATCCCATGCGAGTTCTTGGATGGTATCACTCCCATCCACATATTACTGTATTTCCATCTCATGTAGGTATGTTAATATCTCACAAGCAACATTTTGTGTCATATTAAACTTATTGATAATATATAATCTGATTTTAATAACATATATTATATTTTCAAATTTGATTCTAGACATTGGAACTCAAGCAACTTATCAAACAATGGATTCCGGTTTCGTAGGTTTAATATTTTCAGTATTTTCTGAGGCTAAGGATTCAAAGGTTCACTGTTGTTATTATAAAATTAAATATTTCTTACAATATTATAATACATTAATTTCTATTTACTTTGTTTAGGAACAAGAAATATCTTTGATTTGTTTTCAATCTCATGATGGAATATCTGTCGAAATTCCATTAGAAATTGTATGTACTCCAGAATTATCAGACATATGTTTGAAAGTAAGTTTCCTTTTTATTATTCGACAACGATTCATGTGTAATCAGTTAAATCAACGTAAAAAAAAAATAATAAATCATATATATATATTTTTTTTAACTATAGACAATGACAGACATACCAAAGATTTTGGTGCAAGAAGAAGAGGATACAGCAGAAGCATGTAGAGATCATCCAGACATTTTTGCTACTATACATAATAATGCTGGTATGTATGTGAATATATTTTACAGTTTAAACAATCGCAAGGAAATAAATCTAATTCATATTTTCAGTCAAAACTCGCGCGCTTCTTCATATCACAGATATTATTACTAGACCTTTAGTACTTACATTTGAAACAAGAATAGCATTAAATAAATTACGTGCGGCACATCTTCGAAAGCAAATGTTAGAGTTACAGCAACTCTGTAAAGGTTAAAATTCATGATGTTAACAATCATCCCCATCGAAAGAAAATAAACAACAGATGATCCAAGTCCTATGTACAATTTCCAATTTTTAATATTAATCGATTATAAATAAAGTTTATGCTATTTTCATGTTTATCTTTCATATTTATGATTACTTTTGGAAATAAATATTACTGCAAGATTATAAATAAATACACGTAACAGCATAATTACGTAGATAACTACCAAAATTGTTTCTTAAACAATACAAGTAGAGAACACGTATGTATGTATATATGCATACATACATAACCACTTTGTATTCCCAACCTTTTTTTATTATAATTTGATTAGTTAATAATTCCGAACAAATTTTCAATGATTTTTATTTTCCCTTTCACGAACAAAGATCTGGCAATAATTGCACATCTCTATATGTACACTACGAGAATAACAGCGTATTTAAAGACTTAAACATATTCAAAACACAGATTCTGCAGAACGAGAAAGATGAATAGGATGAGAAGGACTACGTGCTAACCTTTTACGAGGTAGCTTTTCAAGTGTAGTTAACAGTTTTGCAAAGTCAGGTCGATTTTCAGGATGGTATGACCAACAAAACATCAAAATATCCTAAAAATAAAAATAGATTATATATTGTCATTTTTAAATATTAAATTATTCGAAATTTTATTTAAATCTTACCTTAACATCACGGGAGGCTTGTAAATTAGCCAAAGGTTGCTTCATTCCTTTACCTACTTGCCAAATTATAGCTTCAGGAGGTTGACCTTTGAATGGCCATTCACCACATAAAAGTTCATACCACACAGTTCTGAAAGATATATCAAATATGTCATATTGAATTTATTATTACATATTTATGTAAATAGTAGAATAAAAGGTTGATGCAATACAAACCCAAATGCATAAACGTCAGAAGCATCTGTAAATGGTAATTCTTCTTGATCTCGAGTTTGTTGCGGTTTTAATCGTCGTACAATTTCAGGAGCCAAATAACACAACCAACCTGGTGGTATACTTAATCCATTACCTTTCCTGTATTAAAGACAAATTTATTATTCAAATTAAAATTACCTGAGCGTTTATAAAAATATATAATTTACTCACCTATTACCATAACAGAGTTTAGTAACACTGAATAGACCAAAATCAGTTATTACTACTTTTCCATTTTCTAAAAATATGTTTTTGCTTTTCAAATCCTTGTGAACTATACCACGGGCATGAAGATACCCCATTCCCTGTGTATAAATAAATTTTTGTTTTTATTTGCAAATATTTTAAATATCATTAAATATTATCACGTGTTACAGATGATATTAAATTTATATAATATTTTTACATAACTTTTCTTTTACGCATACCTGAGAAATCTGTTGAGCGATAATAGTCGTTTTATTCATATTGAATTTATCTTTTCGTAAATGAATGTGGGTGTAAAGTGTCATGCCTTTGCTCATACTAGTTACTATAGCTAAACAAGGGGGTTTCATACAAGCTCCCATAAATAAAACCAAATTTTCGTGTCTAGTCTTTCGGAATGTAGCCACCTATAAATACGATGCACTCGTAAACGATGTTGGTTTCTTTTTTTTTAATTAATTAATTAATTAAATGATAAGTAATTCAATACTACATCATAACATAATTTTCATACTTCTAATTTGAAGGCTTCTAATGTTTTATCGTCATCAAGATAATAGTCCATATTTAAAACTTTAATCGCAACATCTCCATGCCAATTTCCTCTGTAGACTGTTCCAAATCTTCCAGTACCTATAGGTTCTCCAATTTTTAATTCATCATATGGAATGTCCCATTCCCTCATAGATAACTACAAGCACATAGAATATTTTTAAACGTAGATTTTTTTGTCTTTTTGTAGTTAAATTTAATACATCACAGATTACGCGACATAAACAAACTATTATGCGTACGCTATTTTGACGAGGCCACCGGCTATCTCCTGGTTCCCCATCAGAAACCTGAGAATCCTGGGAATCTACTCTGACTGGTGTTCTTTCTGAATCAGTGCTAACACTGCCAGAGCCAGAAACGCTTACTGTCCTCTCACTATCACTCAAGACAGTTGTACTTTCAAGACGATGTGTTTCCAATGTAACACCTTTTTCATTTAATACAACATCTGTAAACACATCGCCTAAAGTATTTGATATATTGGCATACGATAAAAACGATATATTACCTGGAAAATGGAACTGTTGCTTCATAGGTGCTTGTGGAGTTTGGCTAGTATTGGCAGGTAATAAAGCTGGACTAGAAGGTGTTGAGCTATTGCAGCTCGAGGTATTCGAACTAGAATCAGCACCCTATATATACAAATAAGAAATAATTCAAGTAAGAAAGAAAGAAAGAAAGAAAGAAAGAAAGAAAGTAAGTAAGTAGTATCAATAATAATTTTCAGTGAAATAACTACAAAATAATAATGGTATTACCTGAGGTATATTCATTGAAGAATGAGGGTGTGATCGCTTTCGATCTCTTCGATTCAACGAAGCCAATAAATTAGAACTATGATGATTTGGGGATGTTATGATTGGTTTGTTCAATATTGGAGACACATTAACCATACCTGAAATTTATTATTTTTTTAATCTTTATGTTTAAAAATAATATTATCATACAATTAAGGATTATTGCGTTTTAAATAAAATTATAAATGGAAAGATTCGTACCATCACCCTGAACAGATCTTTTGAACTCATCAAAAAGTTCTTGAGGTAGGCCACAAGAGGGAGGTACTTTAGATTCACAGTCTCTATGACATTTATATTTACATTCTTTGCATTTCAAGCCAGTTCCTATAAACATTTGTTTGTCACAAAAGTCGCAAGTAGTCATCATTTTAAAGGTTTTTGTAAAACGATGAGCAATAATATGACCCATCCCACGTGTTACAGTTGGAGTACGCGGCGATTTTGGCACTTGCAAGCTTGTTATTACTAAAATATATTATAATGTTTATTATTTAATGATAAAAACAAAACAAGTATATTTAACAATATACTTTTGCTTGATTGCATTAACATTACCAGTTCCTTTAAAACTGTTATCATCACTATCTGCACTGGAATATGGAGGTGATTTAATAGGACTGTTACTATTTGGTAAGAAGCATTCTGTCATGATATCTGCATTGCTACTGCATGATCCTGGTTCTGTAGGTAAACGATTTCTCCTTCCTACAGAACTAACATGATGTTCGCTTGCACAACTATAAAAAAAATCATGTGTACCCTATATATTATGTAAGTTTTGCATAAAATTTATTTCTTATATTTTTCGTTTTTAAATATTACCTAGAAGCTGTGTCTCCATTTTCGAGACGATTTGCTAACTGTGATTCATGAGATTTTGACTTAGTTAATGGAAACACTTCCGGTTGTGATATAGTATTTTGTAAACCAATTTGATGTTTTTTACAAGGAGGTGGAGTTGTAGGAAATTTGATCGCTGTTATTAAAAAGATATATTAAGATAGTATAAAGTAAAAAAAAAAAAAATAACAAAATAAAAAAAAAAAAGAAAATACATACCATGCCCTTGTCTTTGTAATAATGGCGTAGAAGGTGGACTAGTAGATGATAAAGATGTAATAGAAGAAGCTTGCGCTAGCATATCGCTAGTGAGATTATTATTGTTATTGTGATATGGAATACTATCTTCAGAGGGAACAGAACATCTTGTAGTACGAGAACGAATTGGTCTAGGAGATGCGCCGGTACGTAAATGATGTCTATCCCAAGAATCCCAATATAAGTTCATATCACTGTTATCTACCTCTCCTCTTAAAAGTACATCTAAACAAAATATGCATTATAATATATTGATATAATTTAAATTTAAATACTAAATATAGTATTAAGGGGGAGGGGGGACAGGGGAAAGTCAGACTCTTACCCATATATCTGCGCAGATTGTGCAATGCTCTACAAAGTCTACGAAGTTCTTCTTCATGTTTAATATTATTCTCACCTAGCATAGTACCCAATTCATGTTCTGATTTTTCTTTCAATGCTTCAAGAGAATTAGCTTTTGAACAAACCATCTAAAACATGTTATACTAGGTTATATACTTGAATATCATATAAAATAAAAGACCATAAGAATAAATGTTTGTTGAATACCTTACTTTCTGCATTTAAAAATTCAAGCTAAACATGCTTATTGAATTTATTTAACAAATAGATAAAAACATATAAAATTGTCAATTAATAATATACATACTTGAATGGATTCTTGTGTTAGACCCACTACACGTAACCACTGTTGCAAGGATGGATACTGTCTCATTTCTGCTGGCAATGATTCTACAGTAAGTTTGGCTTTAGTCACGAGTTGCTTCGAATATAACTTAATCAATTTTCCCTAGAACATACATATAAGTTGTAAACAAAAAAGAAACAATAACATTAAATCAATTTGTAAAGTTTATATAAAATATTGATATTTGATAAATTTCAAAGAATTTAAAGCCTAATAAGAGTGAATCAGACTCTATCAATTTGCTGATTATAAATATTTATTTTCATGTTTATAATAAAGACTTTAAACGACTAAACAATGATTAGTGATAATTAGAACTTTATAACTTGTTGACCATCGTAAAATATTTCATGAAAATGTCAAAGAGAAAATGAAAGAAAGTACGATATCTTACCTTCAAAGGGGAAAGAGAAAAAAAAAAAAAAAAAAAAAGAAGAAAAAAAAAGAAAGAAAGAAAAGGAAAAAAAGAAAAAGAAAGAAAATATCAATAAGTAAAATTCTTACTTCTAACGTTCGTATCTCCTGTTGAGTTAGTTCCGCACTGGTCGAGCATTGAGTTCTCAAACCTTCCAGTCGATCGGCAGAAATGTCAATCATGGATTGAACGACGTCCAAGGCTCGTCGAATCTCTTGTTCCGGATCTTCACTGTCCGCCATCCCTCGCAGAAAATGCGAAGGCCCCTAATGTCTTCGTCACTTTTAAAAACTTCTATTTTACAGGCATAATGTACCCTTATACAAGTCTGCTGTCGATCGGCCGCGTTATCACTGATCGTTTGAGGAACTAAACCACTTATCAACATTGACAACCATCTTGGCCGCCTATCACTGACGTCAATCGCTGCCCGGCAATCCGGGATCGTAGCGCCTGCATCTTTCTAGTCTCTCTTGGTTGTCTCTTTTGGACGTTCCAAAATGCATTTATTTTCCGTAACATTTTCATCGTTCCATTGCAAATAATATCGTGTACGTTATAATTATATTTCTAAAGAGATAAGATTTTCGTCAGATAAATGGTTTTTCGACGTTTGCAATGTGAATATTACTAATAACAAAGTTTTTTTTTTTCTTTTTTTTTTTTGCGTGAAAAGCTCGAGTAATGTAATTCCACTGCACCAATTTAATTTTGTATATATATATTGTGTGTGTGTGTGTGTGTTGTGTTGTGTGTGTGTGCGCGCGCGCGCGTGTACGTGTATAAGGATAAAATGTTAATGAATTTATTATAACGATACGATCGAATTATTTATTCGATCTCTTTTTGGCCGTATAGAAAATAAAATACTTTTTGAATAGATTTATGAACGCGATGAATATCATCCCCTCTCCTCGTTCCAACGAATGTACACCTCCGTTGCACTATCTCGAGTTAACTTTTAATCGTATAGTTTCTAAACTATAGTTTTGCATTTTCAATGAACCAAAATCGTGGCGATCGCTGGTGATTACTTACCTTCTTTGTCATGTATTCGACTGTCAAATTTTGGTATCGCGTATTTGAATTGTGGTATTTATCATAACAGACGTTTGATGTAATTGTTAATTATAATATATAGAAATGGTGAATGTAGAGACTATACAACAAAATTATCCGCTGCATTGGCTGGTGTGGAATAACAACTATGTAGAACTTGCTAAGGAGTTGTCTACAAATTCGGTTTGTAATAGATCTCTCATATGATTTTCTTTAAATGCGTATTTATAATTATAATCATTATACAGATTTCGTTAAGTAATGTATCGATATCTATTACGTAATACATAGATATTGGAATTATTACATAAATACTATTAATTTCAGATATGAATATTTCATTTATCAAAAGTTTTAATAAATGAAGAATTTCTATAGTTGATAAAAAATCAAAGTAATAGGAATCATAAAAAAGGAGAAATAATATATTATCTTCCTTTTTTATCTCATACATTTTTTACTTTCTTAAAGTATCTTCATTTTACAATGTATCATACGTTATTATTATGATCTATAATAGCAAGCAATTACATTACTATATATAAGTCAAATTACTAATAATTTAATCATATATAAGTAAAAAATAAACATTGACTAAAAGATTATCTAACAATTTTATATAATTTATATATAACATTATATGTTAAAGAGATAATCGAATATGATATGAAAGTTCTAAGATTAGATAATTGTTTTTTTTTTTCTTTTTTCTTTTTTCTTTTTTTTTTCCCTCCGATGATAGTTTCGATGATAGTGCTGTGTATTGATATATTAAATAAATATTTCATAGGTCAATAGCTTTTGATAATGTTTAGTAACTGGAAATTTTTTTATATATATTTCTCAAAAAGATTTCCGAATCCTTATATGGAAATCTTGTTCAGAAACCTTATTTGTGCAGTGGAACATTTTATTCGTGATATTATATATATATATATTAAATATATACATACATTAATCTAATAAATTGATTTTACTCAAACCTATTGAAATTCACAAAGTAAACATTTCCTATGATAGATGTAACATGTAAATATATATATATATTTTTTTTTTATATTATAGCATGATATAGAAAAACATGATACTCGAGGAAGAACTCCCTTAATGTTAGCAGTAACTTTAGGTTATACTGACTGTGCTGTGGTTTTATTACATCATGAAGCTAATGTCAACACAGAGAATACTCAAGGATGGAGCGGTAAGCAATTGTAGTTTTAATGGCTTATAAAACAGTTAAGTTCTATGTAAATATATATATATATTGTTTTTATGTATTTGATTCAGTGGTTCAAGAAGCAGTTGGAACTGGTAATCCAGAATTATTACAAATGGTACTTGCGCGTAGGGATTACCAAAGATATTGTAATCGTGTTGCAGGTATTCCTGAATTACTTCACAAACTTAAACAGGTTAGTTTCTTTTTTTTTCCTTTTTATGAAGATAAATTAATTTTTTATTATATCGCTTTGAAATATTAACAATACAAAATGCATTAATGCTTTTTATGTGTGTCTTTTCTTTTATTATATTTATATTAATAATCGGAGAAATTAATTGTTTTACAATAAATTAATTGTCTACATATTGTATGTGTCACAATCCAAAGGTAAAAATAAATATCATAGCATATAAGTAATATGATTACACGGTTATTTTTTGTTATATTTATTTTTATTATTTTATCACTTCCAGGCACCCGATTTTTATGTAGAAATGAAATGGGAGTTCACTAGTTGGGGTAATTATCTAGCAAAATTTATTCGTGCATTTTAAAATCAAAGTTCAAGGTATGCAGTTAAAATTAAAACAAATTGTAAATTTGTTCTAATAATTTTTTATCTTTGTTTTACTAGTTCCTCTTGCATCTCGAATGTGTCCAAGTGATACATACAAAGTTTACAAACAGGGTAGTAATGTAAGAATCGATACTACTCTATTGGGTTTTGATCATACAAATTGGCAACGCGGAAATCGCAGTTACGTCTTCAAAGGGCAAAGTAAGTTTCTTTTTATACATATATGTATATATATATATATATACATATATATATATATATGTATATCTTTATATATATATATATATATATATATATATATATATATTACTTTATAAGTTTATAGAAAGTAACAATAACAACTTCTACTATATTATGAATTACTCAATTACTTTTTGACTTTCTTTTTTCTTTTATTCTTTATTTATATTTTTATTTGTTTATTATTTATTATCTATATTCAATGCAAGCTGCAACAAATGCACCTTTGGTACTTAGGTGTGATCGCAGTTATGTATTCACCATGATGGGACAACAATCAGGTGACAGTTGTTTTGTTTACAATCTATGTGTTGTGTACAACATTTTGACAAATCTTGAAAATGTGTGAAAATATACATTCTTGTTGATTTCGCATAGATGCTTCTATTTAATTTTGGTATTTTAGTTTATTATTTTGTTCAAGTAGCTGTAGCCACATTGGAAAACATTATAGCATAATGGATTTATTATTGCTTTATTATAACTGTTTTTGCTACTAAAAGTAGTTAAAAAATTTTCTGGAAAAATAAGTATATAAATAAACGAATAATAAGTTATATTTGCATATATTGGATATACTGCTGATCTACCATATAAATCCACATTATTGAATAATTCGTAAAATAATTATTTTGATCTTGTTTATTGTATTTATTTAATTAGATTCATGAATGTAATTGTTGGATTATTTTCAGATGATGGTGCAACAATGATGGAGGTAGATCATGAAACAAGGAAGGTTTACGTGGAACATATGAAACTTATTAGTGATGACAACATACAATTAATGGAACCTTCTGAAGAAGGCATTTTAGCACGTCTTACAAATCCCATAGTCACTACTTATATAGATACCGATAAAATTAGTTTTGAACGGTAAATATTTATTGTTGTACCTTATTATAATATTGATTATATTTAGAATACAATGTAACAAATTATGTACATATATATATATATTGCTAGCAATAAAGCTGGTATATGGGGCTGGCGTTCAGATAAAAGTGAAATAATAAATGGACATGAATGTAAAGTCTTCAGTGCAAGTAACGTAGAATTAATAACAAAGACACGATTGGAACACCTATCAGAGGCTGATAAAGCAAGAGCAAGAGCGCCGCGTACACCTCTTCAATCCTTTCTTGGTATCGCAGAGCAACAACATGAAAACTGTAATGCTACTACCAGTGTAATTATTTTCTTTCTTTTTCATTTTCAACAGCACACACACACACATATATATATATAAGATTTAGTAACAACATTTTTATTGTTATTATTTATTTATATAGCAAGAAGAATACAGCAATGTTGGTAATCCTTCTAATATAACAGCTGAAGAATATTTTGATCCAGATGTTGATTTAAATGGACGGGATATTGGAAGACCAAAAGAAGTTAATACAAAAATACAGAAATTCAAGGTACAATTAACATTAATAATAGTATTGTAATATGAGATAAAATAAATTCTTATATACATTTTATATGAATTCAATTCTAGGCAACTCTTTGGCTTAGTGAGGAATATCCATTGAGTTTGCAAGAACAGATTATGCCTATTGTAGACTTAATGGCAATATCTAGTTCACATTTTGCAAAATTGAAAGATTATATACAAATGCAACTACCGTCTGGATTTCCTGTTAAAATTGGTGAGTGTATTTATTTATTTAATAATTTAGACTTATATTATTATAAAAAATATTCCTTTGTATATTACAGAAATTCCTTTATTTCATATACTTAATGCAAGAATAACATTCGGAAATATATTTGGTTTGGATCAAGAAGTACCACACGTAGGACATTTACAAGAAACAAATCGTATGACATGTTTGGTCGATGATATTTGTTTTGAACCTCCTACGGGTTATATAAAACTTGGTAAATTAAATATTTCTGAACAATTTATATTTTAGTTGGTTAAGCGCCGCACACATTTTACATAATTATTTATGAAATTAGGTGCTGAAGTTCGAACGCAATTTAGTATCGAAGAAGAAGATGATTTATTACAATTTGCTATCCAACAGAGTCTATTAGAGGCAGGAAGTGAACGAGACGAGGTAAGAAGTTGACTCTATGATTTTCTTCCTGTTATTTTTCTGATATATATAATTGATTGCTTTGTAAAGGTTGATATATGGGAGGCATTGAGAGCGCAAAAACCATCTAGACCAACGACACCTAATATATCAACAGAGGAAGAAAGACAACTTCAAAGGTATATACATTAATTAAATTTTATATTATTTCATTTATTTGAAGTTATATATTTTGTAAAGATATTTTCAACATAGTCTAACTCTAATTAATTATTATTAAAATTTAATCTCATATCGTTTTCTTTACTTGAATATAGAGCTATTCAAGCTAGTTTGGTTCTATATCAAGAAACTACTGCTAGCTGTGCAGAAGGACGTAATAATATAGATGAAGCAAGAGCTAAGGAAGAAGATGATAGTGATTCATTAGAAAGTACTGCAGAACAATTACGTCTAGCATTAAAACTTTCAGAACAACAGCAAATAGAGGAAGAACAACGACGATTGTTAGAAGAAGAAACATTTCGACAAGTGTTAGAATTATCCCTCACGGACAAATGAACTTTTACAATCAATATGATGGTGATTTATAGAAATTAATTACCTGATACTTCCAAAATGAAAATTCTTTCTATCACACGGGCACAAGGCTGTTGAATAGAAAGAAATATTTCCTATGATCCATAGATAAATTCCTTTAAAAAATAATAATGTTACTTACAATGAACGTTTGTTATTAAAATATACAATAATGAAGGTCAACCAGTGGAAACAATGTACTATTAAGTAAATGAATAATTTAAATTATGTTATTTATTCCTTAGCTACATTTTATATGAAATGAAAGTGAATAGTATAACAAATTTAGTAAGAAAATTCCAAAACTATGAGGTCTTGACAATTACAAATGCTCTTTCGAAAAAAAAAAAAAAATATATATATATATATATATAAACGCACGTTTCATACTCGATTAAATTGCAGCTAGAAACAATCATACAGTGAAAGTATATAGTGTAAGTTGCAATAACTGTCACTATTTAAAATAAAAGGCATGTAATTCTCAAGTCTTCAAAATCACTTGTTTTCACCTTTCTCCTAGTATAACTTCAAATATTCTATTATTATTATTATTCTAATTAGTTTATCTTAACAATTACGATTATAATTATTAAATTACGGACACGGTGTTACCACATGGGGTAAGATAACACTTCAATAAGTTAATGCAGAAAATGTGAAAATAAAATTTTGTTCAATTTTAACAATTGTAAAAAGATCATCTATTTTAGTAGTATAACAACAATGGAGATTTTACTTGAATTTGTATAAAAAAAAAAAAAAAAAAAAAAAAAAAGAAACAAAAAAAAAAGAAAAGAAAAGAAATTATCAATATCAAAACACAAAGATTAAATTTGACAATGAATTATGAGACATAAATACAAACATAAGAACAAATATCAAAATACGTTGTGATAAAAATATATTTATATAAAGAAAAAATACAATTATTTTAATAATAGGATTCATTTAATGTTGCAGATATACTTTGCTTCCAAATATTATGAATATTTATATAAATGATAGATATTAATGCATGGTTTAGCTGTTTATTATTCAAATTCTGATTGTGCCCTGGAATAAGATTTTATTATTAAAACATTATGACGTGTATTTATTTAATTTAATTAAAATGATATGTACCTTTTAAATATAGTACTGAGTATATGTTGGCCTTGTGCATAACGTTGTTCATTTTTATGCGCCTGTTGATGCCATTTTTTACGAACAGCATTCCAATGTACTCTGTGTTCTCTTAATAATACTTCTCGTGATTTGAGAGATTGTCCATCCTAAGAATATTAAGCAGTATTTAAGAGACATGTATATTATCAATATATATATATTAGTATATATATATATATATATATATATATATATATATATATATATATATATTATATACGCAATAGATAGTATACATTTTAAATATGTAAACATTATTTCTACATGATTAAATTTTCCTAAAATTACTATCATTATAACAATTGCTTTTTATTTATATTTACTTACATAATCTAGCTTTAGCTCTTCAGTTTCAGGAATTATTGGAGATGGTATACGATTTCTTGGCATTGCCTCTTCGCAAGGAAGAGGAGGTGGTAAATAATGAACATCTCGTATTTCTCCATTTGCATCTAATATGTTATTATGTTGATTATTAATTTCACTAACTATTTCAGGACTAGGACTACGTACTCTAAATGGAAACAAGAAATTATATAGAATTTATTTTTATTATAACGAATATATATTTAACTGTATACTCACTTTGGTATAAGATTTGGATTTCTTGGTTGATTAGCCATCCAGGCTCTACAAATGGGATATAATGGTGTATCCTCTTGAAACTGAGCTAAATCTACACTACGATCGAAAAGTTTCATCACATATGTATGATGAAATGCTGTATCCATTTGTACTTGCCTACGCCGCCTTATTTTTCTTGGTTGTTGAAAATGGATAGACTTTGTCCTGTACATGTTGTCTCTATTACAAAACGAATATATTTTGGATTTAAGATCTTACATCTTTATAAGCGGAAAGTAAATTTTACATTTTTCTCATATGGTGCCTATAATCATGAGCAGAACTTTCTTCGCTGGAATCTGCAGATGAACCGGTATCACTATGCTGCAATAGTTCTCGTAGAGCTCCTTTTAATCTATCTCTTGCAACAAGAACATCACTGTCTCCTGTTATTTTATATATAATTAATAAATTTATCTCTTACACAAATATATATGTAAGAGGTTGCAATTCTTTAAATCTTTCAAATACTTCTTAGGTATCCGCAAAAGGAAATATTACAAATTTTATATAAACGATTAAATCTATAATTAAAAAATACAATATAATTACCTATTTCATCTTTTATTTCTACTTTAACACGACTTGGAGTAACCGGTAGAGGTTGAATATTTCGTTTCTTTCCCATCTACATATAAAAAATATATTACAACACAAACAAACATAAATTAAATTTTTATTATTATTTTACTTCTTACCTTTTTTAAATGTATATAAATAATAAGGAATTGTTCAATAATGACAAATTTATCGCAACGTTAACACTGATGATTATTTCTTTGGATTAACAACAAAAAAAGAGGGAAAAATACATTTTTATTTTTTTATAATCCTTAATCTTAGCTGAATGATTTCAAATTTTTAATATAATAATACAAAATACAATAAATGATCTTTATTATTTACATTATTTTACAGGTGTAAAGCCATGAGTATAAAATCTATGAAAAGATCAGTATATTGAACAAATGTCTCCGTTAAGGCTGTTCATAATGGCTGCTTTTAAAAAATGATTTACGCCAACAATGAGAATAGGCGTAATTCTTGATCGATTGTAATGAATAAGGTCTTATTTTAAAGAAAAAGGATTAATATATCGTAAATCTTTTTCGAGCTTCATTTTTTTTTTTTTTTTTTAATCGTGTCCAAAAATGCTACTTTTTTATAGAGAATAATTCATGCATTAATAAAAAGCATTTTCAAAAATTCGAAAAAGCAGTCTCCTAGATTAAACTTTTGTATTTAAAGTAATACCTTGTTCATCAAAATTGATCAAAAATTATGCCTGTTCTTATTATTGGCCTAGATGCTGTTTTCGGTGTTTCTCGTAAAGAAAAAGTTTTCTACTGTGGCGCCCCTCGAAATTTGCGGCAAAAGAAAAGAAACACGTATCCCCACTATTAATTTCTAATTTCTATATCTCGTTCAATGGGATATGTTTGTTCCCGTTTGTTTACGTATATAGCTGATGCTATAGATTTTCTGAACCAATTCAAATGCAAAGAAATACGTTTCACGATGCTCACACGGAGAAGCTTACTCGGTCGTTCTTTAGACAGATGATTCTATGGTAAAAATAAGTAAATTCGTCTCCAATGTCACAAAGATTATAAAGCGTGAGAAACTTATCGAAATTTTATATCAAAATTATTTTATTTTCAAGTTATTATCTCTAGTGATCGTTGGCCTCGTATAATATAAACATATTCGATCTTTTAATTAACTTTGACCATTAGCAAGTTAGTTTTAACTAGAGATTGATGGAATAATTGAGTATTTTTTTCCTTCTTAAAAAAAACCTATGTTTGTACCATAAAATAACTTTGCAATGATCATTTGAATAGTTATTTTTTTTTTCTGAAAGAGATTGGTTTAAGATGATTATGCCGCTAAATTTTTTGTGTATGTTTTTTTTTTAAATATTGAAAATTAAAAAAGTATATCCGATTTTTAACGAAAAAAAAAAAAGTCAATTTTTGCGCATTGCATGATTCATGAATTTTTTTTTTTTTAATGTCGAAATTCCTACTGATTATTATTTCCGAGGCTTCAAAGGATATGAAGTATTTTGTTTTTCAAATAAAAATTATTCATTTTGTATAAATGGCAGGTATTCAAAGTGATATAGCGCATCCCTAGTGCACAACTAGGGTTAACATTATATAGAAGTGAATTTTATTTTTTTTTACAATTTCTATAGTTTAATGATATTTGCTTGATTTTGGGTAAATATTTTGATGGTAAACAAATGAATGAGGATGATACGCAAAGATTTAAGTAACAACATGAAAAAACAGGGAATATCGAATAGCAGATTTTTCAATTTTATTTTTTATCAATAAATAATGAAAAAGAAAACATGAACAAAGACTATGCGTAAAATGTAATGGTACAACCCAATAATGCTATAATCACATGATAATCGTATGAAGATCACAATTAACATTATGGATCCAAAAAGAGGAAACACTAGCTTCTAAATAGATAATACATAAATATATAATTACATATTTAATTATATATATGTGAGATTAATATAGATAATTATCACAATATACATTTTAAAGCACAAAGTAAAGGCACATATACTATACGATTAGTTTTATCACTCGACGTGTTACGAATTTATCCATTTATTTTTTCATTCATCGAGAGTTGTTAAAGGTACAGAGAAGTTACATGATTACCAAATTTTTATACAATTTATAAAACTAAACCTTTTCAGACAGATTTCCCTCTTTTATCAGAAAATTCGGAATTTCTGCTTCTTTCTCTTGGAGCAACGGGAACTTCGAAGCTATTATGACTCAAGGAGGCATGTCTTCTAGGCTTTGGTATAGGATTTACGTCATCCAAAATTTCTGGTCTTTGTCTGATGGGTTCGGAAATGTGTAATTCAATAACTTTCACTGGTTCTTTAGGTGCTTCAATGGGTACGGGAGAATCTGTTAATTTGATAACATGAATATTCTTTTGCTCTCTAGGTAATTCTTTAAACTCGATCTTAACACCGTCTTTATTTATTTCGTTATCAACCATGTTTTGAAAAAAGTGTCTGCGATTAGCTAGAATGGATAATCGAGTATTCGAAGAACGATCCGCTTCTATATCGTCCAAGGTCTCGTCCGTTGAATCTCTCGATAAATTTTTCGATTCTAAAGCTTGAATTTGTCTTTCAATTTTCTTTATTTCCTCTTGAACGGAAAAACTGTCAGATCGCGACAGTCTATCAGCAGAGTCTCTTCTTCGAAGGCATACATTCAATTCTTCTTTCGAATTCATTTCATTAACATCTTTAATTATTTCCATCTTATCCTCTTCCTTTCTGCAATATTCAATATCAATATCATTTTTCTTATTCGTTTGGTTTTCATGATTGACCGTCTCTTTGTCACTTGCCTCTTTGATTTCTTCCTCTTTTTGAATGATATCCGTTTCTTGCTTCTGTTCAACGGGTGAATCCTGATTTTCCTCCGATTCTACGTTTTGTTCAATCCTAATTTTTGCGTCCTCATCGCTTTTCGTATTTTCCAATGCGACAGGTTCTTCGACAACTCGTTCAGACTTTTCAATAACATTTTGTGTATTCGGTTCGTCTTTAGAAATTAACTGAACGCTACTTTCTGTATTCTCATCCGAAGTTTCTACCAATTCTTGACTCCTTTTTGTCATTTCATCAATATTCTCCGTGACTCTACTGATATCGATCGGTTCAGTAATTTGTAATTCCACGTTCGTAGTATCCGGAGTTTGTTTGATTTCGCTTTCCTATAAATACAAAACAAGAAAAAAGAAAAAGAAAATGAAAAATCATTCCGATTAATTTTTCTATACGTTCGTTATTTATTGCAAATTTTAATTTTTTTAACCCCCCGTAGTAGGCAACAAAATTATGGTTATGCAAAGCGTGTTGTATAACGCAGGGGGTTTAACAAATTTCTTTCTGACAGATGGCACTCGCAAGCGACATTATCGACCTACGAACTATGATACTTGGCTTTATACAGATGGTATATTTAATAATCGAATAAAAAAATGATAGCAGCATAATTTGCATGATTCTTATGTCAACATTTCAATTATTTTCAAAGATATTCAATCTTCAAATTATTTGTTATGTCGAGATAATAAAGATTTATTTGAAATCATGAGTAACTATATCAAAGCGTTGATTCAAGAGCTAAAATTAAATTATAAACGAAAGTTAAAATAGTAACGTGACGACAATGACGCGACAATAGTTTCATTTTAGCGAGGAAGTTCGCACAACATTCTTTTTTTTTATCACAATGTTGATGTGATCTGTTGATGTGAAATGATGAGACATTTTCGATTCTTAAATTGTACAAACTCACCTCTGGAGTTTCCAATTGTTCTGTGCGCCGTGGTGGCTGTGGTGCTCTACGTTTTTTTCGTCCGTAGCCGCTAGCGGTACTACCAATGGACACACAACTGTTTATAGATATATTTGATCTTCTTACGGAATCCTGTCCAAATCTTTTGAAAACATAATCTTCAGGAACATTTTCGTTCTCGTCTCTCAACGTAACGTCCCCTGACCTGCTAGTCTCTTCTTCCAAATCCAAATTACTCGTGTTTAGTCTCTGTGATGATCTGTTGCCAGATCTTCGGCTGAACAAAGAAAAAATGCGTTCGAAAGATTTCATAGAATGAGTCATGTATTATCGTACGATATTGTATGTTCATTATCTTACACTGGCGGTACTGGTGTTCTTTCGGAAGATTTTTCACGCAACGTGACCGTTCCATTTTCTTTTGATTCTTTATCTTCAAAATTTAATGGCGGTATTTTGTCTGTCGATCTTGGACTTACTTGGCCAAACCTATATAAAATAATTTTTAAGTAATTAATAAAAATAATATATATATATACGTATATATATATATATATATATATATATATATATACGTATATATATATATATATATATATATATATATATATATATATATATATATATATATATAAATCAAAAAGAGAAGACATTTTGTTCGAAACAAATTCTCTTTCTCTCTTCTCTTTCTTTCTTTTTCGAACCTTCTAGCTGGTGCTTTCGGAGTAAGATCACCCATAATGGACGCAGTCGTATCCTGAGGGCTCCCATCGTATATTCTGGCAGGATCTCCATTCACGGTGAGACTAGAACTATATCTGGAACCACTGTCCAACGTATATTTTCTTCTTCTCACTAGAGTTCCCAAGGCTTCATCAAATTCCTGCTGATCTTTCGAAATTCGTGGCGGTACAATTGGCCTATCGAAAGGCTCTCTTTTATACGTCGACGAAACTATAAGTTAAAGATTTATATCATTCAGAAAACGATAATATTTTATTGGATAATTTATAACATTGTTATTGAACGAATTATATATCTATATAAATATATCTATATACGAATGTACCTGTTATAATTGTCGATCTTTTTTCAGCTTGATCCGTTTCTTTTCGTTTACCAAAGAGTCCATTCCTGGGAAATAAAAATAAATTGGAAACATTATTAGGAACATTCTAATATCTTTAAAGTAAGAATCGATAGGTTTTTTAATAGGCAACTTAATTGTTCATTAAAACAGTACATTAATACAAAAAAAATACATTCAATGAATTATCATTAAGCGTCGTATCTAAAAATAAAGTCGTGACATAAGCTCGAACTTCGGTTCAATTCGTCATTTTTCCTTCGAATGAGATTTGGATCGTTCGTTTCTTGTATATTTGCGCGATGATAATTATGGCTGATAACCGCGAGAAAATAAAATATTCTTATCTATTGAAAGGCGAATTCCACTTTAGAAATATTGTTGGTTATAATCGATAGAAAATGAACTGTTTGTATGATTGCAATGAGAAGGAAATCTCAATGAAAATATTTTAACAAAATATTTTTAATAATTAACTCTTTCTCTCTCTCTCTCTCTCTCTCTCTCTAATATATAAAACGTACTCAGCATTGTTTATGAATTCTGTAAGGAAAAAGAAAAGGTTAAGCGAGTAATCGCTTCATCATATATATTATGAACGAAGGATGACGTCATGAAGAATAACATAATCTTACTTTATCCACTGATGCCAATGCAAACGAATACATTCAAATGTATTGAAGATATAAACAAATCTAAAAAGATGCAAAGGTATGCCGCTTTTTTACCAATGGAAATTCATTTTTATGTTGATTATTTCAAAGAAATAACGTATTCGAAGTAGCAAATTCATGGGCGCTAAAATTACAACGATTACGATCATCCTCATTCCCTGTAATAACGTTTCCTCTATCGTTCTAATCGTGTATCATAATGATACGTCAATGAGTATTCAATTGTCAAATTGTGCTATTTGCCTTTTAAAATGTTATAGAAAATTTCAGAATACGTTTGATCGGAACTTAATTTTATTTTGTATAAGGTCGCTATGTAAACGAAATAGAAAGAGTTAAGTAGGCAAGTTATTTGAAAAACTTGACAACACTGGCGCATAATTACAACTCGTACCGCATTTCTAAACTCTATTATTTAAATGCAACTAAACAAAACGAAATATCTTTAAATGGAATATTAATAATTTCTAAGTATTTAATTTTCATTATTTTTAATTAAACAATAAGCATTTTTGAAAAAATTATGAATGAATAGGACAAGGAAAATTAATTTTCATCATGTTTCATTTGCATCATCAAACGTCCAATATAAATCTTATGTCGAATGAAAGATAACGTCTAATTCTCTTTTATAGAGTTTTATGGATCAAACGATTAGATAAATGTCTTCTGCCAAATTAGAATCGACAACTTCATGAGACATAGTTCAACTTGACGTTTACAGTTCGCTATGTAACTTCGGTTATTTGTGTCGTTTGGGATGCGGCCAAATGCAGGTATTGCTATTTAATTCACGTGTCTCTATCGCATCATTACGCAGGTTCAAGTTCAACAAACTGATAAACAATCTTTCCTATTCTCTTGAATTTATTCGTATTAATATGATTCGAGTTAAAAAAAAAAAAAAAAAAAAATAAAAACACATCGAAGACGTATCTCAAAATGAGTAATATATATTCAAATATTATAAAAACAACAATTCCGAATCGAATGTTACATCCAAGACTCTTATTAATATGCTTGCAAAGGAAAATGTGTCTACGTGGAATATAAATTTAATTCCATGGCGATAAAAATCGGTGAACGTATTTTACGTGATCCGTAAAATTTTAATTTCACACTTGGCTATTATTGTCATACTATGAAAATCATCAGTGAAGATATATTAAGTGAAGTATCGTGTTATCGATGATAAGAAAAATATATACTATATATTTCTTTCTATACCTACCATGTTGATTTGATGGAAAAACTGTTGGATCTCTTTTTCCTGCTTCTCCCGAAGGTCCAAAATTTATGTTTTATCTCTTTGGGGGAAGCCGTGGTCTTGCTATTTTCACGTTGCAAACGTGGATGCGAGGAAGGAGGGCTTGTACCGTCGTCATTGAAAGGATTTAGATGCTCTGGATAATCGTAAATGGAAACGCTTGGACGTCTCGACATGATTTATACTTCCACTGTTCCCCTGACTTTTCAATTGAATTTCTTCGTCTTTACCATTAAAATGATAGGACGTAGATTCGAGAACTGTTCGGAGAATTCATCGAGTTCTCTTTATCATTCCCACGTCTCATTTACTTATCTTTCTGTAAAATAAAAGAAATTCTGTTATGGGTGTCGCGTCACGTCGATCAAATCATTTTTATAAGGAATATCTCGAGATCTTCATTCCGGAGAGATCACGATTTCTTCTCTGCGATTATTCCACTAAGATTCGATTATTGTTATTACAGGTTTGACACAGAGAAAGCAATTTAATTACGAGTTCTTCCGCGGAATTCATCTTGCATCATGAATAAAGTCCAACGTTTATTTTTAACCCATTACGCGAACTTAACGGTATGGAACCTGACGTCCGCTCGAAGTAGTCCTCGTATAGAATATTATTTTTTCTTTTTTTTCTTTGTTATTCCTTTTATATATAAGATACGATGTCACAAACTTTTTTTTTGTATTTAAAATGATGCTTCGGCAAATCGATATAAAATGTCAAAGCAAAATTATTGTTTATTTCTAACTAGCACCAGCGATGTCTCTCTGTTATCTTTACCCTGGATTCTTATTGATAAATAGCGGAAAAGAATATTACGCGAGCTTTGTATTGATAATATGAAGTAGAGAAAAAGGAAAAAGTAAAGAAAAAACTGGAATAAGGAAAATTTGTGCTTGTAAATAAAACGCATTATATAATCTATTATTTTATCCCAATAATGAAGAATTATTCGATTAATTATTAGATCGATTGATATTGACTAATATTTCTTGACTTAGATTCGGTTTGATATTGAATCTACCGAAATAAACTTGACATTTATTGTGAATTAATATCGATCAAACAAAGATTGAATTTTCTACGTAATTCTCATACATTGTATACAATATATATAGAGAGAATAGAGAGAATAGAATCGTTGAAGTACAATTGGTGGTTCAAATTGAACGACCTGTATTGACCAATTGAGAACGATTGACTACCGATATTTATGCATTAGAATCAACTTTATAAAGAGTTAATATGCTAAACATCCCATTGAAATATCCGGAATAGTAGTATAACGTTAACTCGATCAACGAATCAACATTCCTTAAGATTAAAACGCTTAACGAAACCAGAGCGAAAAAGAAAGTGCTTATATATGAGTATTTAACATTCTTAAAGACAGGAATATTATTTACCTACTTGGAATCGTGCCGGAGGAAGTATATAAAACAAATTATATCCTATAGGATGTATTGAATCGTTTTAGTTTCTTTCAGATATAAATCAATCCGAGATAATTTTACAGATGACATTAAAATAAAATAATATATGCAATTATAATAACACTTGTTTTCTTCGATACAGGTGCGTATATAAACAATTCTTAAACTATCGACCGTAGAATGAGGACACACGTATGTATTATGTGAATCGATGCTTGTGAAGACGAACTAACAAACGTAATTAGTTCAATTAGTTCAACGCGTTCGCAGTTCGTTTATGATCTCGTGTTCTCTCTGTAGATACGATAGACAATCGCTTAAAACACGTAACAACGTTCGATGGTTATGAATTTTTCTAAAGGACTTTTCTTCTCTTTTTATTCTTTATTCTTTTTCCTTTTTCTTTTATTTTTCTCTTTTTTGATTCCCCGTTATGTTGGTTGCACATTCGTTCATTTCAGGGTAACAGCAAGAAAGCATAACCACTTCTCTGTTTCTCTAGAACGACTAACTGAAAGACCACGTTATCTACGATTTCAAGATAAGCCTTTATCCCTCGCGAAAATTATACCATGTTATCTATCGAGTGCGTTATAAGTTCGATGCTTGCAGCGTGCTTTCGCGAACCTCTTTCTGTCCGCTCTTTTTTTTGTTTTCTTTCTTTTTTTTCTTTTCTTTTTTTTTTTTTTTTTTATTTACAAAAAAAATAACTCAATATTCTCCACGTACATCTTCGCATCTGGTTTACACATTTTCCAATTAGTTATGTTGTTTCTTCATGGAAGTAATGAGCGACATATGGCACGAGATAAAACGCTGAACTTCGACCAGGCTCTGTAGATCATTAGCATTATAATTGCAAGAAGATAATCGAATGGGATAAAATTATTCGTTAAGTAAAACGACGATCGAAATCGCCATGATGAAGTTACCAATCTAACGGGAATATTTGTGGTCGCGCAAAGCGTGCAAGTGTATGAATATATATTACATGTTCGCGCAATAAATAGAAAACGTATAACACCTCTAATGTGCGAAATGACGAGTACCTCCTGTATGCAACGTTGTTGAACATAACAGAAAAGGACCGTAAACATAAGTCTAATTATATAAGAAAAATGATTAGAGTAGACTTCGTAAAAAAAAAAAAAAAAAAAAAAAAAAAGAAAGAGAAAGAAAAAACCTTGTGGTATTAGCACTATTGTTGCCTTTTTTTTTTTTTTTGAAATGTTGTAACATCAGATCGACTAAGACGTTTACATAGAAAGTTTCTCTTTGGCATTGCAAAAACTTAATCTTCTTTTTTTACAAACTATCAACCTTCTTCTAAAGCATGAAGAAGTCCGTAATGCAGTCTTATCGAAAAAAAAACCGATCGATTCTCTTTGCGCCATCGTGTCTCATATTAAGTGGTATGCAAAACTCGCGCCTATATAAACCATGAAATGCCTTTCGTCAACAATGAGATTAGATTAAATCCTCTTTACGCAATTAACTTTTATTCGTAAGATCTTCATCGCATCGAGTTTGTTAGAAATGGTTGAATTGGTTTACTCGAGAGAATATATATAACATAACGTGTGTGTTAATGTTCATGTATATACGAGCGTGTATATACCGAGCGAAAGAAAAGAAAATTCAAAAAAAAAAGAAAAAAGGAAGAAGAAGAAGAAGAGAAAAGAAAAAAAAGAGAAAAATGTAGTGATATAATGTAGTGACTAATTTGTAATTAACGAGGCACGAAGGAATGGTCTTTTAGATGCAAGTAGAAACACTGAGAAACTTTCTGGCATATGTCCAGCGAAACCACGTTGATCCGTTTTTTTTTTGTGAATATTTTGGGATCTCGAACGATTTACGAAATTATACGGGTTATTCGAATCCTCTTCGGATTATTATCTACATTTCATATATTGCACAGCGTGAAACTTTACGTGTACGAACATGTAGAACATTGACACGACTCTTTTAATCTTTCCAATATCAAAAAAAAAGTACATATCTCTATCTTCGATGATTTATGACTATTGAAAATGATATCTAATTTTATGATACTATAAAAGAAATGAAATAAAAACAACTTGGTGATACTCCATTCGTCTGGTTATATTGATCGGCCCAATAACGTTCTGCAATTTTCCCGTATCTTCGTGAAATCACGATCTCACAATTCGTAGACACGCCACACGAGAGCCAAAGTCTTTAACAGTGAAAATATTTCACGGGAGCTTTCGTGACACGATCTTAAGTAAGTCACGTAGGTACACGTCAGGGGTTCTCAAATTAGAAATTCGAAGGTCAATAAAAACGTGAAGAAAAGTCGTTCATATCGAGGCAATCTTTTTTTTCTCTCTCTTTTTTTTTTCTTCTTTTTTTTTTTTATCGAAAGCTCGTAACGTGATAAGAGGCTAAGCTCTAGACCGAAAAGCTTGTCATCGTGTCTAAATTTATCTGGCGACCTTTCGAAACATCATTCATCGTTGTCTTTCTCTTTTGAATGCCTATGATCGTACATCATCTCTGTGAAATTTACGTCGTTAAATTCGACGTCTGTGTACGCGAAATTGTTCGAGTCTTGTTATAGAATTCAAAACAGTTTCTAATAAATTATCTTGGTGAATCCCGATCGCGGTGAAGAATATAAACATATATATATACATATATATATATATATATATATATATATATATACACATACACACACACATACATATCTCACGAATGAGAAACTCTGTTCAGTATAAAAATAGAATCCTAATATACAGTTTCCTTTGCTGGAGGTCGAACGATCGAAAACGAATTCGGAAATAATTTTATCGCAAATGAATTCCATCGAGCCAGTCGTATTCTTAATGACTCTTTACAATATTCATAAGTCGAACGACCTAAAAAGTTTTTTTTTTCTTTCTCTTTTTTCTTTTTTCCTTTTCTTTTCTTTTGTAGTTCTTGACGATCGCTGAGTAAGCAACGTGATGCATACATGCCTTACATAAATTTGTACTCGATAGTACAATAGATAACAAGTACTTGAAAACAAATCGTTTCTCATGACAGATTTAACGTTTATAGAAATCTTATCGAATATTATAGATTATTTACGATGCTTTTGCAATGATATTTATTTGTTAATATAAATGATAATGTTTGGAAAAGAGATTAAAATTTTCAGGATCCTTTGCCAATCCTCCAGTAAATTTGTATATATTAATATTAAACAAAGACATATTATGCGTTCTAATGAAGGTTTAACAAGACTGGCTATCTTAACGATATCAGAATCACTCTCTTTTCTCTTTCACTTGGAACGACAACAGGCGTATATGATAGGAAGAAAGAGTAAAAGGCTGGGTCCTTGAATGAAACGAAGGACGTTTCTCATTAGCTCGAAAAATAACTATACAAAATGACACTTTTCTTCTTTAATCGAGTCATCACAATAAAACGTGATAAAAGATCATATTTTTGCATGAAATTAATTTCATCGTTGACTTAACGTTGTTTAATAAATGCGACGTCTCATAAACGTTAATTCATTCATTTAATTTGCATGTACAATGTTTTTTTCCTTTTTCTTACATTGCCTTTGCGACACTAATTATTAAATCATCGTACACAACACGTGCGTCCAACGAAATAGCATACCAACGATAACAAAAGTTTCATAAGATCGATTTAACGGATAGAATATCTACTTCTACGTCTTTACACTATTATAATATATATCGTTAAAAAAAGGAATGCAATTTCAAACGAGATTTATTTATTCCACATGTTCGAAGAACTCGTCATGATGAACTAACAGGTACTCAAGATAATCTACAAATAAACTAGCAATTATCTTGATGATTACTGTAAGTTAAAATATTGAAATTAAAGTTCTATTGAAAGTTATCACATGTAAATGTTTAATATCAGATGGTAACATCAATAAACAGAAAAATAGAAAAGTCATGAAAAGCTTCGAATTCTTAGTTTCTCTTATCGGCTTTATCGTCCGAACGGAGCACGTTTTAAATAACCACGAAATAATAGTTTCAAATATCGGAAAGATAATATCGTAAATATTATATCATCTTTTACTGCTTAAAGAAATAAGGAAAAACTTACGTAAGTGAGAACATAGGTGTTATTACTACTTGGAATCGACACTAGAGAAAACAAAATAGGTAAAACTCGTCGATCGGAGAACACCACAATAATTGGGAACACTTGTCAAGGAATGAGTGACCTTGTTGTCAGGAAATAAAAAAAAAAAAAGAAAGAAAAAATACGTAAATTCACGATAATAAATGACTAATGTAAAATGTAAAATTATAAAGAAAAAATGCAAAAGATACGATCGCGACGAGGTATAACGCGCGACTACCGCACAACTCGAGAGTGTTTGAGCTCGTGAACGTTCGGTTCGAGTTCGGTCGTAGTCGAATAGTAACGAAAGTTCGCGACTATAATGTCACTTGTTATTGGAGGAGCTCACTATTGGATGGTAAGTTTGAAATTTCAAACTGCTTCGTTGGCTGTTACGCCGATATTAAATAATTCTCATTGTTCGCCATTGTGTCGATTATATCAAATAAATAATAAAAGTAAAACTTGTATTCGATTGATTTGAAATAATCGTAAAAGTTTTTTAAATACGAAATATACGCAGTATTCGATGTCAATGAAAAATTTTTTTTTATAATTGTTTAGCTATTTGTTAAATGAAGTTGATAAAAATTTGCAATGTTATTAAACATAATTGTATTGTATTAGAAATATTAGTTCGTGCTGACTAATGATAACAGAATGCACGTGCAAGAGGCGCAGCGTACAAGCATTTGTTAGGCGTGTAGGCGTTATGGGTACTGTCATAGAAAGTTGCGTGAAAAAAAGAACCGACACGTGGGCAAAGCATTGCGTTATGATACGATTTATGTTGGACGAGGTGTTACGATATGTTTTTCTTTTCCTGCATATACCGAGACAAACTGAAAATAACAAATTACAAATACTTTTCAGGATAGTTGGACAACTTTGATCTTACACAAATCAGGGATTCTTTGTAGTAACATTTTATCTTGAATTCCATCTTGATTTCGTTCTATGCGAATTATATCGTAATACCGATAAGGTATATCTTATCGAATTTATTCTACGTTTACAAGAGGAATAAATGAAGGTGAAAAAAAGAGTCTTTAATATTGTGAAAAAAAAAAAGAAAGAAAGAAAGAAAAAGAGATTTCATTTCGAATTTATAATCGATTTATATACCGTTGAAACAATTCTATCTTGATCATTATGAGAAAATACATTTTAGTGAGATGAGTATTGAGCATCGCATAGCTCGCGATCCTGTGATGCGACTTTGAAAGGACGACAAGAACTTCTTTTGATCATTAGATTTTATTACAGTATAATTCAGGCATTGTGAGAGACCATAATGGGGATGGCTTTCAAGAGTACCGTCTGCAATGAGACCGCCGATTTGAAATAATTATAAAATGATCTCGATGCGGAACGATATAGGAAGTTTATTGTACCCAAAGCTTTCATAACAATTTATAAATCTGTCCAGCCGATCGAATTAAAACCGTAACCTCCCACGACGTGCTAATTCGTATTCTACTTCATCTAATTATTTTCTTTTTTTCTAATACTATCGTAATACTATCTAACGAGTAGCTTATAGAAATAACGATCGTTACACCCTTCGACTTTCTTTCCTGAATATTATTACAATTATTTCTATTAAAAGTTTTTCGATATTTTTGTATTCATTTATAGACAATAAACAATAAGTTTATTTTAATCTTTTCGAAACACTATCGCGAACACTTTCGAATAAATTTTTTAAACTTTTTTATTGGTATATTTATATTTCGTCTACTATTGTTTGCAATCGAATTATATGTATTGTATTACATTAATGGAACGATCCGTGATGTGACCCATTTGCATGGGCTTGGCTCAACTACTCAAGACTGACCGCGTTAAACTGCGTTATCAAGTGTAACATCCATTAGCATCCGTGCAACGAATCTTAAACGACTACAGTCGAATACATTTAATAAAATAACATAGATTTTTGTTCCATTATCGTAATAATATCGAAATAGACATGACATTAATTAAATGGTTTTTCGTATAAAAATTTTATTAGGATTCTTATCCATTCGGTGAGAAAGAAAAAAACAAATAAAGAAAAAAAAATAAAGAGAGAGAGAGAGAGAGAGAGAAAAAAAGAAAGAAAAAATACGAAAGGCACGCAAAATCTAAAAAAGGTCGAACGAAAAGCGCCGTCGGTGTCATCGATGTAATAATTGTTATGTAACATGACGTAGAAATCGAGAGCGGCTACTATGAAGCACGAATACGTGACTTTGTCGACGGCCACGATAAGTGACACGATATGCAAATTTAAATGGAGGAAGATCCGTTCGTTAAACGCGTCGAAGGTCTCGCTTACGAACCTACGCGAATTTTTTGAACTTTGTCTTAAAGATGAATTGCCGCAAGTATTGTCGTTGAAATTCACTAAGGTGACATTCACTAAGGGTTAAATGATAACGCAATTCAAATGGGAAATACTCTTGTACAGGAATCTTTTTTACAAAACATATATTGTCTCTTCGTCGTATCCCTTTAACAAGATTAAAAATTGATACAAAACGTACGTCAAATCAATATTTCCTACTTGCGATTTAAACGAAAATTTAACAAACTTGATATTTATACGTAAAATTAATTAGATAATTGCTTACCCATATTTTTTGTTTTCCACGATTTTTTCCACATAACAAAATATCTATTGAGATAAACTTCCTCTTACACATCGAACTTTTAGTTCAATGGTAAAAATAATATTACACTTTTTAAAAATTAATTACATAATTCACATTGATATAACCGCGCTTCTTTTTTAAATGTCTTTTAAAAATGACGAGATAAATCGACAGAGTGACCATCTATTGGTATTTTTAAAAATTAATTACTTCTTCCTCTACTCTGTAGATATTGCAGACGTAGCGTCAGCCATCTTACATTTACTATTTCATTTTTAACAATTATTATAAACATTTTTTTAAGATTATTAACGGAAGAAAAGAAATCTCTCTCTCTCTCTCCCTCTCTCTCTCTCTCTCTCTATATATATATATATATATATATATGCGTGTGTGTATGTGTGTGTATATATATATATATATATATATATATATATATATATATATACATATATACGTAACCTCCTTGCAACTTTAAATTTCCATTTGACTGTATAAACGACAAAGGATTCCTAGCTATTAAGTGAAATATCAATTTTCAAGTAGGGAAAATGCAATTGTATCGTATGGCCATATTGCGATTATTCGTGCCCTCTGTCCGATTTTATGCCTAATCGGAATTCGAAATTCCTGTCAATTCCAGTTTTCTAACCTTTACAACGGATGTCCCGGTATTTTGTAGTTTCAAATTCAGTCCTTCATTAGTAATAGTTTAATCGCGTAAAATAATATGATGTCGCGGTCTGTACGAGCAGAGACTCGTAGTCGTGCTAAAGATGACATTAAACGTGTAATGCAAGTTGTTGATAAAGTTCGTCATTGGTAAATGTTTTCATGAACTGTATTTTATGTGTGTTTGTGAAAAAAATACTTTCGTGTATTGTACATAAAAAATAATTTCTTATTAACAATCAATTATCCAAAGTAAATAAAAGTTAATATGTTAAAGAAAATTTTTAATAAAACATGTAGTATAATTTATCTCTAAAATTAAATGTTATTTATTATAAAGAAGTTTAGATTGTATTCTACATAATTCTTTAAATTTATTTATATAAACAAATAATATTTAATTTTTATAGGGAAAAGAAGTGGGTAACGATAGGGGAAACAACTATGAAAATTTATAAATGGGTACCTATTTCGACCCTTGACCAGGTACCATAATTAAATTGTAATAAAAGTATTACAAAATAATTTTCAATTGAATATTTTTAATTTCATATTATTATATTTTGTATTTCAATTGAAATATAAAATATTTTTTAGAAGAAAAAGGGAAAAACTGGATCAGATAAGGAAAATGGTTTACCTAGGAAAGGAGGAATAGATAATTCTAATTCAAATTTTGGCCTAACAGAAGACTCAAATACATGTAAGAGAATTTATCATAAAAGTAAATAATGAAGTGGTTATTAATTAATGATAATTAAATTTCTGAATGCAACAGGTTTTTCCACCGTTAGTGATTCTCAAGGATTAACCGACTTTTCAGCACATTTAGGATTTTCTGAAGATTCTAATTCTCAAAATAGTGAACCAACACCTAAGAGGTTAAAGACTGATTAAAAATTATACTCGCATATACAAATTGAAGAATGAAATGTTTAATAATTTTTTAATTTCACAAATCTGCACATAACAGGTTTACATTAAAAAAATAATCTCTTAGATACATGGAATAAACACTGTTTAGAGAATTCTATACTTCGTGAGTTTATATGGCACGAAGTGTTTTCTAAATGAATGAAAAAATAGGAAAATTTCTTCTTATATTTCATTTATATTTAGCAAAATCTATTTGATAATGTATCATACAAGAAGCTATATCTTGAAGACATTTTAAATTATGTAAAGTAAGTTTTATTTTTTTACATATAAATTTATTAAATGAATTTTCTAAGTGAATTTAAATAATAGGATCAATAATATTTTGATTTAGTAGAACAATTTTTACTGAATGTGCAATCCATTTACTAGCATTCAAATTTTTTGTTATAATAAAAAAGAAAAACAAATCATTAATGGCCAAATTGTATCTCAAATGTATTGTACATTCAGAATGATTGCAGTATTATATTGTTTTTGCAATAAATCATGTTCTACGTAATTCAAATGCAGTGCTTAAAAAATCTTTCTTCAAAAAACTCAGAATCTAAGATTGTGTAAAATATAATATTTTAAAACACATGCGTATTATTTTTTAAATTAATAACTTTGAAATGAGAATGTATTATTATACTTCATTGTACATATTTCAAACATCGTGTTACACGTCGATTAAGATTTTAAGGTCACTTGCATTCCTTCACATTTTATTATAGCACCGTGACATGTACAAAATAAGCTTTCTCTCATAAATAAAATAGAGCAAATCATGTGTATCAATGTTTTAATAGGATTTTTGGGTTATCTAAGTACTCTCATTAAATTTTTATAATTTTTCAATAGTATTTATTTTCAAATATATTTATTATCAATAATATTGACTGAGGTTTGATATTAGGCATTAAAAAGTCATTAAATTAAATAAGAGTATATAACTTTATAACATTGTACAACATACGTATATCTTATTTTTAAGAATTGCACTATAGAATGTTACATATAATTATAATGACCAAAAACTGATAACTGCCCTTTTCAAATCCTTCTGAGAATAACGAAATAAACAAAATTGAAATTATGTAGATAGATAGTTAATAAAACATGAAGCAGAAGTCAAAATAAAAATTTATGAAAGTAATATGTAACTATATTGCAGAAACTCAACTATAAGAATAATATATATATATATATATATATATATATATATATATATATATATATATATATATTTCATTCTTAACAGTGGATTCTTAATATAATTTAACAGTGGATTTTATTTTTTAATTTATCTTAAGTTGTACTTCCAAAATCGGACGATTTAATATTACGATTACTAGCATATTTTTCAGCAAAAAATTACCATGGTAAAGTCGTACCGTTGTATTGAAGAAAAGAACCAGTATGTTTCTCAGAAAGTGTTTCCATAACATTTAAAATGCTGGAAATACTGGTATCAATATCCAAGGGTGCATTATTTCCTCCCATATCGGTGCGCACCCATCCAGGATGTAAACAAACAACTAAAATCCCATCATCTTTCAAATCTATACTCATAGATTTTGTTGCAGCATTAAGAGCTGCCTAAAAAAATATTAGATAAATATTGTTTATAAGTCAAAATACTTATTAATTCACAATCATGGTAACATTGCTTGATCTACCTTACTACATCTATACGAGTAAAAACCTCCTTGATCATTTTGTGTAATACTGCCAAGTATTGAAGTCATATTGATAATAGCAGCTCTGTTTATATTCATACCTTTTTCAATATCATTATTTTTAGCAGCAATCTTTATTAATGGTAGAAGTGTCTATAAAAATATTTTTAACATATAATAATATATTTTCAAAATAATATTAATAACGTAAATATAATTGAACCTTTGCCAACATAATTGGAGCTACTGTATTAATAAGAAAAGTATTTGTCAGATTTTCCTTCTTAACCATACCAAGTCTTGTAAATTTTTGTGAAATTCCAGCATTATTAAAAAGAACATTGAGTCCTGCAGATCCTACTTTTTCTTTGACGGTATTTACTATTTTTTGATAATTGCTTGTGTTAGTTAAGTCTATAAATAATTTACAATAATATTAATAAAATATAATTTAATATTATAATGTATTTAATTATAATACATTCAAAATAATATGTTACATTATATTATATCAAATTATTGTAGATATGGGATGTAATAAATAATTATTCTTCTCCATATCACTAAAAGCACAAGAATTATCTGATAGTGAATACATAGTATATACATATGGACATATGTATTGATTATCGTAACGTTGGTAAAAATATAACTTTTATTCAACTACAATTTACGTCGCCTTTTCTCATTCGTGGTAAGACTTTCAAGTAGTCATAATATTTTTTTTTCCACGATATTGTACAAATTATGAAATCACATTTATTAAAAATAAAAAGATCATGGTGTTTAACTTGTTATAGTAAAACAGAAACAATTGAATCAGATTCCAGTGATTTGGAAAATGAAAATGTGGAATCTCAGAAAAGTGAAAATTTGAAATACGAAAACTTCGTCTTTTGTAAGTAATTTAATATTAAAGATATAACTTCTATACGAATAAAAGATCAATCCTTTCATTGTTCTAAATTGTATTTGAGTTGGATTTCTTAATCATTCGTCATTCTTAGTAATTCATAGAATGCGGTTTACCTATTTCAATGATATGAATGTTTCTTGATGTCTCAGCAAGTTTTTTCAATTCCTAGATTAGAAAAAAATCTATTTATTATAACAAACAATATCAATTAATTCTTGAACATCATTTTATAAATTGAGATTTAATTTATTTTACAAATGTACTTTAAAAACTTGTTTATTATTTTATATTATTTTATTTATTTATTTATTTTTTCTTTTTTTTATATTTACAATTTATATTTTATTTTCTAAGAAAGTAACTAATAGAATTAATAAAATAATAAAATTTTCGGCTGCTTATAAATCGATTTCTTTTTTAACGATAAATATGACGATTTTCATTTTTAATTTACGAATTCTTTGTACATATGTCTTCTTTATTAATCTATGATTATATCACGTAATCTGTCTAATCATCTCAAACTAACTTATCTGCGCATTTGTGAAAAAATCATTGGATTCTGGAAATGTAAACATGACGGGTATTATTGCTTCAACTAAATAAGCTAAATCATTATACAACTGCGTAGTATAACGCGTATTAATAGAATTACAAAGGTATGAAAAGGTTACAATTAAAGATTACAATACTATCGTTAATATCGATAAATGTAACGCCGATGATATAATTTATTTGAACGTTTGGGGCTAATTTGAAAAGTAAACAATTATAATATTATTAAAATGTTATAATAAAAAAAAAAAAAAAAAAATGTTAAGTTCTTAAAGATAGATGGAAAAGCGATAAGATTGATAATTGAAAAATGTTCATAAAAATAAAAGAATGACTTGACTGGTTTTTGTAATTGGCAATTTCGATATCTAATTGTATTTATCCCGCGTCCTTGATGCACTTGCGTAATATTTTACAATCACCGTGAGTCATTGTTCTATCAAAGACCAGGTACTATCTAATTCGTTGAAACATCATGGAATGGGGGATGGTAGGGATATTCGCGCTTTTTCCGATCAACAGATGGCGATAAAACACAACGAACGGTATTTGTTCGTAACACTTCAGTATATTAAAGCTTTTTTGAGCGTTAGGATCTTACAATCGTTTTTTTCTTCTTGACAATTTGTAATATTATTTTTGCCAAATTAAAAACGTATAATATATAATATCATTCGATTCACAAAGAAAAACTCTAAGTTATATTACTTGAGGAAAAAAAAGGGGAAACGAGGATTAAAAGAAAATTTTCATGGCGCCGATCGGTAAGCATGTCTTATTTTGATTCGATGAATTCATTCATACAGTCATTGCGTCATCCAATTTTTGCCGATTCCTACGTCACAGTCAATCTTACCGTCGCTTTGTTTAAGTCTCGACAAGTTGCAAAAATATTTTCTGGTGGTTTGGGTAATTGTACGAGATGCTTCACTAATCCAAGACCCAGGCCACGATTGCTACCGGTTATTAAAATCGATTTCATTTCTTTTCTTAACTTTTTATTCCGATACACGAAGCACCTTTCGAATTTTTTTTTTTTATGGAACGGACTTTTCTAATTTCGCGTTAGCTAGAACGCGTGCGGGAATACTAACGAAACAATATTGCGTGGACCGTTTTAATCGTTAAAACGAGCATCATCAGTGTGACGTCACGTGCTCGTAAAACGAGCGCGATAATCATGGCGACTTTAATACTGCTCGCGAGGCTCGTGTCATCTCGAACATCGCACAGCAAATTATTCGAGTTGTCACATGCCGGATGCAACTTCTTTTATGGGAAAGCCGCAATGGCTTGCATGTGCAGTGAGTGCCGATAGCACATCTTATGTGTGCGTAATTCGTAACACGAAAGGCGTTTCTCATCTTTTATTTTACACCGTATTTAATTATTTATTTATATCTGATAATAGGTGGAACATTTAAACTTCGACATCAATCAAACCTAATTTATTCGTTTCATGTATTATAAAAATTAAGGATTTTTCATTAAGTTCATTCGAAATTTTGTTGGTGTTTCAAATTTTCATTAAATATCATTGTTATTGTATATGTAACAATTTGTATGTATTAAACTTAACCTACGTTAGATATCTAACATGTAATTATGTAATAGGCAAAATAGTTTAAATTAAATATCAGATATAATTAATACAATAATTTTTATTCTAGCTCAACATAATTTTAATTATGACCTTTTGGTCATTGGCGGAGGATCGGGTGGTTTAGCAGCAGCGAAAGAGGCCGTTGAACTTGGAGCAAAAGTTGCAGTATTAGATTTTGTTACTCCGTCTCCAAGAGGGACTACGTGGGGCTTAGGTGGTACTTGTGTGAATGTAGGATGTATACCAAAAAAATTGATGCATCAAGCTGCATTACTTGGCGAGGCTATACATGTAAGTTTAAGGATATATAAGTATAATATTCTATATTAATTTCTATTATATATGATTTCCATACATAAATATTGATTATAGGAAGCACAGTCTTTTGGATGGGTGTTACCTGATTCAAAAACTATCGTAAACAATTGGACAAATTTAAAAGTTGCTGTACAAAATCACGTTAAATCAGTTAACTGGGTAACACGGGTAGAATTAAGAACGAAGTTAGTATTAAATGCATTGTGACAGATGTATTTTTAATTATTCTTTTCTAATATTATATTTCTACTTTAATACAGAATGGTAGATTATATCAATGCTCTGGGATATTTCAAAGATGCTCATACCATAGTCGGTATATCGAAAAATGGAGAAGAAAAAATTATTACCGCAGAAAATATCTTAATTGCGGTAGGTGGAAGGCCAAAGTACCCTGATATTCCTGGTGCTTTAGAATATGGCATTAGCAGTGATGATATTTTCAGTTTAGAAAATGAACCAGGAAAAACTCTTGTTGTTGGTGCAGGATGTATCCTTTCTTATTATTTAGTTATTTATAGTTTATAATGTACAAATTTAACTTTTATTAAGTCTTTATGTTATTGAGTATAACAAGCAAAGTATATTTCTTAACAAATGCATAGATATTGGATTAGAATGTGCAGGATTTTTGAATGGTTTAGGTTATGATACAACAGTAATGGTACGTTCAATTGTGCTTAGAGGATTTGATCAACAAATAGTTAACATGGTAGCTGAAGAAATGAAAAATCGTGGCGTTCATTTCATTTATCAAGCTAAGCCTAAGAAAATTGATAAACAAGCTGATGGTCGTCTTTTAGTTGATTGGGTTGATAATGTACGTCTTGATCATCATATTACTATATATAAATATATTAATGTATAAGTCGTTAATTAAGTAGTTAATTATAATTTGTTTCTTCTAGGAAGGAAAAGTTCATCAAGATGTTTATGATACTGTTTTATTTGCGATTGGACGCCAAGCTCTTACAAAAGAATTAAAACTTGAAAATGCTAAAGTTAAAGTTCTTTCTGATAGTGGCAAAATTGACGCGGACAATGAGCAAACGAACGTACCGAATATTTATGCAGTCGGTGATGTGCTCCATGTAAGATATTAATAATTTATTTGAAATAACAAGTGCAATAATTTATTTTAACATTAATTATCAAATACTTACAGAAAAAGCCTGAATTGACACCCGTTGCTATACACGCGGGAAAACTCTTAGCTAAAAGATTGTTTGGTAATTCGAAGGAAAAAATGGATTATACAAATGTAGCTACGACTATATTTACTCCTTTAGAATATGGTTGTGTTGGACTTAGTGAAGAAGATGCTATATCTAAACATGGAGCAGACGAAATAGAAGTTTATCACGCTTATTATAAACCTACAGAATTTTTCTTGCCTCAGAAAGATGTTTCTCATTGTTATGTTAAGGTCATTGCATTTAGAAATGGTGATCAGAGAATTTTGGGCATGCATTTTATTGGTCCAAATGCTGGTGAGGTAATCCAAGGTTTTGCGGCAGCTATTAAGTAAGTTTTTTTTTTTTTTTTGCAGGAACGTCAGAATTATACATTTTTAAACACGTAAACGAGTTTTAAGAATTTTTTAACGAGAAATACACAGAATATATAATTCATTCATCTCTAAAATTTGCTTTTTTCAGAAGTAACATAACATTCCCAATACTTAAATCTACAGTTGGTATTCATCCAACTAACGCTGAGGAATTTACACGTATACATATTACTAAACGTTCAGGATTAGATCCTAAGCCACAAAGTTGTTGTAGTTAAACTGAATACAGTCTTAAAGGATGTACTTTTAGCTACTGCTATTAAAGAATAGTTTACAAGGCGATTTACGATATATCTTTAAAGTGACCAATAATAGGATGGATATCTACTTAAATAACAAAACAAATGAATTGGATTTAATGCATTCTTTTTACATAAATTGATTAAAAAAAAAAAAAAAAAAAAAAAAAAAAAAAAAATGTTATTTTATATGACCATATATTGCAGTACATAAAAAGTTATAAGAAATGAAACAACAACTTTATAAATTACTTTATACAATAAAAAAATATCTACTGTATAATGTTTATCGTAACTATCATTTTGTCTGAATAAATAAGAATGATTATATAACATTTTTTGTTTATTATCAATATCCTTTGTAAATGTTTTAATTTTATTAAATATTTTTATAATATTTATAAGTGAAAATTTTTTAATTACACGCTTACACATGCATTACTTCCGGTAAGAAAAACGTCACTTCGCTGCGTAAATTTCTTTCTTGATTTTCGTAGTATTTTTCAACTGTTACGAGAACTCAAATCAATATATTTCATGAAAGAAATATTTCATGAAAGATTGAAAATAGGTTGTATAAACATTGTATTAAAATGGCATCGTCTTTTATAAATTCTGATAAAAAAGCATCAATCAATCTGTCAAAGAATAATACGAAAAAGGAGATATCAGAATTTAACATGTGCCCATATGTAGGTAACGCTCATTTCTGAATATATTATATTTATTTTAATTATAAAATTAATTATTATTTGTAGAAACTACATTACTCCTTTGGCTTTAATCCAAACGTCCCTATAATAAATTTAACGACTAAAAATCGAACATTAATTGCGTTCGCTTCTTCACATATTGCAATGATATATGATTATAGCTCTAATGAAATGTTACCTCTTCAAGGTCATGTTAGTATAGACACGTGTAATTTATGAGATTTATCGCTTAATTGAATTAATCATAGTCGATATAATATTTAGAAAACTGCTGTTAGAACACTGTCAAGTTCGAACGATGGTAAATGGCTATTGACGGCGGATTTTGAAAAGGATTGTGCGGTAATTATTTGGGATACCGAAATCAAGTAAAAATATTAATCTTTTATGAAAACTATGCTTGTCTATAATGCGTATAAAAACGTATATACGTGATTATTGTTAAGGATGCCTATTTGCACTTTATTCGAGCCTCACGGTATAAATGGAATAACAGCAGCACGTATCAGTCCAAATGCAAAGTACATTGTTACCGTTGGCAATGAAAAATTACAAAATGTTTATTTTTGGTTGTGGACATACGGAAAAGATAAACCAGATGGTTATTTTAATGAAATATTAGCTATTTCACATTTATATAAAATATTTAATATTTATGATAATATTTATATTATCATAAAATATTTATTAGATACATTTGTGTTTTTAGCAATCGCTGAATTATCGGAAATACATTTGGATAGAGTTAAAGAGATCAGTTTCGACAATGACTTTCCACAACGATTTGCTTTGACTACTGATCATCACGTACTTTTTTTTACTTGGGTTTGTAATTCGAATTTCCAATATAATGAAGAAAATTTTCAATGTAAATTTATATGATTTCATCATTCATTAGGATCAAGATGGACTTAGCTATTATCGGCCCAAAATAACTGGAAAATATGGTCATTTTGGAATTTTGAATAGTTCTGTTTTTATTACAAAAACATCGAATACGTTAACGGCGACAACTACCGGTAAAAAGCATTTGATTTTAGAAGTATTAAAATGATTAGAATTTCTTTGATCATGATTTATTCTACAGGCTTTGTATTAGTCTGGAGCCACGTTTACACCGTTGAGCATGCTGTAAAAGATACAAACTTTAAAAAGAAACATATCAAATCGATAAAATTACAAACTTGCAATATCACTGTAATTCTTAATTACGAAGGGTATTGATTAATTAAATAATAATTCTTCGAACAAAAATTTAATAAGTTTCGGAGATATTTAGAATTGATCATGCACTATTTTTTCAATATATAGAATGATTGTTACTGGCAATTCTAATGGACGAATTAATTTTTACGATAATGAATTAAAACTTTTGTATTGGTGTCAAAATCGTGAATTGGAATGTATTCGATCGATCAGTTTCGATTTATGCTCTAAATTACTTGGCCCTGTACACATTATCAGTGAAACAGATAGTAAGCTTGACATGATATAAAGCTTCTTCTGTTTTAAAAAAATATTATATTTTTCAAATAGTCGAATTGAGTGATGGGAACAGCACGGACGAATTAAAAAGCGAAATAGAATATGAATATATGGAAAATTTTGTAAGCCAAGAAGAAAATGAAAATACTTTTCAAGATGTAAAATATTTGAATGATAAGATGGATAAAAAATTGTCATATTTAACTGTAAATATAGAATCTATTCCAAAATATTACTACGACCAGAAAAATTCAATATACGTAGCTACCGATGCGACCCTACAACGTTCTAGATTCATCGTTAGAAATAGTTTTGTATGTAAGTGTTTTTCATAAAAATAATATATAGCTAATTGAATAAAATGAATATACATGCATATATATGTATATATGTATATTGGTATTTGTCACAGCTACAACGAAAGGTACACTTGCTTTATTAGATATTGCAAATTTAAAATGCAAATTCATTTCGAAATATTATGCTGCCCATGTAACGAGTTTAGATGCACATCCGAAAAGGTACAGAAATTTAATTAAAAATATATTTTATGAAATGAAAACTAATAAATTCATTTACAGTACTTATCTTATCACGGGAAATAGAGAGAGTATATTAAGTTTATACGATTATGAGAAATGTAGCTTGATTATATCCAGAAAAGTTCCAGATCTACCAAATTTGGAAGCGATTTTTAATTATCAAACGAAAAAGAATCAAATAATTTATATTAGTTGTCCACAAACGCATGAAAGTTTGACTGCCATTACTGCCCTCAAATATTCTCCAACATGTACGCTGCAACATCTTTTCAATCAACATTTTTTCTTTTGCGAATGAAATTATTAATTCTAACAAATGCTAATCCAGAATGGTTTTTTTTTGTCAGCTGATTTACTCATCTGTGGTATGGAAAATGGTACTTTATGGGTATTACATCCACTAACATTGGAATTATTAGATGAATTTCCTTACAAACATTCGTCTCAATCTATTCGTACTGTTGCCTTTACCAAATGTTCGACTTACATGGCTTATTCCGTTAAGTATTTTTTCAGCGATAAATAAAATACTTACGTAAATCTTTATTTCATTTACTTATTTTTTTTTTTTTTTTTTTTTTTTTTTAGGATGATGCTCTATCTATCGTAGTATTCAAAAAAAATGATTCAAAATTCCTAAATGAAACTAACATTTGGAATTTAATTGGAAAATGTCATTCACATTGTTTACCAATTAGACAAGTGTTATTTGGACCTTCTATTAGAGACGATTCAGTTCCTCGACTTTTCTCTTTAGGGGAGGATAAAGATCTTATTGAATATGATTTAAAAGATAGGTAAACGAAAAATTATATATATATATATATTTTTTTTTTTTAATATTTGCCATATGTAGAATATTATACGTATATAATAATATATCTATATCAAAACAATAGTGGACCATATCCGGATCCAGGATTAAAAATTTTACAGATAGATCGAATTGAATCAAAAGCTACTCCTCTGTACATGGAATGGTATCCGCAAATCGGAATGGAGACTTTTTTTGTGATATCGAATTCTGAAGTAATTTATGACTTGAAAATTGAACGAATCATATATATATATATATTAATATATTTTACAATTTTAGTACAAGTACAAATTATTAAATGATATAATAAGGATGATTCGTGGAACTTATGTGAACGCAACATTTGGAACGCCTGTACAACGTTTTAAAGTATCTGAAATTATGGGATTTTCATTGATCATATCATTATAATTTTTCGTTTCCAGATATTAACAAAAGAAAATAATAACATCTATATGGTATTTTCAACTGATAAAGAAATAGGTCTACAAATTCTTCCTTTAGATGGCAATCCTTATAGAAACATAGGACTTACTGGACATCCGCGTCAGGTATTTTATTATCTCTCTCTCTCTCTCTCTATATATATATATATATATATGTATATTTTTTTTTTATTGTACAAACTTTTATTAAAAAGAATATAAGCACATTAGATCACTGGATTCGCTGTGGATTGTAAAAACAGTATCGTATTTACTATGGGATATAGAGATTCTTGTGTTTTAATGTGGAAGATAAAATTCAGGTTTGTAAAAAAATTAAACTATACTTCAAAGCACCTTGGCAAATCTTCAAAGAAGAAATTTACATATTATTAAAAATATAAAAAGACTAGAGTGTATGTTTGTTACAGATCAGTAAATATTATGAAACGCTTAGGAGGAGAAGGATTGTCTCCATTTTATAGTTTCATAAAAGGTGGTAAAAATGGGTGGTTATTTAACGAAATGCAAGATTTATTCTACTACGCACAGATTTTACAACAAGGAGAAAATACTATCGAAACAAGAAAGGTTTCTGGTATGGCTTCTATTAAACAAATACCAAATTTAATGCGAGCCATTGGTTATTTCCCTAGTAACAAAGAAGTACGATTAAGCGTTGATTTATATTACTTAACAATTAACATTTATCTATACTTTAAGCACAATTTGAAGATAATTACGTCTTAAATCTTCTAGCTGGAAAACATTATGCGTGAAGTATCCTATAGGAATTATGCGGAAACGGGACAATTATTGGAGGAAATTACTTTCGAAGATTTTGTTAAACTTTACATCAATCATCGACCTGTATTTGGATATTCTATGAGAGAAATGAAAGAAGCTTTCGCAAGTTTTTGCGAAAAAGACTTGAGTAATGATGAAGATTTAATATTAACTCGAGATCAATTTATGAATATCTTATTTGGTACATACCCAGAGAATAATATCTTGAAAGATAAGAAACTTCTCGGTTAGTAATTTTAATTTCATTGTATTTTTTCCTATAACTTGAATTACGACTTCATTGAAAGGTGAACCACTGACATTAGAAGAAGCATATACATACCTAAAACTGCTTATTCCTTCGGAGGATGCCAATATAGAACATTTTGCAGATTCAAAAGGACAAATATCTACATCTATAAATTTCGATTTTCTACCATCGGTAAGAGTAACAATTGTACTGACTTGTATGAATCAAACGCTATTAAATAGGCTTTCGAAAATTAATGTATTATTATTTTATGATACAGAGGATATCTTACAAAGATTTTGTCACGGTTATTTTGGGTGTTGATTTGTTGGAGAAGATGAGGGCTGAGAATAAAATTACGTGATGTTTGCCGCACTGCCGATACAATTTTTTTACTCAATTTTTATATACATTATGAAAGTTATCTAAGGTAATAAAGAAATGATGGAAAAACCGTGTCTATCTTGCGTTACATGTTTCAATTAATTTTACGGGGAGAAAGAGAGGAAAGGACGATTGCACTATTTGAAAGATTTTCATTAATAAAAATATTTAAATTTGCAATCAAAATAAGCGCAGTATATGATCAAAGTTTTTTTTTTCTTTTTTTTTTAATAATCTTATTAAAAATATGTACGAGATTAAAATTTGTAAAACTGAAACATTTTCAATGACAATAGAAGAACTATCCCTTTCTTCTATATCCATTTCATAATACTGATCAATGATTTAAACATATTTTTAATAGTATTTATTTCGGATAATTTCGTTATGAGTTAAAGTCACTTCACTTTGAATTATCAAGTTAATTTTTTTATGTTAATAAGAAAGAAAAAATTGAGATATTTTAATTAACATTAATCCGAAATATTTTCAAAAGCTACGATAAAAGCGATAATACATCCAGGCATTAATGCGGCAGATTTCAAGAATAACTTTATGAAATGGACTTAAAGAAGTATAGGCAGAAATTTATTAAAAATTATATACTAACAATGTGCTGCATGATATTACACGATCAGCAGTCGTATGTCTTGTGCCATCTTATGCGACTAATTATTACACCGCTTGTCCCATTAGGAACGCAATTTCCTTATCTGAGCTACGATAGTTCTAACTGTAAGTATTGTTTTATTTGTTCATTTGATCTCGACACCTATAGCAACGCAGTGCCAGCGGTATGTCATTTACACATTTCTAATTTAAATGGAATATGCATTAATCAGGATTATGCCATTGCGAATGGATCCGCAATCTGTAAGAGAAACAATGTTGATAATAGGCCCAATAACTTTTGAAGCGCTGAATTAGCGTAGCAAGGTGTATAATTGCAGTGTCATCCATATCTGTAATGAAGAACATCTTTTTTCCTATCTTTTTTTCTTTTTTTTTCTTTTTTTTTTTTTCTTTTCTCTCTCCATACAACGCGTTACGCGATAGACTAGAAATAACGAAAGACCCATTTGTTTTATGAACCATATTTTTTTTTTTTTCTAAAAGCGTGAAGAAACTATAAGAGAAAAAGTAAGATCAACAATTTTAGACGACGAGAGCATCTATTTCTTTTCAACGTTAACGCGTTAAGTAAATAACATCAAAGAAACTTAACACATTAAATTATAAAATTGAAGCTATTCCAGCTATAAAATGGACCGTGATTCGTATCAATATCCCGACTTCACAACCGAGGTTCAACGTTTCATCAAAAACCAATAGTCAAGCACATGGTTAAACGATTGTTCGTACAATGGAGGCATGGACACCGCCAGCAGTGCCGACTGTCGGATCGGGCGCAACTGTAAATTGAATTCATAAAACACAGCCCTCCCCACTCTCGCGCGCGTGCTCTCTCTCTCTCTCTCTCTCTCTCTCTCTCTCTCTCTCTCTCTCTCTCTCTCTCTCTCTCTCTCTTCACATTCAAGAAATTTTGCATCCCTGGCGCAATGCAGTCTACAGTCCTAAAAACCGATGTTACACACCGCCTATCATCTAAATTGAAGTCTATACACGGCATTTCATCGTTAAAAGAAGTACAAACAAATGTACACAAAAAACCTTATTTCATTGTTATAAACTCTAGGGCATATTTACAATTATATACAAACATTCTTGTTATTGGCTTAAGAAAAATATCAACATGGAACAGCGTATATCATTTTTTGTTTTTTTGTTTTTTTTCTTTTTTTTCTTTTTTTTTTACCAAGAAGAAAGAAAGGTAAACGCTATGAGTACGTCTAAACTTAATTTTAAGTGAGCTTGGTATTAAGATTTAAAACGGTCACTCACAATATCCATGCTATCCTTAGAAGATCGAAGCAGGCACCGTCTATCGTTATCAATCGAAATAGTCTTCTCTATTTTGCACAATACCATGCTTTTTCCTACAGTCTGGACAATACCACTTGCCCTTAGGTGGCACCATAATGCCGACACACTCGAAATGAAACCACTCGATGCGACAGTCCTCGCCGTCGCAAGCGATCATTTCGGATACCTCGTCGTAGGGACATTGACAGTAACAATACAGATTAACTGGACGCTCCGTAATCGGTGGGTTGCTCTCCGAAACGTGGCTCTGCGATTGCTGTTGAATTGACATTTCAACATCGGAACCACTGGATTCGCTACTACTATCTGCCGGTCCCTCGGACTCCGTCGCGGATGTTGCCGTCACGTTCAAAAGCGATTCGGTATGAGTCTCAACGACATTCGACCTATAAGCCACAGTCTTTCCACCAAAAGATAATCGTTGCTGTAGAGGCTTGGGATTCGGTGCAGGTACGAAAGACGGTGCCTCGACGACCTTCCTCCATTTCATTGTCGGCTGCTTCTCCGTCTCCTCGTCGCTGGAGTCGCCATAAAAACGCTTTGGTATACGTTTCCTCTTCGATGATCTTTTGTTCTCCGTTTCGGAACCGCTACCACCGATATTCTGATTTGTATGAGGATGAGATTCGACCGCCGTTACAGCCGTTTGAATATCGTTCGTGATAAGATTCGGCGTCGACGATCTACCAAGCTGATGATGTTGATGATGGCCGATCATCGTTGCCGAGGAGACGGAGAAGTTTGAATTCTTCTGATAATACGCTTTAGGAATGTTAAGCTTCAATGATTCCACCATTGGAGTAGTAACGACGCGTTGCTTACCCCTCTCGCCCCGTTTACGTTTTTTCGTTTTTACTTTCTTCTTTTGTTGCTGCGGTTGATCCTCGACGCTGGGCGTTGGATTGGGCGATGGAGTAACACAACTTTCGTCCGTTATACCGTTGTTCAATGGAATTCCCGATTCCGTCGAAGCTGGTGCAACGGCTGCAAGCAACAACAGCTGATTTCTCTTTTCTGCCAATAATTTATTAGCAAGTTGCTGCGGATGCTCGTCATAAAAGTCCTCATCCGTTAGGGTCTCGTCCGTTTCTAAATCCGATTCCCTTAACAATGGTTTGGGAAGAGAAATCGGTTCGATGGGTACGTCGGTTACATTGTCCACTTCGATGGGTGCTTCCTTATTTTCATTTTCTGCGACACCAGGTTGATTCTTCTGATCAACTTCCTTTTCCTTCTTACGTTCTTTACGATTGGACGATTTACGGGGAGAACTTTCCGATGCAGAACTATCGGAATCGGAGCTACTACTGGAACTCGAGGAACTACCGGACGACGAGCTACTACAACTACAATTGGTACCGCAGGAACAGCTGCTCGAGTCGCTTTCGCTAGAAGAATCGCTCGAAGATGTACTACCATTTTGTTTCTTCTTCTTAGGACTCTTCCCTTTTTTCTTATTTACATCGCTCTCACAGCCAGTATTTTGTGCTAAACTACCAGCGGATGGGCTTCTTTGTAGCTTGTTGTTGGTGTAATCAGAGAAATCGACGTTACCCGTTCCTTTCTCATCTTCTTTAGCTACGCCTTCGGTATTTTTTTCTTTCTCCGACCATACGACGCAATAATCGTGATCGGCCAAAACTATACTCCTCAAAAATGCAACGTCTATTTCAGGTTCGGGTTCTTTGTTGGAAAGATTGACCGATTCTTGCATCTCCAAGCTGGCCGTATATGATTTAAAATTATCCCAAATGCCATCCATTATTTTTGCTTCTTGTTTCTTTTCCTCTTCGTTTTCCTCTTCATCTGCTATATTATCATTAGCTTGTAACGGTGATGCTGCTTTAGCGGATATTAAAGGTGACACCGTTTCCTCCGTGTTACCTCGCTCGGAGGTTACCTCATTTTTCTCCGCGCTTTCCTCATTCTTCTTGATATCGTCCTTCGCTTCTTCGGTTTCGCTCTCGCTATCGGAGGATAAATTGAGCGGTGGCAAATCATAAACATCTACCACCTTTTTTACAGTCTCCTTAACATCTTTTGTACCTTCCGAGGTGCTCAACGCCAAGTGATCCACGGTATTTGTTTTATCTTTATCAGATTTCTCATCGACAATCGAAAGCTGATTGTTCGTCGCATCTACCGTGCAAACGTCTACGGGTGGTGGCTCTTTATGACTTTCTTCGTGTTTAGTCAAGAGCCTTTGTGAGATGAAACGTTCAGAGCATTCGCTACAAGAGTACGGTTGATCTCCCGAATGTAATCTTTTATGAACTTTTAGCGCTACTGCGCGACTAAAGCTGGAACCACATTCTTCGCAAACGAAAGCCGTAGGTGGGATACAGAAATGATAAATATGCGGCCATTTCTTTTGTAAACATTTTTTACATAGAACACTTTCGGTGCCGTGCTTCCAGAAAAGGTGTTTCGTAATATCGGGCTTGTTTCTGTACGCGATGCCGCATCGATAACACAAATGATGAAGCTTGTGCTTCCATACGTGATTCGACAATCGTTGTTGATTTCCAGTAGTCTCCAAGCATACGTCGCAAGCATGATGACTCTTTCGTAAATGTACCATTAATCTGAATGCAGATGGAAGACTACTAATAGAACAAAGACAACATCTATACTTGACATTTATATTCGGTGAATATACGCCTGGACATAAATGACATAACAATTCACTGTAACTATAAAACGTTGATTTACACATTATACAAATTAAAATTGTCTTTTGATGCATTTTTCGATGGTGAGTATATAGTTCTTTGTGTATTGCAGAATTATATCTACAGTGAAAACATTCATATGTCCTAACAGTTTGAATATTATAGGTACCATTTGTGCTGCTGTACGTATCGAGATTGAAGTAATTCGTTTCGAGTTCCTCCAGAGACTTTTTTACTCTTACCGTAAATTGTTCCGGTTGTATAATTATAGCCGGATGCTGTGGATGAAATTTATGCTCAGAAAGCATATGTAATCCTAATTGTTTTCCATTTACAGCTATATGGCGTGCGTGATTGCAGTAGACACAAAACGGGCTAGCTGCTTCTATACATTTTTTCAATAAGTCTTCTATCTCTGTACTATCTAATGTACCTTCGACATTAAGATCTATAGGTGGGACATCTTCTCCAGCTAAAACTATACCGTCGCTCGGCTGGGTTGCTAATTCTGGAGCACAATTTATGGCATCTTTTTTCACATCATTATACGGTTCTGTTGTGCTAAATTCACCATTTGCATTTTCACCTATACCGAATTCCTCTTTCTCTTCGTGAACACTCGTATTTTCTTTCATTTCCATGCTTGATTTAGGTTTCGCCGCTATATCCTCAGATTGATCTAATTCATTAATATCATCTTCCGCATTACTATCTATTACAGCTAATTTATAGCTATCGGAATCACTATCGGCCTCGTTTATTTGATTACTTTCTACATTATCCTTATCCTTCTGTGTTAGACTTAAAAGCTTCTCTTCTGACGTTGATTCTTCTGCATTGTTATTCTCTTCGGAATCTCTACTAATATTATGAGTTTCTACATTTCCCGTCGAACTTACAGAAAATTGCGAATTCTTATTTGTACAAATTTTAATTACTAAACTTCTGTCAGACGCAGGGGCAGTATTAAACGAAACTGACGTTTGAGATTCTGTAGGCGGTGCAGCCTCAACATGTTTACTACCATCATCAGGATATTCTTCCTTTGGTTGGAGATCTTGCTGTGATTCATGTTGGGGACTAAATAACGATCGACTAATTGGACTATGAACAGGACTCGACGATGAGTGAGACTCTAAGTCAAACTTTGTTTTAGATATTTCTTCTACCTTTTCATCTTTCTCCACTAGATCCATATCTTTTGTTATTTGATGCTCAGAATTAATTTCATGTAATTCTTCATTTGTCGTCGTTTCTAAAGGAATGCTATCCATTTTATTACATTTATTTTCAGTCTGTGATTTTCCATTACTAGTTATGTCTGCATCAAATAATATCATTGCATCAGTTTTATTTGCTTTTGGTATATCTTCGTCCTCCTCAGTATCATTTGTACAACGTGAAACCTCCATAATAGTTTGAGTCACACTATCATAGGGCTCAATTTCATTATTATTTTGAATTAAAGAATTCTCTGGAGATGCTTTTACTATAGAAGATATATGATCTTCTTTTTGCTCTATTTCATTGCTACGGGAATCGTCAATACATTTGGATACCTCCATTATTGTTTCTGACACCGTATCCCTGGTTACATTAATCTCATCTTGTACATTTCCATCTCTAATCACTGTATCTGAGGAAAGTTTATTTTCATTAGATTGTGAAGTAATTGCTTTTGCATTAACCTTTTTCGCATGTTGCTGACAAGAATTAGATATACTATCCTCCCCATGTTTATTCCTATTATTTTTAATTACTTTTCTTGACGTTCCTTTGTTATTACCATTTGCTGGTTTCTCAACGACAAACGTTGATACCGTTCCTGTTTGTACAGTCGTCGTAACAGGTACCACAGGATCTGCTTCTTTATTAGATTCAACTGCTAAAGCACAAGTATTTGCATGCGAGCCTGTTTGACATAAAGAGCAGACAGTTGTAGAAGCTTCCTGTTTAGTCGGGGGAGAACAAAAATGGTTATAGAAATTATCTGTTTCAGAGAACATCTTTTCGCAAGTGCAACAAACCAAATAACATGATCCTTTGAAAGCACTGTAAAAGTCTTCAACAGAGTTAAATCCCATTTCTGGTACACTATGTTTCTTAGATAAATGATAAGATAATCTTTCTGCTTGTCCAAACATTCCTAGACAAAACAGACATATATGGCGTTTATGTATATCCCTCATATGTAAAAACAAATTCCAATTTTCAAAATAAGTACCACAAGCTGCGCACAAATATACTTTCCTTGTAATTTTAAAGTTAGCAGCATGTGATTGAGAGGATGTTTCAGACGTGCTCGGTAATCCTTGCATCGGTGCCATGGCAGTATTACACACGCACTGACTTTGCTTTAAATTCGTGAAAGTAGAATTTGTAGAAGAATGACACTTAGAACACTTTAACTTTGAAGAAGGTTGAAGTCCCAAATATTGAGCATACTCTGTTATCTTCCCCCTTTTACTTTCGGTTCTTTTTTCTTTATTAATTTTTGCTGATACATTTGAATGGGATATTTGCTCTTGAGAAAAGTTTTTAGAAGCAACCGATTGTATCTCCTGAGCTTGAGCCAAGATACGTTTTTTAAAACCTTTGAATACAATTTTCGATCCAGTATTCCTACTTGGTGAATCTTTAGGAGTTACTGAATTATATCTATTTATTCGTTTCCCTTCTTCGATCGTATCGATATATACGTTATCAACAGAATGTTTTAGAGTATTGCCAAATGTTGGATCTTTGAGCTGTTGATCTCCCAAAATGCTCCACATGTCCATAATTTTACTCTCACCATCTTCATCTTCCATAATAATGCAGACTGCTAGAACAATGTTACCTGAAATATAATAATAAAATCTTTTAACTTTTATGGAAAATCTTTCTGATGTCATCCTTTATGTATATGTATATATGTATACATATACATATAAAATAAAAAATAAAAAAAAGAGTTATATACACAAATATTAATTAAGTAATTATTAACAATAGTATGTAGATAACGAAGGAAAGTGACAAAAAATTATTATTTTTATCTGTACATTAAATTATCCAAGAATGCAAATAATATTAAATACATAACCTCATTCTTTCTACTTTTTTTTTTTTTCTAATGAAATATTTCCTTAATAAAATTGTCGATCTAAAAGAAGTTAATGTAACGTTATATAGAAGAAGATTATTTCATCATAGGATGAAATATATATCGTGTAAAGCTTAACATTAATGCACTTACAAATTCATCGTAATATTTAATAAGACTCTTAGTTAATTGTTCTTCAATTCAAGACATAAATTAATACGCTTGATAATTACTTTTAGAGCCTAATGAAGAATTTATTTGTCGATTATAAAATAGAACTTAAATAGTAGAAGAAAAAAGAAAAAAAAAATATATATATATATAATCTGAAGATCCGTACCTGCATTAATTTAAGAACGCAAATGTTTACTCCAAAATACGTAAACTCTATCTCGTACAATATCTTGGATGAAAACATTATGAAGTCTCATACGTGATGATCCTGCATACTTTGATTTTCCCTCCTTGGCCCGTCTTCAGAGACGAAAGAGCGATCGAAGTCGCGTCAAAGATGAAGTACATCAACGTAATGTTTTAACGACGTGTTCCGAGGAGACAATGCCGTAGAGTCCGAGCGTGGCCGGTCGGCGAGATCGAATGGCAAAGGAACGGCGCGACTTTTTATTGCGTGTAAAGAGCTCAACTCGGAATCACTAACCCGGACTCTATCCAGTTCTCGGCACAGACCTATTCAAATTCGTTCTTCGTGTTTTTCCTCGTAGAAATGTGTGCGATCGACTGTACGCGGATATTACGATAACGCTCGTAAACGATGATACAAAGCGTAGTACTATCCGTGATCAACCACGAACCGCGCCGAAAAGGTTAGTAAAATGGCGTCATATCAATCAGTACAGTCTCGTCGGTGCCTTCCAACACGTCCCCAGTGATGCCACCTTTTGTCATGTTCCATCTCAATCTCGAGAGTAGTTGAAAGTAGAGAAAGAGGGGAACGGTAACAACAGAGATAGATGGAATAGAGGAAGAGAGAAAAAAGGGAGCATGGAAAAGAGAAAAAGAGTGAGAGAGAGAGAGAGAGAGAAACGGGGAGATGTAAAATAAGGTTAAGCCGAATTCGTTTGAGATCGAATTATATGTTCTAATACGTCTCGAGTCCGTAGAAATAAAGAATTGATTGTAGATGTTTTATATCTGAGCACGAATTTTTCTGTTGCCTGGCGTACCACGGCTGTCGTGCAAAAACTCGATACACGTATCGACGGCATTTCTTGTGGACGCCCAACGTAGTATCCCGTACTACCACCTTTCACACGTTCTTCTACCCCATATAACCGCCCTCTGGTGTATTAGGAACATCATTTTCTGATTAACGAACTTTTTCATTCATACTTTGTCAATTTTCGAATTTGCATTGCGAACGAAGGATGCTTTTTTTTGCAAAACAATAACATATGTATAGAAAATAATTATAATGGTTTTCTTCAATAATGATATACTGTGTTGTGGATAAATCGATGATTTCTACAAAAAGAAAAAGACGAGAAAAAAAGAAAAAAAAAAGGAATACTTTCACATTGCGATATCAAATTTTGAAAACAATTGTAACATATTACATTATTGATAAATATACATTAGCACAAATTAATATATCCCGACGATTTTAATTACAATTTATATTAATTTATATACTTCTTTTTTTTTTCTTTTTTTTTTTTTACATTCTATAAATCTTTCATCGTCATGTTATGAACTGACGATCAAACGCTCTTAGTTTTTCATCGAAGTATGTCGCCATCTAATGTTAAAAAAATGAAATATGTAGAACATTTATAAAATAATACGATGATGTTAATGTGTGCTTTTATTCGAGAAATTTATACAACGAAATTGGCACGACATGTAACTTATTATATTCTTTATATTTTAATTGGATATTGATTATGATATTTCAACAATTTGTTTTTTAAAATGTACCAATAAATGAATCGTTTTAATGGAGGATCGCTTATTGGTCAATTTTACGAGTAACATTGAGTATCTTAAAATTTGGAAATCTATGTACATTGGAACATCTTATACTCCGATATTCGAAGATCAGTGCATGAAATATTTTACAACCGGTTTTCTCGAGACTAGAATACCCGGCTGTATATCGTGGCTTTTTGGCGGGCGCAATTTCTTTGGCGGTTTCTTAACTCTTATCTTTAAATCTGAAGCATATATCACGTATAAATGGGTGATAAGGACGGCGGTAAGAAGATATAAGATATATAATATTTTTATATCACATTAATCTTTGAACATAAGTATTAATTGGTTATTTTTCATAAAGGACGCTTCTTCACCCGGTACCATAAACAATGTCGTTTTCTTATATCAAATTTCTACTTTTCGTACTCGTACAAAAATTAAGCGTCTAGGTTTAATTATTAATATCTCATGTTTCTAAAATAAATTTCTTTTAAAATATAAAAAGAAATATATTCAATTGAAAGATATCACTTAATCGTCCTACGCATATTTCTATAGCAATTAAATATATTGTAAAATTTTACATATTCCTTATATTTCTATCAAGTTGCTTTTAATAAATAATTTTTATTCTATATTGTTATACGTGATAGATTTTAGGATATATGTCTGATAAGATAAAGAATAAGATGGGTATAATGAATATAGAATTATTAATTAATAATTTTTGTCTAACAAGAGAATCAACAATATTGTTTATATTTTTCCACTTTAGAAACTTTTGATGATGCAGTGGAAGAACGTGTTATTAATGAAGAATACAAAATATGGAAAAAGAATACACCATTTTTATATGATCTTGTAATGACACATGCTTTGGAATGGCCATCTTTAACTGCACAATGGTTACCAGATGTAACTAGACCAGAGGGAAAAGATTATTCTGTTCATCGTTTGATCCTCGGTACGCATACGTCGGATGAACAAAATCATTTGCTAATAGCAAGTGTTCAATTACCTAATGAGGACGCTCAGTTTGATGCTTCTCATTATGACAATGAGAAAGGTGAATTTGGAGGATTCGGTTCTGTAAGTGGAAAGATAGAAATTGAAATAAAAATTAATCATGAAGGAGAAGTGAATAGAGCCCGATACATGCCACAAAATCCTTGCGTTATAGCAACGAAAACTCCATCAAGCGACGTTTTAGTATTTGATTACACAAAACATCCTAGTAAGCCAGATCCAAATGGCGAATGTCATCCAGATCTAAGGTATATATTAATATTTTCCTATTTTATATATTCTACATTTAAGTTTATGTCATAATTTTGTGTATTTATTCAGGTTACGAGGACATCAAAAAGAAGGCTATGGATTATCATGGAATCCAAATCTTAATGGGTATTTGTTGAGTGCATCAGACGATCATACAATTTGTTTGTGGGATATTAATGCTACTCCTAAAGAAAATCGTGTAATCGATGCCAAGACCATTTTTACAGGACATACAGCTGTTGTAGAGGACGTTGCATGGCATTTATTACACGAATCTCTGTTTGGGTCGGTTGCGGATGACCAAAAATTGATGATCTGGGATACGAGGTACGATTATTTATAATCATATAAATGAATAATGAATAAATAACAAAATTTGATTGATAATATTATGTATTTAATATATTTTAATATATAAGAACCTGTATATTATTACAGATGCAATAACACTAGTAAACCAAGTCATACAGTCGATGCTCATACAGCAGAAGTTAATTGTTTAAGTTTCAATCCATATTCAGAATTTATACTTGCCACTGGTAGTGCGGACAAAACAGTAGCGTTATGGGATTTAAGGAATTTAAAATTAAAATTACATTCCTTTGAATCTCATAAAGACGAAATCTTCCAAGTTCAATGGTCACCACATAATGAAACCATATTAGCAAGTAGCGGTACAGATAGGCGTTTGCATGTATGGGATCTTAGCAAAATTGGAGAAGAACAGTCTACTGAAGATGCCGAAGATGGCCCACCTGAATTATTGGTAATTCTATTGATTAATATGATTTATCAATATAAATAATCTCATAAATTATTGTATATATATATATATATTTTTTTTTTTATATATATAGTTTATACATGGGGGACACACTGCAAAGATTAGTGACTTTTCATGGAACCCTAATGAACCTTGGGTAATATGTTCAGTATCAGAAGATAATATAATGCAAGTTTGGCAAATGGCAGAAAACATTTACAATGATGAAGAGCCAGATACACCAGCTAGTGAACTTGAAGCTGGTGCTTCATAAATCGGAAGAATAATTTATTATGTCATCTGACATCGAAGTCAAGTACTGAATAGTACTGTTGACTATTGAAATGAACATTATTGAATCATAAACGGCATTAAAAATGGTGATTTATATATTTGTAAGATCTAAAAAAAAAAAAAAAAAAAAAAAAAGCAAAAAAAAACAAAAAACAAAACTGTGTGCTATAAGTGATAACATTATGGAAGAGCAATAATATTTCGGTTCTTCATTAATTTTAATTACTTTCTTGTTTTTTTTTTATTTTTATTTTTTTTTTTTTTTTTTTTTTATCATGATTACATTAACCTTAATTTTTCACATCAAGATGTATATCTATCGAATTTTTAAAATGCATATAACATGCGAAAAGTACGAAGTACTGATTCGTTGATTAAAATATCAGTACTGTAAATTTGTAAAAATGTTCTATCATAGGCTTACTGCGTGCATCAATCAAGAATTTATTTTTAAATTCTCTTGTATTAATCAATATTATAGAATGTTTTTTTTTGCTGCTCGTGTATCAATTGTTTATGTAATTGTTTATGTAATTGTTTATTTGTACAACAAATATTTCAATACTTTCACGTGTTCTGTTTAATGATTGGAAGAATTTATACAACATTGTTATTTTGTATTTGCGCAAGTTAATATCTTGCTTTCACATTATTTCTCTATATACAAGATGTATTATTTACTTTGTTTCTTTAATAATACATGATATTAAACAGATGTTAAATCAAGAAATTTATATTTGTCAGCAGTGAGCCTATCAGTAACAGCGTTCTTATAATTAGTAACTTGGGTTTTTGGATAGCTCTTAGGTACATATAAAATAAATACTAAACATCCAGGCACTATATCATGTCGCTAAATATAAAATCAAATTGGAACATAAATTTCTATGATAAATTACATTAGCGACAAAGAAATCTCTATTAAGAATTTATCAATTCGCGTTCTTTCAATTGGCACAAAATATTTGATATTACTAATTTTTTAGAATCTTTTGAACGACGTATTAATCAATCATCTAAATAATTTAGTCCTAAAATCCACCCTGTATTAGATCCATGCTATAATAAGAATGTTGGGTAAAATTTATGAGATTGAGATGCTGCATAACATCCGATAATATTTGAATCGATTACAATTTGAAAGTCAATATGATATCTAATACATAAAATGTACATAAACAAATTTTTATATATCGTTTATAAGATAAATAGGTTTTAAAAGCACCCATTGAAAATTCCGTGTGATTTTCATATTACTCGAAAAAGAATTGTTAAATATCAATGTAAGCTTAGAATAATTTATCAAAATATCGTTCTTGTTACACTTTCACGTGCGTCAACTCTGCTAGATGTTCCAGGATGTATCATTAACATTTTACATTATACATTTTCTTCAATATTATCGATCGTCGCGGTAATAATTATATATATATATATATTTTTTTTTTTGGCACTTATTGTTAGTAGTAAAATTACGAATGTGTATAAGACGAAAAAATTGTTCCCCTATTATATGGTCGTGTTAGATAGTTCGTTGTATATTTGGACAAGAAGCGAATCCTCGTATTCGGCTTCAGGACTTTTCAATGATATCATATTTTCCGAATCTAAGTTCGTAAATCTGCAAAGGAAATTATATGTATTATAAATTTATCATCGAGTCTTCTTCGTAATCGTGATCAATTGAATTATTCGAAATATTACCAAAACCTGTGTATCAATAGGATGTCGTTTATAGAACGCGACCTGTGTCGGCTATGCATGCAAAAATAAAAAAAAATTTACAAAATATAAAAAAATGAACGTTCGCAAAAACGAATGGAACGTAAACACGATCAAATATATTGTGCGCAAAAATATTTTCAATTAAACGACAAAGATTTCCGAAAATTTACCTTTTACCTAAACTTTGTCGTTTGATACCATCCAGAAAATTGATTATAGAGGGTGTTAAGGCAGGACGAAATATCTGTGAGACAATAATATTATCGTCGATCACGTCATTATGTACGTCATTATGTATAACGAGATGACGATGCAAACGTTCTTACCGTAACGGGCGCACAGCGCATTTCCCGAAGGTCTATGTTCCTGAAGAGATCATGAATGAGAAGTTCTTCTATACTCGGATACCGATTTCTAGACTCATCAAATATTATCTCAAGTAATTCGATGACCTAAATATCATACTTTGGTTAATATCCCTTAATGAGGAAAATCAAATTGAAGAGAATAGAATGGTGCAATGCGCGTTTGCATTAAGGACAAATCTTACCTGTGGATATGTCTCGATATCCGAGAGATGCGCAGCGGTTGGCTTGAAGGAACATAATTCGTAACCGGCGCACATTTCGAACAACATGTGACCTGAATAGAGAAGAGAGATCTGAACATTAGAGGGCGAATTTTTTTGCTTTATTATATCGATCGAATCGTTACTTTTACCAAAACATATCACGTCCACCGTGCTCGTTTTCGTCAATCGAGATGTCACTATAGGATGTATCCTGCTTTTGAAACCTAAAAGGGTGTTTTCGAGACCAGCGAGACGAGCAACGCCATTTTGTACAACGACGTTCCCAGAATGTAAATGAGCGACTACAGGAAATCCTCTTTCCTTAAGAAACACTAAAGCTTCCAATATCTGCCTACCCATCTGTTGGATCTGTGATAAGGGTAGACCTTTACCACGAGAAGCGTACTTTTGACTCCAATCATCGTTCCAGCAATTCCTCTCGATCTGAGAACCAACGTGATATCTTAATAAATTAAGAACATATATTAATATTGGAGATCGAACGTCAAGAAATTCTAACGTCTATCGATAATTTCTTCTAAACTCACGCCATATATAAGATCCTTCAGGCTACCGTGATTGATAGGTTGGATTAAAACAACGTAATTGAGTTCCTCGTACTCGAGAAACTCTAAACCGAATATAGGACAAATGTATGGATGCTGTAGTGCGAGAAACAAATTATTTAATATGTCTTTCGTCGAAGGACAGATACTCAATGGACAATTTCTATTTAAGGGCATCAAAGTGATGAGTCTATCGGTTTTGAGCGAAGTATCTCTTACGGCGAACCAGTGCTTGTCCACTCTCGATCCTAAAAAAAATAAAAAATAAAAAAAAAAAAAAAAACATACGGTAGAAAGAAATAAGAAAGAATACGTATTTTCAATGGAATGAAAAAGGAACGTTCAATTAGATGGATTTTCTATTACAGAATAATTCGCACGTAAAACTCACCGACGTTGTTGAGCTGCTTGATGAGAGTATATCGAGAGGTTCGTTGGATATAAGTCTGACAAATTGATAAAGCACGATCTCTGGACCTTTTCTCCATTTCCACGTACTCGCCGACGTCCTCGCAAGCGGACGGTCCGTGACCTAGTGCAGTGTAGTGGTGTCGTCCATTTCTACGCCAAATACAAACAAAATCCTGCTTAACCTCGTTTTCCTATGTCTTTTAAAATCGAACCTATGCGAACAAATATCCCTCGGATAAAAAGTAACGTCTGTTCGAACCTCGACACTTTTATATTACGATACTTTTTTAAACATATACAATATCTCCGTGTATTTGATATATTTTTTTTTATTCATTTATACTGGAGATACTGAAAGAGATTTAAATTCGGATAATGTTCCTGATGGAACAAAGTGATAATATCTTTTGGCTCATTTTCAGATGGAAATTATTTCCATTGGTAAAAGGTCGACTCTAACGATATCGTTTTTTAAAGTATCTTCCTCTTTTACGGTTATACATCCGTTATCAAGAGAGGAGACGTAGCTTGACCTCGTTCGATGAACCACTCTACTCTACCTTTAAGCTTACAAAACCTATGAATGTTAAATCAGCTAAAGGAATATTTGATGCTAGCCGCAGTTTAATCGGCTCTCGTCAACAGAAGTTCTTCTCTAGAATAAGGAGCACTTTTATAATATTCGCGTTGTAAAATAAAATAAAAAAAAAAAAAAAAAAAAAAAAAAGAAAGAAAAAAGAAAGAAAGAAAGAAAGAAAGAAAGAAAATGAAGAAAGATTTTCTACCTGTCCACTTCTTCATCGCCGTCGTCTAAACGTTTTTCTATTTCTATCTCTATGCTTTCGCTCGCTAATCCCGTTGGATCGGTTCTTAAGCGTTGCCAGAAGCAGATTAGATTTGCGAAGCAAGAGTTACGAAGTGGACGACGCGCATTATCTTTATTACTATGCCATGCTGCTCTGCGACTGCAAAGGTTTCATCCAATAAGAAATGGTCACACACATCGATATCATATTGTACTATTTTGAGCAATTAGATTATAAATATTTCAAATATATTAAGATCCTCGTTTAAGATCCCTCGATTATATCGATATACGAGTATTCCTTCGCGAGTAACGAAACAATGATTTATTATTAAATTCGTTTACGTTGTCGAATTCTGATTAAATCTATCGATCGTTGAATTATTCGACGAGCTTTAAAACAAATACGAGTTACCCGATGGCTCGTCAATTTGATCGATGAAAAAATTAAGAAATATTTTAGATGACTTTAATTCGCTCGTTCGATAGATTGTTTTTCTTCGATATACATGCGCCTGACAAATTAATTGTTAACTAAAAAATATTGGATGTTACCTTCGCGATTCCGCAATTGGTTTTCTAAATATTCTAACTCTTGTATTTTGTTCGCATGGACGATGAACATTTTCCATGGAATATCATAAGTTTATTTCTTAAACGTTAAATTTAACAAATTTGTCTTATGAATTAAATTCGATGGATATGTAATATACAGTGCTAAGGATACAATTAAACTGAATTAACGATTGTATGATCTATTTGTAAACAATTATTTATAGTATTTATTTTGATGGGTTCTTCTTAGTATGGCAACGAGACGATCAAGGAAGAAAACAATCTTTGTACCAAAGGTGTATATGTATAATCGATAAATGGATAGACACGGATAAATCTTCTTGAAATATACTTGAGAGAAAAGACAATGAGATTGGGGATGAGATGAAAAACGACGATAATCTCAATAGCTGGCACGATCTTCTAAGAATAAGCTTCTATCAGCTAGCGATTCGAACAATACCTTACGGTATCAGGCTGTTATTGAATAACCAATACGCGGATCTTCCTATCCGATCAGATGAAAGGATATTTTTATTATTATATATTTTCAAGGAAAAATATAAACTAAACGAATTTAAAAAGAAATTATGCGGCAAAGTAAAGATATATGTACATATATACGAGTGATATATATATATATATATGTGTGTATAAATAATAGGCTAAAGTATAATCTCAAATCGAATGGATAAAAGTGAATTACCTTTATCATATATTAATACATATGTCCCAGGTTTGCTGATTCGCACAATGTGTTCAAAGAATCATTGATTTGTTCGAGAGATGATAAAATAAAAAAATAACAAAAAAAAAAAAAAAGATAAAATAAAATAAAAAGATAAATACAAGGACGATAAAGAAAAGTTGGGGGGGGGGGGGGGGGGGGAAAAGAAGGTTCAATCACCTGATTTCATTTTGATCTCTGCATCCTCGAGCGGCCGAGACACGACTGAAGAGTATCTTAGCTAAATTGTCAATTTTGTTGGTCAACTGATAGCCCTTTTCCTCTTCGCTCTCATCGTCCTCGATACTTGCACTTCTTCCACGACGAAGGACACCACGGGCAGAAACTATAGCTTCCGAATCGAGCTCTATGGCACTTTGAGTTCTGCGATTGACGGCACGTCGTTTCCGTCGTGTCCTTGGCCTCTCCTGCCAAAATCTATCGTGTCCAGTGACATCCGATTCTCGATGGCTCTCACCCTCATCCTTCTTGTTCAAACTTTGATAGAGATTGAACATCTTTCTCAAAATTTTCCTTAATTCTTCTGGATGGATTAAATGCCTTGGTCCCAGTTAAACTGAAACAAATTTCGAATTTCGCAACTTTCTTAATTATACTTTCCTTCTTTCTTTTTCCCTTCGATTCTCATTCAATTTTCAATTAATCCAAACACGTGAGAACCTTTTTCTTTTTTTTTTCTCTCTTAATCTTTTAATTTACGTATATACCTCGTAAAGTCGTCTCTTTCTCTTTCTGTCTCCCCCTCCCCCCCCCCCCTCTCTCTCTCTCTCTCTTTCTCTCTTTGAGAATAAAATAGAATTCGTTTTATCGAGGACGGATCATATTCGTTTGGCCCTCGACACTGACCGTTACTGATCACCGTCCGGTCGAACGAAGTTCCTCCGAATGTGAGAATCGAGTTGATGGTGCATGGAGAATACCGTGGGAATGCACCGGTTGCACTCGTCACGAGAGCCACTCGTGCAGTGTCGCCGGGCAGCGAGGGTGGACGGGCACTGAACGACGCGAGCTCGCACCCCCGGCCTGACACAGATTTGCCAGGGCAAGTACTACTTTTTACCCTCGCTTTCTGCGCTCGCGCCGATCGCGGTAACAGAAATCGGAGGGTAACGTATACGTTTGGGGCTTCGGATGCGAATATAACCGAATAAAGAGACTATCGACGAATCTCTTCCAATTCTCTCTTTAGATTTTATACAAACATATCGTATCTTTGAAATTTTATTTCTTTTTCTTTTCTCCTTTTTCTTTTATACAAATTTTATACAAACAATTCGATCGATTTGCGCCTTTGCATTACCATCCGTGGTTGCAAATTTATTATCAGGAATGTATGATACTCGTAGAGTGGATTCATCCTGTTGCGTTTTCAGTATTGTAACGTATACACATATACATATGTACATACTTATCTAAACACACACATAAATATGTATATATATATTATAGGTATAAAGCAATTCGATCGAAGATGAAAAAAATAAAAGTAAAATTTCATGTGAATATCATTCGTAAAAAAAATCTTTTTAGGAATTCCTTCCAATCTGCAGATAGCGAGAAAGTCGTCGATAGGAAATGTTAGAAATCCAATTATACATATTTATTTGAAATGTTATGCATATTTCGGATTCCTTTAACCTCTATGTTGAACTTGAAGACCGCATGGCAACTTTAATCTCGCTTTGCATTTTTATGGCTGCTTTCAAGGACGATTGAAAAAATTGAAAACGACATACCTTTGTCGATCTTTCAAAAATCTCTAAGATCAAACGATAAAGGGAATTCAACTCTATTGATAGTCTCTCTCTCTCTCTCTCCCACGCTCCCCATTTTCATATACGAATAAAATATTGAAATAACGAAGTAACGATCCATAGGATTAATATTTAGATATTTATTAAAAATATAAAAATTTCTTTAAAGCAAACTTTTGATCAAATTTAGCTTTCACCAGATCGTTCTTTTGTCAACATCATTTGGTAATGTAGTGGCCAACTTTCTATTGAACGTCCTTCATATACCTACAATTACATTAATATATCCCTGATTTAGTATAAACGCAATTATATATAAAATATAAATAATGATATGCAAAAGTTATATACGAATACCCGTGACATAAATTCTAAGATATCACGATGAGATACTTCGTATTCGGCACGGGGACCCCATTTATATTCATATTTTTGTGAATCTCCTTTATATATTGCCACTTTTTCAAGGTATTGTTGCCCAACAAAATCCTTAAGAAAATATCGTTTATCATTAACATCATTAATAAGCCTGTTCATAATTAAGAATATAATTTGTTTTACCACGGTAACTAATTTTTTTACATCTCCAAAATAATCATGCTGAAAATCATCTTCCTTTATTATTTCCAAGTGTCGTAAAAAATCCCACAGTGTTTCTGCAACATTCAGGTTTAAATAAATATTGTATGAAATTTATTGCAGATGCAGTAAATCCAATGCTAATTCATTATTAACCTTCTGTACATGCATCTTCGTACATGAATATATGAGCAAGTATTATAAATAAAAGAACTTGTTGAGCTTTTATAGATTTTGTAAACTTAAGATGTGGTATGCTGTTTTTTATTTCATTTACTAATATGTATTTGCCATTACCAATGTCTACCAGTTGATATCCAAATACCTTTCAAGGAATGCATGTAATATTTCTAAATTATTCCATGATATTATGATATATTTATAGAATGTCACTTTCAAGAGAATAATATACTTTATGATATACCTGGGATAAAAGAGACTTAACTCTTTCTATTACTTGACGAAAATTCTTTGTAGTTCCTCCAAGAATATTTTTAATAATATGTATTTTTTGTATAACATGTTTTTTCTTTTCCACAGTAAATATATAACGTATGACTCTTCCAGCTAAATCTATCTCTTCTTGCAAATTTATACTTTTGGAATCTGTTCTTAATCTTCCATCAGACTCTTCAGAGTGCAAACTTGAGCTACCTTGAGAAAGAGCATTACGGCCACTTATTCTAGCATTAGAAGAAGTTCCATTTTTTTTTGCTTGTCTTTCACCAGTACTCTGTGACATATGTCTACGTATACCACTACTAGTACTTTGATATATATCCTCATCGTCTTCCTCTTCTTCGCTAATATATTCATTAAAATTTCTTCTTGTTAAAGGACGTAATCTATTTTCTATAAGAAAATTTAATTTTAATAATAATAATTAGCTTATTTTTTTAATAATTATTATCATACGTACGCATCTTATAAAAATTTAGATTAGATCTTCTATGATTTCTTTTGATCCTCGAAAGATATTTGTGTAATGTTAAAATTTTTGTGTTTAATAATTATTTACAATCGTTATTCCTTACAAAAGTACGTATCTATCTAATACGACAATGTAACGCTTCAAAACAATATTTCTATTTATACTTGACGTTACCGATAATTCGTTAGAAACAAGTTATAGCGCCACTAGTAGCGGGAATTGAAATTACGTTTGACGAAATCATTTTATCCATATAAATTATCTGTAGGTAAGTAACATTTCATACTTTATCGGTAACGTTCGATTGAAAATGCAACTTATCAATAGAAAGCTTTTCAAGTTCCTGCGATGAGCAACTAGGATATAAAAAAGAAAAAAAAAAAAAAAAAAAAAAAAGAAAAAAAAATCTTAACGAAATATTTGAAATGTCATTTTTCAAGGGTATAATATTCAATTCAATAATGAATATTTTAATAGCTGTCTAATAATTATTAGAAATAAAGAATCATTAAGAAGAGAAGGATAAAATGTCAGCGATGAATTCTATATTTTTCGTTCAATTGTAATATCACATTATAGTTAGAAAGAAATTAGAGTTACGTGGTTATTACAGGAAACAATCTTTCTGTATAAAGCGAGAGGAGAATTCAGGGAAACTTGTTTCAATGTGAACGGTTGCACCTGTTCAGCGGTCCGTTCATTTCTCTCTTGATGACAGCCAAGGAGAATCCGACACCTTGTGTAATTCGTCTTCTCTTAACAGAACAATAGAATCACTAACAAATTCTCTCTCTCTCTCTCTCTCTCTTTCCTTCTTCCTCTGTCTCTGTCTTTGTGTCTCACGCTTGGACATTTTACGAGCAAAGTGAAAAAAAATGTTGGCAATTTGTTATCGACAAATATCTAAGATTTATTTGATCGCGACTTGAAAATAATAAGAAAAAAATGTATAGTTTTTGTCCTGTATCCAAGACAATTCGATTTGAAGAGAGCAATGATCATCGGTCAGCTAAATAGAGCCGCGTCTAAATTCGGATGGCAGCTGGTGCGACGTTGGTAAAACAAAGACAAGTACAAATAAGAATAGGCGAGTCTCCAAACGAAACTTGATTGACATTTCGTTTAATCCTACATTAGAGATTAACATTTTAAAGTTACAATTACGTTTTCTCTGGGAGAATATATTTATAGTAAGGGAAAGAAAAAAAGAAAAATGTTAGTAAAGAAATCCATGCTGTTAATTGGTCGAACCAAACGACATCGTTTAATTAGCACGAACGAGTGCAATTATTAAAAAGAAAACGATCGAGTTATAAGTTCGAATTACGTCGATTATTAACGTCGTTCTACAAGTTGGCTCCTTTGGTCTGATCCAACGAACGATACCTTGTTGGAAGTAAATGGCGTAACGAAAACGGTGGTTCGATATAATCACCTAATTGCATGCTGCCGAGCAGATAAAGCGCACCTCCGAGTGTTCCCTCGCGCACGGTCATCGACGTTACCTTCTTCATCGTCCCGATAATTGATCAGATTTATTCTTTTCTCCGATGAAAGTCAATAGATTTGGGTCGATATTGGGCACGATTACTGTTGAAATATTTCATTATTACGTTTATTACGTAGCAGCTCGTCAATTTGCTAGTTTCGATAATCAACGAAATTCCTATTCGTAGAAAATTCTCTTATCAATGAATAAGATTAACAAATACAAAGAGGAACTGGCCGCGTTCGTCGAGTTTCTTCTCGACGAACGTGATCGGAGCTTGAAAACGGCGTAACATCGAGGAGAGTAATTTAACGAGGCAAGTCTAACTCTCTGGCGCACTCTTTTGAATAAATTCCGCTAGACGTACGGTACGTTACGGTGCATACAATAGTACCTACCAAGATAAGCGTCATTGTTCGTCATCGCTGATAAAAACTAGTTACGCCAAGCTTGGACAGCGTGCAACATTGTCTCGAAGCGAAACGCATCGTCGTGCTCGCCGTCATCCTTCTCTCCTTCTAACGTTACGGCCAGAGCACGTAATTGTGTATCTGCCATAAGACGCAACGTGCATGCGACTCGACAATGAATTATACAGCAAGTAGCCGTACATGGACTTGTGTGAGGAGTGAAAGAGTGAGATAGGAGATAGATAGATAGATAGATAGATAGATAGATAGATAGATAGAGAGAGAGAGAGAGAGAGAGGGGAGAGAGAGAGAGAGAGAGAGAGAGAGAGAAAGAGAGAGAGGAACATTGGCATGGAAAGACGCCACGCGCGAAGCCAGTCTCGTGCGTCCGCAATGAATCTTATTTGCAAATGATATTACTTGTATATCTTCTTAAATTGTCATCGGGTTTCTTCGTAGATCGATATTCAATATATTATGATGATCCTGCATAAATATAGATTAAATAGTTCGTCATTGATATCGTTTCCAGTAGAACGCGTCGCATGCGTTTCACATTATTCGCGTGCGGTATGCGTGTACATACGTGGACCGCGTGCGTTTTCGAGCTTACACACATTCCGAGGGTAGTAATTTCGTGCCTCTATTGGATCCCCGTACACGCGATCGTAGAATGGAACACGAATCTCGTCGATTCGGCATTACGCGTCGCGTAATGAGAATTGTAATTTGTGCATACATCGCGACCGATGCGAATCTAATATGTATTCTAGACCGCTCGTGGATATTTCGTCCACGGTGTGCGACATGAAACGAGATGGCTGAGCGAGATGCATATTAACGCGATTAATTAGAAACGACGAAGGTATCCTTTGACGACAATGATAGACAAGGAATCGACGTGATACGACAATAGAACATTATGAGGATATATCGAAAGGTAAATGAATAAAATAATTTAAACAATTTTTTAAATATTATAAATAATAGAATACTCGCGAAACATCATTCTTTTCGCGTAATTAATCCTACGTCGGATCCTTAAAGTTACGTTTACAAAAGTATCTACGAAAAAGGAAAGGAGTTGGGTGTGTTCGATTTGATCTTTGAAGAAGACAGAGAGAAAAGAAGAGGACCGGATCCCCGAATATGGAGCTTCTCTTCTCCTACTGGTACCTCTCCTGGCCCCTCCAATAAGGCTTAATGGGGACGGACAAGGAACGAGTGCGCCGCCTCGTTTTGTGTGGTCCAAACGAAGGATCGCCGAGAGTGCCGAACCCTGGGCTCATTTTTATTCCGGGGAAGCTGTCCATGGACGTACGTCGGACGTTTCTCAAACACCCTGTACACGCGTCTTCTCTCGTGGCATCGTCGTCTCTTTCGCGAAAGAGAGAAGCCAAGATATAGCTCTGGCTCAACCGTATGCGAGACCCTGGCGCCGCACTGTCGCATCCTATATACAGAATCTCTCTCTCTCTCTCTCTCTCTCTCTCTCTCTCTCTCTCTTTCTCTCCCTTGTGCATGTACCTATACAGAGAAACGGCTATGGTAAGAGAAAGAGAAGAAGAATCGCAGGGATAAATATCGACGATCTTCAAGAACGAAAAGACCAACAACACTGACGAAGTTTAGAGATCCTTTGGCTTCCAACTTGTGTGGAAGTACGTATGTTCGAGCGTATAGGTAAGGTGGATGATATTCGGTTTCTTCGATATTTTTCATTTTGAAAATAAATTGCTTCAAAATAATCAAATTTGTTATACAAATTGCTCGAACGTTTATATATTTTATTCTTTAAAAGACTCGTTATTTAATAATTTAGATAATGAAATTAAACGAATAGATGATATTTATTTGTCCGATAACGTTTTGTTATTTCCAATTATGAGATATAACGTAGATAAATCCGATCCAGAGATTATATACGAGTGACACACGTGAATCAGTGAAACGAGAGGGACGCAAAGACGCATCGGTAATCGGTGCAGCATCGGTTTCAGCATCGGTTTCAGCATTCTCATGGCTCCTCCCGTATCGTCGTCGCCGGTGCTGCATTAATTAAGCGCAGATGCCGATGCCTTGTCACCCGCCATTTGCCATTCGCATTCGCGTTTGTGTGTTCGTTCGGTTGGGACGGCACCTAATTCATCCTCTCGTGGTCCGACGTTCCTCCCTGTACTTCCCTACTGCCCTGTGCATCCTCTACGAGCGTTAGCCCTGTCTTCTTCGTGTTGTGTGAGTCCCCTTCCCTCCCTCTCTCCCTCTCTTTCTCTCCCTTTCTCCCTTTTCTCTCTCTCTCTCTCTCTCTCTCTCTCTCTCTCTCTCTCTCTCTCTCTCTTTGCTTTCCACCGTCTTTCTCCGCGTATCTCTCTTTCGTGCTTAGTGTACGCGCATTCGCATGCATGTGTTCGCACGAATGCCTGCGGTTGCAGGTACGGATTGATCCTAACGCACTCTGTTTTTACAATTACCGCACCAAAGGACCTTGATATAGATTCGACGAGACACCCCAGCTAAATGAATTACTTTAAACTTTGATAAATTCATATTTAATTCTTTATTACGATTAATATTATATGTTATGTTTGCTCGTATAATCTATTTATTCATTTAAATATTTAATCTATAATAATATTGAAAAAAATCTATATAATTTACAGGTTTATTAGTTGGACTTTTCGTTCTATTGAAAATACGTTCAAAAAATGATCTTATCGTGGAAAATATTAAAGTGGGGGGATATTCGAGTAAAGGACGACGAGCCGTCCCTGTTTGGGCGTGTACGATATAACTTTGAGTGTTAGCGCGTGTGTGTGCTCGCGCGAATTCGTACGAGAGAGGCGGCCGCGGTCATATACTCGAACGAATTGGTACCGGGTTTCGTGCCTACGTCGCGAAACTGGTTATGTACTTAACGTGGGATAAACGTCGGGGACAGGTGTCCCGGAACGACGTTCCTCGATACGAGAGACGGCGGATCGTCGATAGTAGGTAGCCTGGGAAGAGAACGCGGAAGGATATCGATTCCGGTCGCTTTCGCTCGATCTTTTGCTCTTTCGATCAACTCGGACGCTCGATCATCGCCGGCGCTACGATTTATCGCAATTTATCGTCGGATCGATTCTCGCTACTTCATCGAGGCAGCTGCTCCTTGATCTTGATCCTTCTCTCTCTCTCTCATTTTTTTCTTTATTTCTTTTCTTTATTTTCTTTCTCGTTTGCTAATGAGAAACAGTTCAGTCATGTACTACTACCTACCATTATTCATTCCAGATGAATGACTTATTCCGCTAAAGATCATCTTGATCGAATAAACAAAAATCAATTTACGATACTCTTTATTATTTTAATTTTCATATCTATATAGATGCGCGGCAAACGCGCGATTAGAAACATCTCGGTAATGTAGCCTTTGAAAACATATATAAAAAGGGAAAAAGGAGTGGAATGATAACGCAGGATAATTCTCGAAACGTTGCCAGAATGACATGTACTTAGTTCGAGGAACACGCACTCTGTGGTACTCTGCGGTCGGTGGTTAATGCAGACTCCGAAGAGGAACCTTCGAGTTTCCAGGATTCTGGCTACGAACCAGATTCTACGGTATCGTAGAGTCTGGCTCTTCCCATTCCTGACGGGACCGAAAATGTGCCGGGGGATTGTTTTATGGTCGAGCAAAAATATTAAGGCGGTCGTTTCGACGTTGTCCATTGTTTTTAAGAGATAGAACGCTTTTGTTCGAGAACGAAGCGTATCCTACCCAAAACGAAACTCCCATTAACTATACCTTTTCTATGAATGTTTCTTCTTTTTTTTTTTTTTTCTTTTTTTTTCCAAGCGAACGGAATTGTTTATTCCAACATTTTATCTTCGCATCTAAGATTATTAATTTATTAATTTATCTTGATTTAAAAATTGTTTCTTTCTCTTTTAGATCTTGAAAATTGTAGAATAAACGTACGTTATAAAATACGATTATACGTGTCTACATATGGTCGTATAAAGATCGTTTTATTAAAACCGCACCCCCACTCTCTCTTTGATGTTGTTTATCCGGTTCGCGGTGGCAGACTATGGTATTTAAGACTATAGAGAGGAATCACGAGAAAGAGAGGATAGAAGGAGAGAAATCCGCAGAACGTTTTGCTCGTGGACGCATCCGTGTAAATCCATTTCGTGAGTATATCCGTGCAAGCCGGGCGGTCAGCTGGCGCCAACACCCTAGTAGCTTCCTACCGGAGTGTATTTCGCCTCATTAATCTTGCTTTATGGTCGCCGCCGTACACCTAACTCCCTCGCCTCTTTCACTCTCCTCGTTGATTCAGAGCCGTGAAACAACGCGCCACTAGGATCATTCCTATCGGCCTTTCTCATGAATATGCACCTACATGTTTCCGAATAACACACACACACACACACACAGAGAAGGAGAGAGAGAGAGAAATAAAAATGAATCGTTCTTTCTATTCGATCAATATTGTACGATAAAATTTGGATAAAAAACAAAAATGTTTCAAACATTTCAACTTGGAATGACTTTTTTAATTCATATCCGGAAACCTTCGTAGACGGAGATATTTTGTTCAAAAAGTAGTTTAAACGTTTACCGCTTTTGATACCTTCCAACGTTGGGTTATGTTAGAAACTTTGATAAGAAGTTACGATCGAAGACATCACGCTCGCCGAATAAAGATATAAGCGCAGTAACAAAGTAACTCTATTTTCTTGACTCGTTCAAGGTAAACGTTAACCGCATAGGAAGACGAACGGGTGAGATCGGGATTGGGATATTTACCATCTAGTAAAATTTTCTACGGCTTTCGACAGATTACCGTGAAGGATCAGTATTGCACGAAGTTACATATTGCTTAAGGAAGCATGTTAGAAAAGGGAGAAAAAGAAGGAAGGAAGGAAGGAAGAAAGGAAGGAAAGAAAAAAGAGAAGGGAGTTTCTAACTCGAGGCTGTTGCTACTAGTGTTCATCGTTGAGATCCCTGGAACGCTTCCGCACAATAGTCGTAAACGAAGACACGAGAGAGAAAGAGAGAAAGAGAGAGAGAGAGAGAGAGAAAGAAAGAGAGCTCTATTCATCCCGTGGGTCCTTGTGTTTCAATTACACGCGGATGGCTTGGCCCTGGTTCTCGGCCCTGGCTCGACTGCGACCCCCCTCGTATCACCTCGGAACTTTGCCGAGGCTTTCCTAAGAGTCAAGTTTCTTCTTCCTTCCTCTACTATTTCGCATCATTTTCCTTCTCTATCTTTCTTTTCTCGATAGGTCGTCGCGACTTGCAAGGTCGGATTCATCAAGAAGCTCCTACACTCTACACCTACGCGAACCACACAACGATATCTTGATCTTTATCTTCTCTTTTCTCTCTCTCTCTCTCTCTTTCTCTCTTTCATCTAGTCCCTTCAGAACGCTTTATATCTTTCTACCTCGACGACGAAAACTACGACATCGTCGACGACGATGAGCAAGAACAGAAGCCACTGACGCGAACGAATTCTCTTGGCCCTTCATCTTTTTCTTCTCTCTCTCTCTCTCTCTCTCTTTCTATCTAGCTATCTATCTTCTTCTCTTAAGTCGTCTATCTTTCAACGACGACGAGAACCCTCTTAGTATATCGGGGAGTTAGAAAAGATTCTTATTCTTCTTGAAAATATGATCGATGCTCGAGAGACAAAGGTGTAGAAAATTGATTTATTTATTCAGTTTGGAAAGGTAGAAAACACGAGCGTGTCGAGTATTGTCAATTATTCAAATATCTGTCGAAGGCACATCCTGTGAGTCGAGAGTGGCAATTATCATGCCTACGGGTCATACAGATCGATCGTTTCGACAAAGCAGATGGCATCGAGGAGAAACGACGCGACGTTCAGCAATGAAAACGCGCGCTGTTTGCATCGAACATTGACAATTAATCTTCCTTTTCTTTTTCCTTTTACTATCGAGGATTTACGATTTACAATTAACCCTTCAAATTTCATTGGATTATTGGATAAGGTTCGATTCAATTATTTCATCGTTCTTTCGTCCAAATTTTTGATAATATTTTGATTTACGTAATAATCGTACTGACATTGTCAAACGAGATACTAATAAATTGATCGACGAGCAATGATTTCTTGTAAATGATATTAATATAACAATTGTTTGCTCGATGTAAAATAACAATTGAAGTTATGATTAATTTTATTAATTCATTCTTATATTTTTTTTTTTTTTGAACACCATATATATAACACTATGAGACTTCAAAATAAATTCGAAACTTTAGAACGTGGCTTATGTCGGCCATGCAGGAATTAGTTGTATCATAATTATTATGCAGTAGAATAGTCGAATGGTCGGTTGTAAAAAATTATTGAACAATAACAGTCGTCGTTTCTCCTTCGATTTTACGGCTTCACCGATTCTCTATAAAATTTCTGGGATAAGAAAGGTGATTATGCTTTTCGAAATGGTTAAAATAAACATGGTCGAAACGATATCGAATAGTCCGATCTAGGAAATAAAGATGTAAGTCTAAACCTCTATCGGGTTTGTACGTTTTATCATACGTCTCGAATGAAATCGATCGAATGTCTTAATAGATCAACGGAAGATTCACGAACTTGTCGGATTAAAATTGTTCGTAGTATCTCTTGTGACAAGTGATATCTGTGGCAAAATTATGGCGAACTAATGAAAAAAGAACAAAGAAGAAATAATGATGAATCGAAAGGAAAATAGAGAAAGAGGGAGAGAGAGAGTGAGAGACAGAGTGAGGGGGAAAGAGAGATGGAAGGAAAGAGAGAAAGACAGAGAGAAAGACGAAGCATTGAGGGAATTGAGCCAAGATATACCAGCTGCGACTCTTTCGAGATATATATTTTATTGTCTTTATAAAAAGCTTAGAAAGTCGTTCGTTCTCGTTACGTACCATAGATGGCTCGATCGTTTATCGATCGGTTCATAAAAAAAAAAAAAAAAAAAAAAAAAAAAAAGAAGAAATGTAATAACTCATTATATCGCTTATTCCGAAAGTTAACGTATCGATAAAAAAGAATACGAGTGATTTTTATATCGACCATTTAATGTTTCCCACGCGTCGGAGAGAAGATATATAGAGGATATACTCGCAAAAGGAAAAGAACCGAATTGAAATTCGTGCCGATTCATTCATTTTCACCCTAGTGTGTGTGTGTGCGCGTACGCGTGTACACGTAAATACGAGGTCACGTGCTTGACGGAAATGGACGTACGAAAGGAAATTGCGATTTTCAAAAAGGTATTGTATATTCTTCTATAGATTTTTATTCTTCGACGTAGAGGTGTAAATATGTAAGTGATTTAGTCCCGGTCGTACGATACGAATCAATAAATAATAAGTTTGAAATTTCATTCGAAGCGAAGAAGAGGTGTCGAAACTGAACGTTCGTTCGATCGATCAATCGATCGATCGATCTCTGTTCGTGTTAGATCGTTGAAGAAGTGACCAGCACGAGTTTGAGAGAGTGAGGGGAAAGATCAGGTTTAGTTTTTTTTTGTTTTTCTTTTGTTTTCCTTTTTTATTTTTTTTTGCGGTTAGAAAAGAAAAAAAAAGAGAAGAGTAGGAATGGAGGGAATGTAGGGTCAGATGCAAGGTTCCAATTATTATTCGCGGTATGTAACCGTCAAAAATGAAGTAATGCTTATAAAGACGGGTAAATGCAGGTGCGTTGCACGTTAGCAGGTGCGTACTTCGGGAATGGGTCGGTTCTTAGGGCCACTTAAAGTTAAGAGGCGTGCACGAGTGATCCGCTTCGCGTGTCCTTGCAGCGTAAACGCATAATCGGACTCTGAGTGTATGCGCCGACTCAGTCTATGTTCTTTCGGTCTTTCGTGTCACGAAACCGTGCGCACGCATATCCACCTTCGTTCTCTTAGTCGTATTCTTCTTCGTCTTCTCCACGTACTCTTAGAGAACACGGAACCGTCACGAAATTCTCTGTCTCTCGGTTCACGCGATCCTTAATGATCTTACTACAGCTGCCGCGTTACGCTTTGATTCTGCTGCCATAGGATAAGAGAGAGAGAGAGAGAGAGAGAGAGAGAGAGGTGATGTATGTGATCAATAGAAAAAATAAAACGAAAAATAAACATAAAACTCGCTCGTTCTAGTTACGGCGGTGGAAAATCGAATTGGTCGACCACTCTCGTGTCCGTCCATTAATTTCATATAAAGCTTGACCAGCGTCGATTACTCGTCGTTTATTGAAAAGGGTCAAATCAATGGAATATGCCGATAAACTGAAAGAAAAACGTCGATGGACAAAGAAAGAAAGAGAGAAAGAGAAGAGAGAGAGAGAGAGAGAGAGAGAGAGAGAGAGAGAGAGAGAGAGAGAATGTTCAAAGAGTGGAATCGTTGTAATCGAGTTTTCGAAAGTACGTGCACGAGTCGACGAGAGAGCGCGATCGGTGTCGTTCCCTTAATTAGCCGGGGATCGTTTTCGCTTCGTTTCGCTTCGTTTACGAGAGAAAGAGAAAGAGAAAGAGAGACACAGAGAGAGGGAGAGAGAGAGAGATAGCGCGTGGGTGAATGTGGCTGGCGTGCGTGAACGCGAGAGGAGGATACACACGCGGCATATCGTCGGACAAGGTTATCTCCTCGGATCCACGTTCGGTGTCGGTGGTAGTTGGAAGTTGTTCGGAAACCGGTAGCTACTTGGCCGCCGTACGGTAGCTGGCCTCTAGTTGCCGGTTAGCCGTACCCAAAGCACGCCGCCACCACCATCGCCATTTCTTCTTCTTTTTCTTCTTCTTCTTCTTCCCCTTCTCTTCTCTTCTTCTTTCTTCCTCTTAAGACCATCGGCTCTTCTTTTTTCTTGTTGTTTTTTTGTTTTTTTTTACTAATTTTAGTGGTCGTCCCACTATCCTTGTCCGTCGTAGCCTAACGAACATCCAAGAATCCTTGCTATGCAACATACATTTATTTCGCAACGTAAATGTACATTACATTTATTTCATGAGTTACCACTTGTACTGTCGCGCACCTATATAATATAAGGGATAATAAATTTCCTGATGGTTTATATTTTTTTTTATCGATCCTCTTGGAAAATGTTCGATGATTATCACGGAAATGCAAGAACCTCGTGTTTCGAGGTTCATCTTTAAATAGAGAGGAAGAGAAAGTGAGAGAGAGAGAGAGAGAGAGAGAGAGAGAGAGAGAGAGAGAGAGGTATGGGGAGGGGAAAAATCAAAGGGAAACTTTGGTCGGCTTATACAAGAGAGCAAAGAAAATGGCGTGCACGTAACGACGTGGAAGACGGCGGCGGCGAGAGCAAATACGCTCGCAAATTGCCGCGCGCTATCGTTCTATCCGCGGCACGCCTAAGTGGATTTCTGCTTATTTCAATTCCGACGAGATTCAATCTTCGTCTCCTTCCACGAGAAAGAGAGAGAGAGAGAGAGAGACGGAGAGAGAAAGAGAGAGAGAGAGGGAAAGCGGAAGGTTTTCTTCCTCCACTTGGAAGGGTGCTTGCCGACGCCCCTAAGTCGATTGCGGTAAAGTAAGAATCTCTTGATTAACGCTTCTTCGTATTTTCGATCCCAACAACGTTTCTGCAAAAGGAGATATCGTCGAGCGCCGCTATAATTTACGATCAGACCACTTGGAAATTTTATTTCCTTCTACTTTTCACTTTTCTTTCTCCTTTAGATGATCATGAAATCCAATTCATTGATTTCTTAAAAAGAGAAAATGTCGGGTGAGTTGTTTAAAGAACTAAAAAAAAAAAAAAAAAAAAGAAAAAAAAAAAGAAAAATAAATAAATAAACAAATGAATAAATAAACACGTTTTGCACGTAGATTTCTGTGATCATTTCTCGTGGGACGTGATATATCGTTTGGATTTGTTTTCTCTCTCCTTTTTTTTTTGATTCTTTTTTATTTATTTTTTGTATTCTTTTTTTGTTTTCTTTTTTCCTTCGCAATCGATCCGAAGGGCTCTGCGGCCGATGTTTAATTGCTTCGACGATATAAATCAATCGACATGCGATATCCCATGACTCGTCGTATCCCGTTGAATCTTTCCAAGTCATCCGTTCGATTCGACTCTCTATGAATCTGACTCGATCGTAATACAAATCGCATCTCACGCAAGATCCTTTGTACATTTATCTTTCATTGTACTTCGTGAAATCTGTTCGTATTAACCACCGAGTCGATTGTTTCGAGCACAGGTGTTCTCTCTCTCTCTCTCTCTCTGGTTATGCTAATGCTACCAAACACGAGACAATCGAGAGTCCATCTTATTCGCGGTACTCGGTAAAATTAGTGTCCTTAATTGGTTGGTTTCAAGGGGACGCGCATGCGCGTTGCCAGGCCGGTTTCAGTCGCAAAAGAAAAAAGGACGACGGCTGCGTAGGTAGACGAAAAGTAAAAAGAAGAGAGTAGAGAGAGTGTACACGGAAAGAAGGGGAGAAAGAAAATAAAATGTACGGAGTAAAAATAAGGGGAATAAGAAGGGATGGGGGAAAAAGTATGGTAGGTGGGGTGAAGGAGGAAGGATGAGAAGAAGAAGAAGAAGAAGAAGAAGAAGAAGAAGAAGAAGAAGTCGAAGGAGCAAAAGAATACGCGCAGGTGCTGACCACGGATGACTACCCGTCCCCTGATGATTGGCCACGCACCTTCTCACTTCGCGGTTACCTGCATCCCACTTGAGAGGAAGGTAGAGAAAGAGAGAAAGAACGGTAAAGAGGGGAGGAGAAGTAGTCGTTCTGCATAACATTATCGGTTGTATCGGCGAAAAGTATCTCTCGTTCGTCATCTCGATCGTATCGGGCAACGTCGTCGTTGCCACGCACGACTTTTGGCATCGACGCGTGAGCGGAATACATATTGCGTTTTCACTCCTATATATGATATATTATAGCGCTACTGGGATAACGATACGTAAATGAATATGATATTACGTTTCGTTAATTTTAATAATTCTCATTTAGTTACGAGCATCGAATTAAAGAAACGACAACAACAACGACAACAAAATTTCTACAATTATATTGCATGTCGTATCGCATGCGATCAAAGAAAATAAACCAAAAAAAAGACGATCCGGTGAACGCATGAAATCGTTTACATCCTCGTCAAGTAAAGTCGAGGAGATCGCAAATTCCAAGCATCGTTAAAACGCCGTCGAGGACGACTCGATCCGCTAATACTACTGGTCTTGCTAATTGAACGTGTCACACCGGTCGTCTCGAGAAACGCAACTACGCTGTGTTTATCGACCGTGCCGTCGTTTTCTCTCGAAGAAAGGACGGAAAGAGAACGCATACATGATTCCTACGCCTTTGAAGTTATATTGGCGTGTTAATTTAAAAAGCATATTATGTACGAGCATCTAGATCTAGAAGGTATTTATCTATCGATTTTAATTGTTATCTTCGGATGTTAAAATATCGAAAACTCGAGTCGAATATATGTAAGATCAAGCTGGATTTTGGAAAAGTTACCAATTATATCAGAGATCAACTATAAAGATACACATACATACATACATACATATGTATGTATAATTCGTGTTAACGATAATCACGCATGCAGCGGTGCATGCATTAATATTAGTGAAAATGGTTGATGAAGCGTGAGCGATTTAAGGGGCGCCTCATTAACGAAGGTAGCCGTTCTCTCTTCACCTCCACGGTTCCTTCTTCGTCGCGACGAAGAAGCAGGTAGGTAGGTGCTCGAATCTGATAAGAGTTAAACATCGCACGGCTTCGTTTGGCTCTTCGAAAGAACCGAGCGCGTTATAAGGTGCGAGCTGTTGTGGTATAATGTGGTAGCGAGGGAGGGGAGGATGATTGGGAGGAAAAGGAGGAGGAGAAGGAGGAGGAAGAGTTACCAAAGAGAAAGAGAATGGGAAAGAGGTCGAAGAAAAGGAATACTCTCGTTCGAGTTGAAAAAGAGGACGTTAAGAATTAGAGTGGCGATGATTGTGGTGGTAGTGGTGGTGGTGGTGGTGGTGGTGGTGGTTGGTTGGTTGGTTGGTTGGTTGGTTGGTTGGTCGGAACGGGAGGAGAAGTGGAACGAGAAAAGGAATCGCGTAAAAGAAGACGAAAGAAGAGAGTAGGAATAAGGCCGTGTCGGGTTATCGCTTCGCGAGCATCTGCTCGCGTTTGTCATCCTTCTCGGCTACATCTGTCTAATTGACGCACGTACGTAAGTACGCACGAGAGAGTTCTACGTGCGCTCATGATCGCGCTTTCAGCGGAAGTTAAGTCAAGTCTGTAAAAAGAGAAAGAGAGAGAGAGAGAGAGAGAGAGAGAGAGAGAGAGAGAAAGTTTCGACAACGACGAGAAACGATGACGATCTGCAAGGGCCAAGTCCAAGGGCAGATGTTCATTAAGCTGTTTCTTCGTATGATCGGAGTCTCTTTGAGCCGGCCTTTACGGAACGAGAATGATTCGAGCAAATGATTCGACCTTGAAATTTCTCCTCGATCTTCAATGTTCTTCGTTACGTTTGATCATACGTTCGATTTAAAATTTAGATTTCTCGTTGTTATCGACGGCCGTCAATGTTTTTCATTACTTCACATTACATTTCCTACATACGCTTAACTTGCACCTGTTACCGCAAATGTCCTTCATTTTTATCATTAATTGCCAGCGAATCAATTTGGTTAGGTACACATCTGACTTGTTAAAATAATCATTTAATAAATTAATGAATTAAAAATATTCCCCGATCGTCTTTCCTTTGTAAATTTCAATTACGCAATATGTATATTATTTTTCTTAAGTGCCATTTGCCATTCGATACATATGTCGCATCTGAAGTCTATTCAAATTCATCGACGATTTTCGTCATGGTTCTTTTTACACCGCAATTATTCGCACCTGCGAGCCGGGAATTACAAATTCGGACGCGAAGAGCTATGTTGGCTTAATGCATGCGCGTTTAGAAACGTTAGTACATATCTCTAACCGCTTCTATGTGGCGTTCCGATGTTTTGAAACTCCGAAGAGAAGGAACGGAAATGAGATAGAGAGAGAGAGAGAGAGAAGGAGAGTATATAACACGTGCAGAAGTGATTACGAAGCCAAGATAGTACGTACGTATGTATCGTATTTTGGGTTTGCATGCGTTGGCCGATACCGAGCAGGACAGACAGGTAAAATCGTAAGGAGGCTTTAAGGAAGGTAGAAGAGGAGTGGCAAGAAGAGAAGGAGGAGGCCGGTTTTCGAGCAGGTAGCCACCGTCGTCGTTCGAACGTCATTGCCACCTGCCGTAGAGATCGAGGAACCTCGGGATAAGGGAGGCCGAAGAGAATCATTATTTTCTTAGGCAATTTACCTTTATGCTAAACAGCTGCCGAACCTGGTAACGCCTCGTTCACTCTTCTTCTCTCTCTCTCTCTCTCTCTCTCTCTTTTTCTCTTTGATTCCGTTGCTAATCAACGCCTTCCTTGGAAAAGCACGATACGAGTAGCCGTTTCGTTCTACCATCGGTCCCTAACTTCCCTCCTCTTCATTCCCTTCTCACCTATATTCTCTGTTTCCAGGTAGTTCTCAAATATGCTGTTTTTTCTCTTTTTTTTTCATGTTTTTTGATAATCCTTCGATTATCGAGTAATTCTATAACTTAAACGGTCTCGTTTTTTTAAATTTTAATCTCTGATATTACCTTGGCCTGACAGTTTAATCAATGGTATCGAATTATACGAGATCTATTATTAGAAAAATCCTAACGGTATACGTTCTATTCGAAATTAAAAAATTACATTCTTCGACTACCTTTTTTCGGAAGGTACATGTATAATTAACCGAAATTTCAAAGGTCATCATCGTTCTCGCTCGTTCATTCTGCCATATATATATATATATATTTTTATTTTTTTTTTTTTCTTTTAACGTCAAACCTAATCTGGATTTTCACTTTGCTCGGTAGAAAGCTCGCTCGGATAATTTGAGTCTAACGGCTTCGCTAATTTCTGGTAAGAGCGAATGGAAAGTCGCCGCCGAGTTGTCGCGATCGATCGTGATCGAACGCAACAAACCAAGTGCTCGTCGATTGGCAATGAAAGAGAGATAGAGACGAGGCGATAGAGACTCTCAGTCTCTCTCTCTCTCTCTCTCTCTCTCTCTCTCTTTCTCTCTTTTATCCTTTGGTCGGCACGTTTGTCGGCACGTTTGCGAACTTTGCGCCCGAGTCATGCATAGCTTTGCAAATCGGTTTCGTAAGAGACTTTACGTGGCTGTTGTCGTTGTCGTCGTTGTCGTCGTCGTCGTCGTTGTTGCCGATATTCTAGCGTGTAACGTTCCAATTAGAACGACCTCTCTAGGAAGATCATTAACGCGACATTAACGATAAGTGGTGACGATTACATGGGCCATTGAAGAGTGTAATGTAATAAATATCGATGGCTCGATGGTGTTAACAGCCAAACAAAATCCTTTTAGGAATTATTAAATAACGACGAGTTCCTTGCGTTTAAATTGTTCTTTGTTAAAATATTCTTGGGATCGCGATAACGCATTCTGCATTATAACTATTCTTACTTTCCTTAAAACGAGATTAGAAAGCATTAAAAGGAAACGACGCGCGTCATCGGCGTAGAAAAGTAACGTTCGAAGTCGACATGAAAAGTATCTAGGTCGTCTCTCTTCCTCTTTCGTTTATTGAAGAAATATCGCGTCGACGTAAACGCACGTGTTTAAAAGAAATATAAGGTCTCTAATGTTTCTCCACGGTTATGAGTTATCGCGGATCGTTTGTCGCGTCGTTATCGTCAGACCAGATGTGTCTCGCGAATAAAGAACTCCCCGGTGTCCAAAGGTGGCGGCAGGAGACACACCTGAGTACATCGTCATCTTCCTCACCTTCCTCGCGTTGGTCCTCTTTCTTTTTCTCTCTCTCTCTCTCTCTCTCTCTCTCTCTGTCTCTCTCTCTTCACACATTTTTACGAGCTTAGACCCGTGCACCGATAACGCTCGCGATCCTGCTAAATGCGCAAGTAAACTTAGAATTACCAGCTGCAACTGGTTCGAACTCGTCTGAAAGACAAATCGTCTGTGCTACCGTGCTAATTAACATTGCCGTTTCCCTCTCGATTCATGCATTTTATTCGTACGATAATGTTGCCGAGTAAGCGCCTTCTTTCTTCCTTCGGTCCAGCCAGTCGATCCACTTTTGCAAATATTTACAACGATGGTCGAACGAGAACGACCGAGAAAGAGTACCGTTGTCTCCTCGCGTAGAAAGACATTTAACGATATTCCTCTTTCATTTATGAAATCCATTTAAAAAAAACTCTGTTAGTATCGATCAGTTTTTTTTTTTTTTTTTTAGATATTAGATCGACGCTTTCTATACGACCTCAAAATGCTTCGAGTCTTCGTTATAAAATATTACTCTATAATTAATAGAAATATTTTACGGAATAGGATCGATCAAGGAACGATACACATATATTCATTGTTTTTCTCCACAATTGCAATTTATTTGAACTTCGTTTTAAAACGCGAGGTTATCTTAGAACGTAAAAAGGTACATACAGGACATTCAGCGGAAATCGCTGCGGCGCGAACGGACGCATTACGACGCATAACAACGTCGTACCTTCTCGTTCGCGCATTATATCATACTTTTTTTTTCTTTTTTTTTTCTATTTTTTTTTTTTTTCTTTTTTTTTTTTTTTTTTTTAATAATATATTCTATATCGACAATAATATTCTTATTTTGTAATAACGTAACTAATATGCACGGCGTAGCCTATTTATGGCAACTCGGAGTAATATATTTACACGCCTTTTAGCGATTAACTTAAACTTTATTAGAGCTCGCATCGATGTATACTTGTGTACCACTCGATATTATCATCATTTTTATTAAGAGCGAGATCTCTCTCCCTCTCTCTCTCTCTCTCTTTCTCTCTTTTATGTAGAAAAGACAAACGCGAATAAAAACCATCGACCTGTACAACACATCTCATTTCTAAGTATCATTTGTCAATCAGTTTGAATCTACTAACATATGAAACGTTACACCATTCTTTAATAATTTTTAATATAGTTTTCATGCGAGCAACGATCGGAATTTTTGTACCATTCGTTCCGACAACATTTTGCATTTAAATGAAATTAAAAGTTAATATTTCACGCTACGGTATTATTCCTTAAGCTCGATGAATACAAGTTAAGTACGAATGAAATCCTTCGAGATCGCAATGATTTTCGGAACTTGATATCCAAGAGAAGTTCGAGCGGTCAAATATTCGAGCTCTGGCGATTGGTATTTATTGTCTTACTTTTCGTTATTGCGTAAATGCGTTTTGAAATTATTCGACCGTTCGCAGATCTCTCGAGTTACGGCGAATAAACCTTTAGAAATAAGCGTTAAATTTGTTACAAGAACAATTTCTATCTTCAAAAGGATTATCGTCGAACTTGTTTAGCGAAAAAACGACAATAGATCAATCGGATAAATATAGAGTCTTCATTCTTATTATAGTAATATGTATATAAATTTGCCAACGAGGATGTACGTAATAAACGTCGATATAGAATTTTCTTGCGATTCGACGTTTAGAAACTAGGGCATCGGGCACACTCTATTAACTTCGGTGGAGGAGCTTCGTTTAGATGCCATGCCTAAAAGCAAAACTAGAAAGAAGAAGAATTTCTCTCTCTCTCTCTCTCTCTCTCTCTCTCTCTCTCTGACTCTGTTCTTAATCGTCTTTCCTCTTTCTAAGTTTCCCTTCGGTTTGAATGGTCCTGGAGACGAGATCTACGCAGGCACCGAGAGACGCACCGGTCGTCGATTCGCCTTCTGGGGTGTTGACGATCTTACTTAGAGTCATTATGTAACTGCATGCGATCCTAAGTACAGAGAGCTTTGAAAGCTTTTGATTATGCGAATAAGCCGGTATAGCCCGTCTGAGAGTGTCGAAAGCGGCGCTTATAGTATGAACCCGCGTTCTTTCTCTGGCATTCGCTTCGATCCTTCTTTCACGGGTCATATTTTTGTAATTTCGTTGTTGGCCACTTCCTCCACCGGCAGCATTACCCTGATGATGCCTCGAATGATTGGTCTGTTGGATGGCTGGAGATTGATGACTTTGTTGCCGATGCGGTGGTACAGGATGATGATGCTGCTGATGATGATGATGGTGATGATGATGATGGTGATGATGGTGATGCGACTGTTGATGATGATGACCATTATCTACCGGATAAGACGGCGGTACTCTTTCGTACGTTCCGCTCACGGCCGGATGCGAAGGCACTCTTGGAATTTCTCCTCTTAAAACGAGTGCCAATGGTTCCTCTTGAAGTTTCGGATGCGGTGGAAGAATGATACCAGGTGCAAGAGGAGCTGGAGAATTATTACTCGTAGGTGCTGGTTGTTCGAACCTCTGACGTATTTCTCGTCTCGGAATCGCGTTACGAACTTGAATCGGAGAATCTGGCCTGCGGTTGCTCGTCTCTCGTAACCTCAGCAACGCTTCTTCTTCGATTCTACCTTCTTCCCTTCTTCTGGTCTCTTCCTCTTCTCTTTCTATTCCACGAGCACCACTCGACGTGGCAGATACGATCGTAGAAACAGCGTTGCCATTCGACGCTGTCGTAGTCGAAGATGCCGTTTTCGTTGTGCTCGCCTTCGTCTCGTTACTTTTGCTCGACGTGCTGCTCCAAGGTCTGAAGGGACTCGGTGATCTGGCTGGTCTCGATTCTTCGTCAGCAACAACCCTTTCCTCGATTTGTTCGAATCTTCTCTTCTTTAACGGTGCCGTACTCGGCTCTTGTATTTTTCTCGGTTCGGCGAGTTTTCTCTTGTTTCTCAAGGAAATTGGTATCACTTGAACCTCGACGCTGTCCTCGGAGGCACTTGGCGAGTGCAAACCAGACATGTCGTCCTCGTCGCCACCGCTGCAGAATCCAGCGTCTCTCTCGGAGCCCGCCATTACACCAGCTGCAACCGAAAAAAGAAGTCGATCGTCAGTCATCGAGCCAGTAATTACGCGTTTAATAGCCAATAACTGTGGAGTGAGAGAGAGAGAGAGAGAGAGAGAGAGAGAGAGAGAGAAAGGGAAAGAAAAAGAGTGTAGTATGTGTGTGTGTGTGTGTGTGTGTGTGAAAGAGAGAGAGAGAGAGAGAGAGAGAGAGAGAGAAAGATGGACAGAAATAGATGGATGATCGAGCCTGATGCTGCACGCGGAGCTCAGCGAGGGATAATGGGAAGTTTAAAGAGCAAGATGGCGAGAGGAATCTTAAAGAGATAACGATTTTCGGATTACGAGTTTGAACTTTGCGGCAAATTTAATATATTACTTTGTAAGCATTATCGGAATCGTTACAATGTTATCGAATTCCCAAGTAGGTGCTGTGTGAGAAAAACTCCGTAGGAACTTGGCGAACGTTAAGGTCGTCCAAGAAACGAACGATAAATCGCACTCGAAGCGTTCCCCAGTAGGTTGTAAATTAAGCGCAAAGCGAGTCACGAGGATCTCGTAGGCGCGTCGACGTCGCCGATACGCCGTCGCGCCGCCTCCGCCACCACCTCGTCAGAGTCACCATCCTCGATGTTTTTCCACGAATCAACCGATCGAACGACCGACCGACCGACCGACCGACCGACGCTACTCTTCGACTTCTTCCAATCCTACATCCTTTGTCGTGCCCTGCCGTGCCGTGCCGTAAATGGCGAAATATACGGCAGAAAGTCTGACATTTCGTGCTGGCCACCCCCTCCTTCTTATGTAACGTGTTTGCGAGTTAATTGCATCTAAGACTCGTATTTAACGAGTTTTCAACGCTTCAAACTCTAAGAAACGTTGCCAGATGCCAGATTTTGATTTAACTCGAAACTAATCGAATTACCTTAACAACGACTACCATTCTCCGATCATTTTTATCAAATTCATTTAAATATCATCGTCGTATATTGATAAATATTGAAAGGGTAAAAAAGAAAGACCTCAATAAAGCGTACATCCGTAAACGAAGATTTGCCGTTATAAACAGAAGCGAATAGAAAAGAAGGAGAAACGAGCTTACGCGATCGTTTCCTCCGCGAGTGATTCCGTGGGCGGAATCGCGCCGGAGACGGGATGTTTTCAACTTCGGTGCGTCATCCAGCTGGTACCATCTGGCGTACAGGGCTCGGCCGATTATAATACGCGCCTCTCCCACTCTTTCTTTCTCTCTCTCTCTCGGTCTTTCGTTCTTTCACTCCATTCTCGTTTCTCTCGAGCGGCTACATAAGCAGAAACGAAATCTGCTATTCTCGGCCATCGCCGACCCCATAGCCAGGAATCCGTCGGTTCGTTAAAAATACGTACGACCCACCGGAGGCAAGTGGCACGTGTCGGCACGACGCGGCCTAGTTAATAGCAAAGATTTCTTACTATCGTGAGAAAAATATTTATCTTTTTTCTCTCTCTCTCTCTCTCTCTCTCTCTCTGTCTATTTCGTTCTTGAAACTAACGATACCAATAACATCTCAAAGTAATCGTTTTCTCGAAGCAACGTTAAACGTTCGTTCGATAGGAACGTGTTTACTCGATTCCGACGACTCTTATTATTATACAAGTCGCGTACCGACACGGTAGACGCTCGAGCTTCGCCTTCCATTTACTATTTTTGACGCTCTCTCTCTCTCTCTCTCTCTCTCTTTCCTTCTCTCTTGTGTCTTCCTCTCGGCACGTCGTGCGGCAGGTTAAACGAAGTCGATTGTCCGTGTTCGTCTCCTAAGACCGAACGACCGGTAAGCTAGACGAATGACGCCTGTCGTTGAACGATACGACGACGAGAAGAGCCGACGGTCAGGTCGATCGATCGTTCTGACGATAATTTATCGAGTTCTCTACCCCCTCTATTCTTCCTCTTCTTCTTCTTCCACTTCTTCTTTTTATTTCACTCTCGACGATCTTCATAATATATATATATATATATATATATATATATATATATACATACGTATATATCTGATACAAGATCCGTATTCACGATTCACGTCCGTCCAACGTTTCTGGACCATAGATATAAAGCTTTGTTATTTTTCTCCTTCTCTCTTTCCCTATCACGGTTTGTTTCTGATCGTACGCGACAACGAACCTGCATGACACGTCGTTCTAGTTTCTCGATTACAGATTAGATCACGTCGTATTTCTCTTTCTCTACCGTCCGATGCACCCTTTTTGCTCGAATTCTCTCTCTCTCTCTCTCTCTCTCTCTCTCTCTCTCTCTCTCACCGTTTCTTTCTCTTAAGAAGGAAGCTTCTCGCTCGTTTCGAGCCGAGGACGGTGGCGGTAGCAGCCACATGGCTCTGGCGCCAACCTCGTCTACGTCGCTTTCCTTTTATTGCCTTTCCGGGAGGCAAACGCGCTTGCACACTCGGCGACGGGATCGTCTTTCTCGTTGGCGACCGCACTGACCTCGGAGAGCTCCTGCTGCATCGACCGCTACTGTATCGACCTATCGAAAGATTGCGTGCTCGTAATGCTTCTTGTTTTATACGTATGTTCGTTCTTTTCGAATCCTTTCTCTAAATCTACATCTTTCTTTTATGATTCTTCCCATTTCCTTTATATTATATTACTTCTACATTCGTTCGTACACGTCTTCCGCACCTATCGACCTCCCCTTCCCCCTCCCTCACCGTCGCATCCAATGACGTTCAAAAACGTGACGCAAATATTGAGAATTAACGATTTCATGTACTCGACATAATCACGAAATACCACGTGTTACGAAAGAAGAACGATTAAGAAATAATTCCTTAAATCAAAGAGTATGATATAAGTTTGGACGTTAATTTATTTTAAAATTTTAACAAATAAGAAATTTCTTTGAAAATTACAACTTTAACGAAAGAAGAAACGATACGAGATTCCTCGAGAGATCACCTATAACACCTGCGTACGATCGAACGAAGGATATAAATCTAAGAAGGATACTCTCTGTTAAAGAGATATAACACTTCGACCAGCTGGCATAAAGAGGAAAGGTGAAGAGGGGAAAGAGAGAGAGAGAGAGAGAGAGAGAGAGAGAGAGAGAGAGAGAGAAGCTAGGTCGCGTGTTACAAAGCTTTATCGCACCGATAACCAACCTGGATTCTCGCCTATCGGCCATCTGCTTCTACTCGATCGTTGAGTGTCGTCATCGTTGAGACTTCTCAGCGAAATCGCATATTCTCATATCTGAGATTACCGAGAATCCTTTGTTTGCCCCTCTCTCTCTCTCTCTCTCTCTCTCTCTCTCTCTCTCTTCCTTTCCTTCTTTTCTTTTTGCGAGACAACGAAAGAAAGAAAGAAAGAAAGAAGAGAAGATAAACGGGAGCTCTCGACGATAGGAGGACGTAGGAGTCGACGAAGTCGAGAGAGGTCTTCGAGGTCGGCGACAGGCGCCAGTGAAGCGCGCACACACGATCGATCTCTCTCTCTCTCTCTCTCTCTCTCTCTCTCTCTCTTTCTCTCATTCTTTTATAAACACATCGACGGAGAAACGAGATAGCATGCTCGATCGTGCTGAAAGGAAGAGAGAGAAATGTTTCGCGACTAGCAGTCGTGATATCGTTCGATATCGAATTCCATTTCATGATTTGTCGGTCCAGGCTCGCGTGGATCGCCGATAAGAGCTGCGAATCTCGTAGAATACGAACGCATCTATATGTTACGTATATGTATATCGAGTTATTTTTTTTTTCTTTTTCTTTTTTCATTTTTATTTTATTTTCTTTTTTTTTTCTTTTTTTTTTTTTATCAACTTCCAGTCAAGAGAGTGAAGGAAAAAATAAAAAGAGATAATATAAAAAGAAAAAGAAAAAAAGAACGAGAAATATGAAACGTATATACGTATATATATATACATGTATATGTATATGTATATGTATATGTATATGTATATGTATATGTATATGTATATGACTTTGATGAATGCCAGAACGAAATGATTTGTTTGCAAAATATTACGTATGGGATGATGCGTGTGTCGCGAATGTCTACCTCGAAGATGCGCCGCATGAAATCTATTTTTAAAGTGTGATATCAGCGGGAACGATCAGCTGTTCGATATACTTGCTTCCTTCCGATAGAGCGACAGTTTCTCTCTATGTAAATAATTACGCATGCGATGAGTTTGTGCGTTTCGAGTGTCATCGAAGACAACTGGCCGCAAAAAGCATAGTATAAAGTATAAACGATTGCACAGGATCGCAGGAGTGCAACCGATCGAATCGATGTCCACATGTGTGCCCCACGCATATATATGTACGCTTACAATACGCGGCCATCTTTTCTCTTCTTCTCGTTCGGCAATTGTTCAAACAGAGACCGAAATAGTTCGAGGACAACTGTGCAAACTCTTACGTACGACGAATTGTAACGAATCGTAGAAATGAGAGAGAGAGAGAGAGAGAGAGAGAGAGAGAGAGAGAGAGAAGGCGTATGCGCTTCACAATTTTTTTTCGTTTCGCCGAGGACGGTGAAAGATAATCGAGGGATACAAAGGCGCGGTCTAATCTTCGCGCCTACTCGAATTTTATACGGGGTATATTTTTAAAGAGAAAATGTAACAAGAAGCGCGATGAATTATTTATTTATTTTTTTTTTTATGAGAACACGCAAATCGATTCGAATGTTTTTATATCAAGTAGAGAGAAGAAATGAAAAAGTAGATTTTCTTCTCTTCGCTCTTCCCCTAAATCTATCTATCCATTTAAAGAAAACACACATACGAGAGACGAAGCGGAAGCGGCACGATTAATTTCCCACAAGTATATTCTTTTGCAAATCTATTAAAGCTTCCTCGAAACAATCCCGTTTCGCGAAAAGACGGAAGAAGGATGTCAGCGACCTCGTTCCTTCCAAGTACGCCTCGACGACCTTGCTTGGCGTGCAGTCACGCCTTTTGCTTCGCGTAACGTTCCCGCTTCCCGTGGAAGATGCGTTCGAAGATTGCGTTTAACGATGGCCAATTTGCTGCCGTTTCACGCGACCACTTGCCGTCCCCTTTCGACGTTTTTCTTTCTTTCTTTCTTTCTTTTTTTTTTTACACGGATCTTTCGATACATTATTCCTATAGACAAATTTACGAAGAGGATAGAATCGAAAATTCAGCTTCCTTCCGTGTCTCATCTTCGTTTTCGTCTTCATCTTCATCCTCTCTCTCTCTCTCTCTCTCTCTCTCTCTCTCTCTCTCTCTATTAGACGTTTCGAAAGAGTGCTTTGGCCGCCTACAGCGTGCCTCTTTAGCTTCTACGAGCTGAAAATAAACGGTCGTTCGTAAATGCGACTACCGCGAAGGAAGAGAGAAAGAAATAGAGAGAGAGAGAGAGAGAGAGAGAAAAAGAGAGAGAGAGCCCAGGCCAAATAGTTTCTTCTTGAATTATAAATAAATGTCGAGTTCGGGTGAAGAGAATGATCGAGCGGTCATGGTGACTGAGTGCGTACCACGAATACCGATTGTTTCTCGATTTTGGCGCCTTGATATCTCTCTCTCTCTCTCTCTCTATTATTCTCTCGTATTCTTATAGAGATACTTTGCTACTCATTGAAATTTTTCAACGCGTACATATCGAACAATGACGTTGATTAGATCGATATCGATAAATCTTCAAAGAACTCTTTCTATCTTTCACGATCGTTTGATATTTATTTCTATCTATTGACCGATTTAATTTTAATTTGTCTCTATAGAGAATCAACGGCGACGTACGAGTGTCCAGTTCTTTCGAATTGACTTAGCGATCGTTACCTCGATCATTGAGTATCGATGAAAATCGACAGGCTGACGAGTTTCTCTTTGGATATTGCCGATGTTACATTGAATTACGAGGCGCGAGTTTTCATTCGCGAATCAAATTCGAATGATTGTCACTTAAGTCAGAAATAGAAGAGCGGGAGACGGAGGAGAAAGAAAGAGAGAGAGAGAGAGAGAGAAAGAGAGAGAGGGAATATGAAGGTACGAACTGCTGTCAACGAGTATAATCGTCCCGTGAATCGGCAGGAAACGACGCGTCCACGCTCGAGCCGACGGAGATTTATCGACGAGTTTTGCTTTTTCCCTTTCTCTCTCTCTCTCTCTCTCTCTCTCTCTCGCTTTCGAACGTTCGCGCGAGTAGGCGCTTCGCGGAAAGCCTTCTAGCGGAAACGCGCACGAGAGTCAGTCGTAGCCGTACGAGAACGGAATATGTATAATGACGCTTATTTTCTATCTTTCTCGCACTCCCTCGACCTTATTCCTTCTTCTTATTCTTACTCTTCTCTTCTCTTTCACTTCTTTTCCCTTCCCTTCCATTCTCTTCTCTTATTCGTTCTACGGTTGGCTCGTAAAATGCTTAAGAGTCTGGCGCTAGCCAGATGCTCGTAAGGATACTAGTTAACGCACATATTCGAGCCTACTTTTCTTTCTTTCTTTCTTTCTTTCTTTCTTTTTTCCTTTTCTTCGATTTCTTACTATTTTTCTTTCTTTCTTTTTAATTTAATTGTATTTTTCACCTCTCTTCTTTCATATTAACCCTTCGCGCTCAAAATATTACTCACAGGCACTGCCAAAGTTTAACGTTGTACTCAAATCGTGACAATATTCAGGCACTGAAGATCAAACTGTTGTAATTTATAGGCTATATTGCGATTTCGTATGTCATTAATTTTAGTATTTAGTCATTTGTTGGACCGATTAAAAGGAAAAAGAAAAGAAAAAAAGAAAAGAAAAAATATTCACCATGACGAAATATGTGATAGAAGAAGCGCTGTCTCGGGATAGCAGTGATGATGGATTTATTAAGGACGAATATGAAAGTGATCGTTTTGTGCGATCAAGCTAGGATTCTGACGTTATTTCACTAGAAAAAAAAAAAAAAAAAAAAAAAAAAAAAAATATTGCAATACACTACCTTGTCTGTTCAATCAAAAAAGGCTAAAAGACGAACGACGTTTATTTTTGTGAAACTTGCGATGATCAACCGAGTCCTATATCCTGCTAATTCCTTTAAACGGTATCATAGACATAAAAATTACAAATAATTTATAAATGAAATTTTCATTTACGAAATGTTCACATTACGATAATAATGAAATGACGTTAAAATATCTTGCCTTTTAAATTTTATGTTCTAATAAATCACATATAAAACCAGATAAAGCCAATAAAAGTCCGAGCTGTTGAAAGCTTTAGACTCGAGAATAAGTTTGAGGGCAAAGTCGATGTAAAATTAATTCGCGCTATCGTAAATGTTAAATATGCTCGTGAGTATATTAAAATCGATTAAAATATATACGTATCGTTTGAGAAATTTGTTAATGTTTGAGGAATGTTTGAGAACGAGTTTATGGATTTAACGAGATTACGAGAAAGAGAATTAAGTGCGTTGGCCGAGAAAAAGTTTAAGCGCAAAGTCGATGGAAAATTAATACACGCTATCGTTAAACGTTAAATGCACGTGATTATATTAAAGTCGATTAAAATATACACGTATCGCCCAAAAAATTTGTAAATGTTTGAGGAATGTTTGAGAACGAGTTTATAGATTTAACGAGATTATAGGAATACGAACGAGAGCGAGTTAAGTGCATGCACACTCATACTCGATCTCGGACCGGTCGAGCTCGGTTATATCAATCGAACGCGAAGAGATAACAGCACAAATTCCCGTTCCATTGACTTTGTCTCTTGACCTTTGGCAGCAACACTCGAGCTTCCTGACTTTCTAACGCAAGCCTCGTGCGTCCGGTGCCATTGCTTCTCGATCGCCTTATCCTCTTTGCTCGTCGCATTGCTTAGAATTAAGAGAGCGAGCAGAGAGAGAGAGAGAGAGAGAGAGGAAAGCGAGTAAGCGAGCGAGTAAGAAAATTTTATGAGACGCAACGATACGAAACGTTTTCGCAATCGTCTGACACGCGCTTGGAACGTCGCGTTATTTTTATTTTTTTTCTTTTTCCCATATTTCCTTCTGTTTCATATAAATATTTTCATTCTCAAAGAATTATAACGTAATATATCAATCCACGACGCAATAAACAAAAATTACCAGGCGTGTGGTCCAATCTTATTGCAATAGACTTGCGATAATAAAAATTAATGAAATACGTAAAAATGTTAACGTATCTACAATTTTAAACGTTTTAATTCGCTCGTGAATTTTGTTGATCCGATTTTCTCTTTATCGCTAAAGACGACTAACGTCAGCTGTAGCTCTCTTATACATTCGTCAATGTATATGCGCGCACACGCACACGTACACAGCGAAAGACACACAGAGAGAGAGAGAGAGAGAGAGAGAGATCTTACACGAGCTCTCGACGAGACGGAAGGGAAGAAAGTTGGCGTTACGCGTCCCGTGACGAACGCTTTACACGGAGTAACAGCCGTAAGAGAGCCACAGGTGCGCCCATGTTTATCCGTCGATCCAGAGATACATACATATATGTATGTATGTAACTCTGTTCGTTCTTCCACTCGAGTACACATCTATACATGTGCACACGTAGATACCTACATTAAAACGCAGGCTTATATGGTATTAAAACGCGCACTCGGCGAGCACGATATTATCGGTACAAGTCCGAATAATCGATCTAGATCCGGTCGAAGAGATACCGGGTTCCGGATATGAATATAAAAAGAGAGCCTTGCAATAAGGTCACGAAGGTGTAGACCCGTCGACACGCACTCTTGCTTACCGTTTATCCTCTTTAACGACATAGTACAAAACGTAACTGTGAAAATAATACTTAATATACAAGGTCTATCCTTGTAAATGAGTTTTACTTTTGTTCGTTTGCCTAAGTTTATATATATATATATATATATATATATATATATATATACACAAAGAAGTCATGAATATACATAAATGTGTATATTTATATATACGATTTCTTTGATCCTGACTTAAGATTAGTAGATTATGCTCATAAAGATGGATACTATGCTAACGGGACGTTCTATTTATTGCACAGGTAAAGACCATTCGCGTAGGAGAGGATCTTTTCTTCGTTTCTATGCTTGTATCTATATAGAAAGGAAGGCCGAACAGGTAGCAGGTGCGCGAGTTCGATGCACAGGTGGGTGAAAAGAAGAACGTCTAATACCTTTCTCTTTCCTTCTTCTGACCTCTACTCTCATCCTTTTCTCTTTCTTTTTCTCTCCTTTACCTGGGATGCACAATCTGGGTATCGATTACATTCGGCTAGACTTCGAACCACGGGTGGTACTTCTCAGATAAAATTGTTATTCTCCTAACGATTTCGCCTAACGGCTTTTGCAAAGTCGAATTTCACGAGCGACCGCTCGTACGGAAAAGGGAAGATCCTTTAGATCGTAGAATACAAGCATTTTCAAAAGCGATATATTCTCAAACAATCCCAAAAGGTTTTAACATTATACCGTGAAAATTTTATCCGACAGAAAAGAACGATCATATTGATAGTTTAATTCATTTCCTTTAAGATCGATAGACTAATATTGAGCCAAGATAAGATTGAATTAAGGAAAAAAAAAAAGATCGATGTTCCTTTTTATCAACTTGAAATTTAAGTGAATGAATTCCCTATCGTACAAATTTTCAACGATCCCTACTCAAATAGATTTTTCCGATAGAACAGATAACAATGAAAGCGAATGGAATGACGTGCGTGTGACAAAATCTGACCTAAATACAATCGGATGCGTGGGTAGTCCGTCTTGCGATATACGCGAGCTGTCCGTTTGTTGTGAACTCTTAAAAATGCTTATTTATATTTTCCTTACAAAAGAGAGAGAGAGAGAGAGAGAGAGAGAGAGAGAGAAAGAGAGAGAGAAAGAACGATTGAAACTTTTTTTTTTTATCGAAGATTTCAACGAACAATTTCCTCAAAGTCATTGTATTATAAATCTTAGCTGACTCAGTAGCGAACGCACGTGCGCGCCCGTTCGAGAGAGTAAAAGTGTACGCGAGTTGGAAGAAAAATAAAAGTTTAGAAGAGAACGAGCATGCGAGAGGCCAGGAGGGATTAGGTAAATAATTACTTACAAGAATTTCTCTTCGTCCGAGATACTTGGTAATATTTAATTTCTTTCTTTCTTTTTTGTTTTTGTTTTCGTTTTTTTTTTTGTTTTTTTTTGTTTTTGTTTCATTTAATCTTTCACCATGACGACGAATATCGCATGATTATATTTCTGATCTCTAAACCGAAGAAATCACGTATTTCTACGAAATACGTGTTAAATCCTCTTTTAGGATCTTTATCGAAAGGAAGAGAGAGAGAGAGAGAGAGAGAGAGAGAGAGAGAGAGAGAGAGAGAGAGACAAAGCAAAACAAAATGAAAGAAAAAGAGGGAGTATATCGAATGGTATATATAATACGTGTAAAGAAACGATTAGAGAGAGAGAGAAAGAGAGAGAGAGAGTCGTTGGATTTTTAGCACGGTCAAGGGGTCGTTCGTCGGAGCACGTTAAATCGCTTTGTCCATCTCTGTCTCTGTTGTGTGTGGCGCGACCCACGCTGGCGCCGGCGCGCCCTCTCTCTCTCTCTCTCTCTCTCTCTCTCTCTCTCTCTCTCTCTCTGTAACACACACTGTTACTACTCGCAGCATCCAACTCTCGAAGCGCAACTATTATTCTCATCTTTCTATCTCACTCCGACGCACCCACACGAAGTGAAACGAAACGAGAAAGAGAGAGAGAGAGAGAGAGAGAGAGAGAGAGAGAGAAAGACTCGATTCCCCGGCATCGTGTCTCGCGGCGGCACAGAGAGTCACTCGATCTCTCACTCCGGTCCGGCTGGCGCCGCTCATAACAATAATTATCATTCTCCGCGACCCCCACCAACGATACTATCAATCGACCAAATGCCTGCCGGCACATTCAACGCAATCGCAACTTCTACCCGCCGTTAACTAATCGCTAACTGAGAGAAAGAGAACGAGAGAGAGAGAGAGAGAGAGAGACTAAGGCGCCAGATTTAACCTCCTATTTCAGCCGTTTCGCGCTGCTGCCTGCGATCATTCCTTCACTTTTTTTCTTACAATTAATTTTCCCTCCCTCCCAACCCCCTCCCCCCTCTCACCCCCACTCTCTCTCTCTCTCTCTCTCTCTCTCTCTCGAAAAACGATATCTTTTCTTCTCTTTTTCATTGGTTTTCCATATTCTTTTTCTCTTTTATACGTGCAAAGCAGTCAGATACCTGTCGTACGATTATTATCGATGACAATAAATGGACAGTTACGATATAGATGTATATCATCCTTGATCAAAATTAAATTCTATTTATCTTCGAGTATTTGCTTCTTTATGTACTATAGAAACGCGTTCTTTGTTGTTGTGTGTAACTTTCTGACGTCGACCTTATCGTAAGGCAACTTAGATTAATATTTGTAAATAGAGGAAGGCGAAAGAGAAAAACTATTCGTATTGCTTTGCCTCACGAGAAATACAGAAAGTATATACGTATCGTCGAAAGAAAAGGTCGACCCATTCGGTGTCGTGTTTTGAAATATTTCTTTCTTTCTTTTTTTTCTTTTTTTCTTTTTTTTCTTTTTTTTTCTTTTCGTTATAAGAAGAATAAACGTTGACGAGTCGTATTCGAGATATACGCTTTTACGCGTACGTCCGCATTTGATATTAGAAGTAGGATAGCATTAGTTTAAAAGTTAGTTTGAAATTATACCGAGACGATAAGAGATCTTACCTTCGAGTCGTCAAAACAAATAGATAATAAGGAACGATAATTTGAAACGATCTCTTGTATCGTCTCGGTCGTTGATAGATAATAAAAATAATATACACAAATCACCTTTCATAAAAGCGGAGAGCTCTGACGTTGTTTCCACCACGTGTCCGCTCATTTTCCTCTCATGAACGCGCACGTTCACAGCTAAAAAAAAAAGATCTTCTCTCGAAATAAGAGAAATCAGATCTTGATTCTCCAAACACCCGCGCACTTGAAAGGTTCACGACACTGAATCTTCTAATCTGTCTCCTTGCGCTGTGTCACGTGTCAATGACAATGGTGTAAAATAAATTAATTGATTGACAAAAGTGAAGAAAAGGCAAAAAAAAAAAAAAAAAAAAAAAAAGAAAGGGTAGAAAAAAAAAACTCGTCTATTTCCTCTCCAAGGTAATCCAAAAATCCAACAAGTGGAGTCACACGAACGCGTATAATATATCCTTTGAACGAATGATATCGTTCGTTCTATACCTCGCGATAAGTTTTTCTTCGTGTTTTTTTCTAAACGTTTTTAATGTCGAACCGAAAGATGCTTGCCGAAGGAGCAAATAAGCGTCCACGCTCGTTCGAGGTCGACAGCGTACTGATTCTCGCCTCGTGTTCTAGACTCGGCGCCGCTCTTCGTCGGCTCGCCGTGTGCGAGGGAGTTCTGACTGGCCTGTGCGGTCCTTCCACCACTACTATCACTACCACTACTACCGTCAGTACCACTACTACCACGACGACGACGTCGACGACGACTGTTACCAATATACTACCACACCATCGGACTACCGTCTATCGGCGACACAAGGATGCGGCACTTCCAGCAGTGGCTGGACACGAGATCGAGAAGAAGAAAAAGAAGAAGAAAAGGAGGAGGAGGAGAAAGAGGAGGAGGAGTGTCGACTGTGTCGGCTCTACGAAACGCGACGCGCCGTATCGACTCTCGTAGTAGGGGTAAGAACGTCAGGAAAGGATCGGAGTTTGTGTAAGAGTAAGAGAGAGAGAGAGAGAGAGAGAGAGAGAGAGAGAGAGAGAGAGAGAGAGAGAGAGGGAGAGGGAGAGAGAGAAAGAGAGAGGAATATCGTGTTGTCGAGAGGAAGGGGAAGGTGCACGCATTGTTGGCGGTAGGAGGTAGCGGGGGCCGACAGAACGGCGCCACTTCTCTTTCTTTCTCTCTCGCACTCGCGTGGATACACACATACAGACATACACACACACACACACACATATACATCCTTAACGCATACATCCTTAAACCACCCACCAGTCCTAGCGAGTTCCATGCTACTCTCTTTCTCTCTTCCGTCCTGTATAGGGAGAATCGCGACTTTATGGGACTCACCGACAACCACCAGAGCGTCTCGCTGGTCAAGGAGCCCATTTACCACTCCTGATCTCCCGGAGATTCGACCTCCGAATTCTTTTCGCTCTCTCTCTCTCTCTCTCTCCCTCCCTCTTTCTCTTTTCGTTCTCCCCCGATACTTTTGCGAGACGCTCCTCTTTTACAGCATCTCGCTTAAACGTCCTTGTCTCCTTTGGAGGCTCTCTCTCGAGCATGGGAACTACCCTCGAGCGTGGCTCTTCGACGGAAATTAGCTTCCAACTACTCGTCGAGGGAAGAGATCGTTAATTGCGGAGTCCTTTCTTTCTTTCTTTCTTCCTTCCTTCCTTCCTTCCTTCTTTCCTTCCTTTCTTTCTTTCTTTCTTTCTTTCTTTCTCCCGTGGTTAATCCTACGGCACGTCGTTTTCTAGTGTGCTTCGAAAGAGGAATTTTAGAAATGTTCATCGAGGCGCCTGAGAATTTGCGACACGAAATACGGGCTACTCCAGTCGAGAAATTGCCTTTTAGTTGACACGTTCGACAAAGTTTGACGTTTCGTCACATTGACGACAACGTACGAACGTAAGAATCTTGTAGTATATGTTTCGCACATTGCTATTGAACGTTAATAAGATGAAATAACGAAAGAGGATTTTTCGATTTTAAGAGGAGTCTCTTTCGTCGTTGTCGTGCTCGTCACGTGTGTTTCATGTAGCACGTGTGTCTGTCAGAATGTGGTATTGTTTGTCCGAGAAATAGGAACCATTGAAAGATTTACCATTGTTCGATTTACTACAGGAAAAACCTAAGTAGAAATTTTCTCAAAATTTATCGTTCGCACTTCGTTGTAGAGAAGTCTTCTAAAGAGTAACAAGGCCTATAAAATTATTTTTCTTCTTTTTTTTTTTTTTTTTTTTTTTTTACTTTCATCAATATGGCCAACACATGTGGACATTTCCTTTCCTTTTGACTATCGAACTCGAACATCAATGTCGAAAGTTTTAATGTACCAACCGATAATAATCGTACCTTCGAGGGACTCAGCTGCTATGGATTAAGATAATCGTCAGAATTAGTAGAAAGTTTCTTTTGTAAGTGAACACGAAATCGAAATTTCAATAGTTAGTCGAATACTTTTGACGAAAAAGGGCCAAGAACGGGTGGAAAGGATTTTCAGAAAGTGTAATTAATAGTAATGACATCGTAATATAAGTTAATAATAATCGAATGAAAGTTTGAATTGGCGTTACGACAAATATCAAACATTGCCTTGTAATATTTCGTAATGACCTTTGAAATTTGTTCGTATAAAGGGTATAATTATGGTTCTTAGAAGGTATTTCCGTAGCTGAGTTAATCATTACTTCAACTTCGGCTTCGACGAATTTCAATGGTTTGTCAAGCTTTCGTATTATTTTCGTATATTAATCGTGTTATATGAAAAAAAGGGGGGAAAAAAAAGAAACAAGAAAAGGAAAAAGAACAAAAATATCGATAAAAGATAGGAACGTTGAATTAAAAATAGAAACTTTCAATGTAGCTACATGGAATTTTGCGCTCTTGTTTATTTACACTCAAACGCGCGGTCTTGTAGTACAAGAAAACCGATAGTTTAGCTTCCTTCTTTGGGGAATATTGTCCGTTCCTTGTCTTTTCCTAAGAAGGGGAAGGTAGACCAGGGCCATGTTGGTCGAGCGACGAACATCTTGTCGGCACGAAACGTTTCGTTCTGTAGGAATGCTCGACACCTGCGTGCGGAAAACAAACCGAGCTTCTCGATTTTAGTCGGCCACATTTTCTTTACGATTCTATTTGCCCTTGTCCCTCCACTTCTGCGTGCATATGTTAAACACACTTCGCACATGTGTTCTTGCGAACAAACCTTCTTCACTTACGTCTCGATTGTGTTTAGATCGTGATATTTTTCCGGTTTATTTCTGATACAAATATCTCGCATATGTTTCCTAAATATAGGCAAGTATTGTAAGATACATACATATATAGATACCTAACGATATCGATCGTTCTAATCGAGATTACCGATAAGATAGAAGAGAAGATAGATGACTATGTCTTTTTTTCTCGATAATGTCAATTATTGTTTATGCATATATTCTGTATTTAGTTTCCTTTACACGTTTCATTGATTTTATCGATATCTTTTAAAATCGATAAGTTTCCGTCGGTGCTCTTGCACTCGATTAGATGACGTTACCAAGTACTCGCGGTTATTTCCCCGTTTATCCTCGAAGATAGAAAGCTTTTAAACGATCGAATATTCATTAGATATATCATGGAAATAGACTATTATTATTTCGCGAATAATTCATGCATTTAAATGTAACGTGAATGACATCGAGGTCTCCATTTCCATTTTTTCTCGTTTTTTCCTTTTCTTTTCTTTCTTCTCTCTCTCTCTCTCTCTCTCTCTCTTTTCTTTTTTTTTATTCATTTTCCACGCGACAACGACAACAACGATGACAACGACGACGACGACGACGACGACGACGGTGTAATTCCGTCGATTATACCTCCTCTCCCAGTGATTCAGGTCGAGTAGAAAACGCGACCTGAAATTAGCCCGCGGGCACGTCGATTCGACGACGACGACTGACATTTTGCAGTCGACGCGTTAATCAACGAACCTACTTTAATGCCGTCGCCATTCCTGGTTCACCTCGAATTACCGTGAAGGATGTAGGTTAATACCGGATTTATAAAATGATTTGTGTCTACCCTAGTCTTCTTGCCGCGAACCGATCGTCGAATGGAGAATAACAAAATATATATAATCCAGATTTATATTGGAAAAACATATCTATATATATATATATATATATATATATATATATGTTTGTGTGTGTGTGTGTTGAATTTTTGATGAAATCTATTGTATATAATAAATATATAAAATATCAAGATAGAAAATTCGTCTTTGTCATGATTTCACAATGACTTCTTTCTTCTCGTCGTCTTAATGGAAAATCTCAAAGATAGCAACGTTCTTTTCCTTAATTTCTATTGCTCTTATTTTTCATCCTCTCTTTCTGCCTCGTCGCAGCACACTCGCGGAGATCGTTCTAATAATATAACACGGAGAAGAGTCGCTCGGAAACGGAAGTCAGCTGACAGCTGGTAGCCGCGTCACAGGAAGGAAGAATAAGAAGAAGAAGAAGAGGAAGAAGAAGATGAAGAAGAAGTAGAAGACGACGACGACGACGACGACGACGACGACGACGACGACGACGACGACGACGTCAACGAAGAAGAAGAAGAAGAAGAAGAAGAAGACTACGTTAACAGTGTACCGTACTAACAAGCGGCACGTGATTTACGTTAACGGTCGACACGCGACCACGAGCAAAAGATCTTCTTCTTCTTCTTCTCTTTCCTTCATATCCTTTCTTTCTTACCCTCCTTTGTCGAGGTTGCGAATATAAAAATATTATCATTTTTCCGAAATCAATCTCCCGACAAAGACGTATCCAGGGATATATTTTCCATTAAATTTCAATTGTTCGATACTCTTTCGATGAACGATAAAGGAGGAGAAAAATGTAATAAAAAAAAAAAAAAAAATAAATAAATAAAAATAAAACAAAAAGGAAAAAAAAAACAGACAAAAGAAAAAGAAAAAGCGCAGCTCGTTTATCGAACTTTCCTTTTCTCGTGCGAGTGTTCTCGTCTAAGGTGCCTGTCAAGGAAAACGTCGAGACTCTTTAGAGAGGGAGAGAGAGAGAGAGAGAGAGAGAGAGAGAAGAAGAGCTTTTTCTTTACTCGGACGATCACGAGCAGCGAGAGAGAAGAGATAGGGGAAGGAGGAGAAGGAGGAGGAATGTTTCTATCGCTTTCTCTCTTGGGGTTGGATGAAAGGAATCACTGTTAAAAGGACGCAGAACTCGCTTGGCTTCGTGTTACGGCTCCACGCGTTTTTAGGGTTACATGCCTCGCATCCGATAACACCACCCTCTTCTCTCTCTTTTCTTTCAAGCTTCTTCCTCGTTCTCCATCCCTCCTTCTTCTCTCTCTCCCTCTCTCTCTCTCTCTCTCTCTCTCTCTCTCTCTCTCTCTGTCACTCTCTCGACTTCTTCACGCATCGTGTGCATCGACCTTTCTGCCCTGCAGAAACGTTCTCGTCGCTTCTCTCTTTCTCTTTTCCTTTTTCTCTCGTCAAACAAGACCGATCCTCGAGACTCTGAGAAAATCCATACGCAACGACCATTTCAGGGGATGCTAATCGTTTTTTTTTCCCTTCTCTTTTTTGCTTTATCCCGCTCACAAGCAGATAAAACTTATTCAAAGATTCATGGGAAATTTGTATACGACGAGACGCTCTTTAAATATATCCAATATGTATGTGTTCTCTCTTGATATCTTCGTCGCGAAATCGCTTAAGCGTGATGATTGCATATCGCCGTGGATCCAAATCGTAAAAGTCAAAAGGTCGTTTCTTTTTTAACGTTCTTTGAAAATATTTGTATTTATAAAGATGGTCAACACGTATGACGATTAGGCATGTTTGGATATGAGAGAAGAGACACGAAATCTTCCACAACGGAAAACAACCGAGGGTGATACCAGGATTCGTCTTAAAACTTGCTCACTCGTTAGTATCCCCAATGGTCGTTTAAAAAGGATGCTGATTTATATCGTATGCGTTACTAGGGATAAATTTTCTTTCGAATTTTCTTGTCATTTCGAGGATCGCCTAGAAACGCGTGAATTATTTTAAACGAGGAACAAGAAGAAAAAAATAAAAAGAAGACGAGATGGTTTCCCCATTAGAAACATACACACTCCTTTTTCACCTTCTCTTTCTTCGAGCAATCGCTGGAAGTAGGCAGCCTCAACATTAAACACATCCACCGTCTGCTTAATTTGAACAAAAGAGGAAGAAAGAAAAAAAGAAGATTGGAAGATGTGGAAAAAAACTTGATATCAGTGTGGAGTCCCTAAAGTGTCGAACGGAATACATACGAGAGACACAGAGAGAGAGAGAGAGAGAGAGAGAGAACACACTTAAACGAGTCAGAAGAGCTTCGAGTTCTTATCTACATGTGTATTTGCCTTTTTCCACTCGTTCGTGGCATTATCGTTCGAGTCATTAAATGCCGTTGAATGTCTCCTCGAACAAAGCTGCGATAGATTTATCTTATTGGACATAGTTAACTAACGATTACATTTAACTTTTCTTCAGCTCCAGTCGAATTTAATCCTCATGAAAAATCATTAAAGTCGCCAAGTAGTTGAAGTAAATAAGTACATACATATGTTATGAATTTGAAAAGCAAATCACTAGGCATATTTCTATTCTGGTCGCCTACGCAAAACGATATCGCTACCGGCTGATGACTCGGCGAAGGAGACTTGTCATTTTACATATACACGCGTATTTTACATATATGTGCGTAATACATGCATGCACGCTTAGAGAGAAAGAGAGCGAGAGAGAGAGAGAGAGAGAGAGAGTCATACGCGTGTTAGCGGCCTCATCGCGAATCGCACTCGCGCTCGAGGGTTTTTCCGAGTCATTAACTCGTTCCGCGAACGAGCCAGAATCGCGATAGCGCGCGTTGCCGGAAGGAGGATCAAAGGAGGTGTTTATAAAAGCCGAACCTGCTCGCGAGACATAACGCTCGACGTTTTAAAGACGCTATTTCCCTCCCCCCCCCCCCCCCCCCCCCCCCCCCCCCCCCCCCCGTTTCCTCCTCCTTCTCCTTAGGATCGCGATAAAGTAGCGTCGTTAAGGTTTACTTTGCCACCACTAAAAGCTCTACCAAACGATCACGATTACTCCGGGAAACTTTCCAAAAGGACTTTGGAACGTTATAATTTTTATCATATTACACGAAACATCCATATACGTGGATTAGAGATAAATAAAAGTGTCTTAATGAAATTTCAGTTAAATCCAAGTATCAAAAGAAATTCTTTTTTTCCTTAAACGAAGATAAAAATTACTATAGATTATTTCGACGAATGAAATATCTCGTACGTTTCTTCGTTTTTAAGAATAAACTCAAAAGGATTCGTATTTCGCCGACTTTCGAAGAAGATCAAGACGACGTAGACTATCGCCATTACCGACATTCGTTTCGTTCATCGAAAGGACCTATCTTTAGGAAAGATCGCTTATCTCATACTACCGTATTATCCGTGGATTCGTCCTTCCATTTGGCCGCACGGAAGTTTCCTTTTTCGGAAGAAAGACGAAACTGTAGGATTTCCGAGGGTAATGAGGTAAAACGGTCGATCGGTCTCGAAGTTATTTCGGTCCTGTGTCCGTGTAAACCTTACTACCTTTCTCTTGTTCTCTTTCTTGCAGAAATGTTTGGTCGTTAGCTTGTCATCGTGGCTGAACGTTCCTCTTCTTAGCTACGCTTTTACCACCCCCCCTCCCCTCTCCCCGAATATATAAGTTTGCTAAAGGTTCTTACATTGCCTTTTCTTAACTGATGCCGTTCGCAGCAGGGAATCGTTCTATATTTATGGTAGTCAGTTTACTATCTCTTTCTCTCTTTCTCTCTCTCTCTCTCTCTCTCTCTCTCTCTCTCTCTCTCTCTCTCTCATTCTTTCCTGCAAAAGTACATTCACCCCAGCAAGGATCCGACCGATCCTTCCGCTCGTAGTACGTAGCTTCTGTTAGTTTCCTAGCGTTGACTTCGTTCGTTCGTTCGTACGTTCTTTTCACGACACGTGCTGAAAACAGGGACCCTCACGATAGTTCCTGCCATCTCTTAGCCCCTCTTTCTCCTCCTCCTCCTCCTCCTCCTCCTCCTTCTCTTCCCATTCACCACCCGGTGACTTCGCGACGAGCATTACGAACCCCTACGCGTGGATGTCCCTTCCTTTTCTTTCGCCTTTTGGTGAACCCGCTTATGCGCACGTGACGGCACACGTGCGTCGAATTGAACGTGTCCTTTCTATTTCTAATACATAGGTATCATACATATGTACTCGTGAAAAAGGTCTGTTGAAATCGATAAGACTAACGAAGATTTTCTTTTCTTCTTGCAGACATATTTCGATGTTCTCTTTTAATCAATATTCGTACGAAGAACCATTATACGGTCGATCGTAAATTAATTATACAATTATTATTATTATTATTATTACGTATAACAATATATCGTAATTGTTTTATAATGGAATTGGCCAAAGATCATGAAATTTTTCTAATATGTTTACCACGTGTCCTTGTTTCTTTCATTTTACGTGGTAAAATGAGTTTCGCCGTTGGAAATCTCTCTCGCCTTCTTTCTCTTGGCCAACGTAAAAGAAAAAGTAAGCTTGTCTCATAATATGGTATAGTTAAGGGGGCTATATGATTGTTATATACGTAAAGAGGTTTGAGTGGAGGTGAAGGGAAAGAGGCCATCGCCGTGGCACACGTGGTATCTGCGTAGCATATGCGCAGATGGGGGTGTGTTAAAGGCATTAGAAAGAAGGAGAAGGCGCGCAGACGACTCGCCATCCGATGCTTGTCGGCCAGATGTCCTGAAAAAGGGCCAAGGAAATTCCCAAGGGCACCGACCGCCCTCGCAGAATATACCTATATTGGTATGTACGTGTGTGTATACGCCGTCGCTTGGAATCTGATATTTTTAAATTAGTCCTCCACGCCTTCCAACCGATCTTCTTTATTAGACCTTTTTCTCTAAGATACATATAATTAGGCAACTAATCGTTACCCTTTCACTCGTTCCACACCGATAATGTGGCACCTTCGAATATGAAGATGTTTCAGGAGTGATCAGAGTCTATTAGATCTTTTTTTTTTCTTTTTTCTTTTCTTTTTTTAGAAGATAGAGTAGAACGTCGTTGTATTCGTTTCGAAGAATGAAAATCTATATTACGATTATATAGGGCGTACATTTGCTTGCGTTAACGGCGGAGAATTGATTTAATCGAATTAACGTTTTGAAAATTTGCCAAAAAAGTGAAAAAAAAGGAAGAGAAATGACGAGTTTGCGAGCGAGATAGGTAGGTCATTCTCCGGGGAATTTAGTCTACTCCTATATCCAAGTTGGTCGAATCTCTTGGCATAGGGGAAAGTCGAAATCGGCTTTTAGGAAGGTCGACCCACGGGACTAATAAGTCTGATTGCGTCAGCTGCGCGCGTCTTCATCGTTTCTGGCAGCGCGTAGTCGATATCTCGACGTGCTCTCCTCGTTGTCCTAGTACTCGGCCTCGCCCTCTCGTGATCCTGTCGTCTTTCTGCGGTCGAGTTGTTCGTCCCTGTGGATGGCACGTGAAAGATACGACGCGGTCTAATCCAAGAGGGCTTTGGGAACCAGATGGCCTCGTCGACGCCAATCAACTAATCCCTCCGTTACCCTGCTCTTGACATCCACCCTTGCCTCCAGTCTCTGCCTTCGCGTTCTCTTCTTTTCTTTAAAATATTCGAGCAAAAATCTCGACGTTTCTACCTATCAACGATATGCATATTAATCGTCTTTCTTTCCTTTTCTTTTCTATCTCTATCTTCTACGACTCTGATCGAAGCCAAACGATTTACGGAATTAATATGCGTGCTAACGTTGTCGCAATCGTTATAAACGAAACTATCTGACGTATAGACTCTTTCGAGAGCAAACAC